TTTGACTATTTGTTGGACCACGTCATCGCCAGGCCAATCTCGAGAAATTTTCCTATCGTGTTGGATCTTCATAAATCGGTCGTGGAGAAATATCCGTATATTGTGTTCTGTCACTTCCTCGGGTATCTCATGAAGAGCTAGATCCCGATAATCATGATCCACGATCTCTGAAAAACCAAGTTTGATTGGAAGTTCAGGCTTACTACTCAAGAAGACCCGAATGCGAAGCGCTTTTGCCCCCTGTAGACGAGGTAGCAATCGAATTATGGTTCGGACATCTTGATCCTCTTCACATTCGTCCAAAGCATCGATCACTGTCACAGCAATTTGAGGTTGTCGGCCGAGTTGGTTAATCTTGAGCAGCGGTTGAAGGAGTAGTTTCTCGAATTGCTCTTTCAGCGATTTTGTCGCAATATCAGGGTCATCATGGAGTGCTTCTCGCACGCCAGACCTCAGCTCAGAGATCCTAAGCATCAGTTGCCTTATAAGTGTCGGGAAAAGCTTCTTTGCGTTCCCTCGGTCCCCTTCACTTCTCTTGAAGTAGAAGCTGGCACCTAGGTGGTTGCTGTTCCTCAGCGACCTGGCCACCGTCTGCGATATTGTGGAGTTTCCTGTCCCAGCCATGCCTTCCAACCGGAGAATGGCTTTTTGAGACAGTGACATAGCCCATTCCATTATCTGCCGGGGAATCTCAGTCCTAGTGCCCTGGTAACACTGAACTTCGTCTCGGTTAGAGAATGAATCAAACGCTGCCTCCATTACACCTTCCAACTTTCGAAGATCATTCTTCTGGTCCAAATTCTTGACAGTCGTCAAAACAGACCTATACAGAGTTAGCTTTAAATTAATTGACCATGATAAATCGAATTTTATGCTACTTTTGGGTATTGTTGAGACTACTCAACTCCTGACCAACTAGATGTCGTCGGTACACTGTTCCAAACGTATAATTGTACAAATCGAGAGATATACTCTACTATAGTATATTTTCATCATAAGATTGAGCCTCGAACAAATAATACATACATAGTTATAAGATTAGGCTGACTGTATTCGTCAGTGCCAACGGTCATTACGGTCACATGTTGTCGCGGCGCGATGATCTGGGCTACGTTCTGGTGTACCTTTTTCGTGGAGAATTTCCTTGGCAGCACTTCCCCCTCAGGCTAGTGATCTTTGTCGGAGTATTCCGTATTGTAAAATGTAGGGGTCCAATCAATGGTATTCAACTCTCTGTATTGCTGTATCCACCATCCTGGCAATTTATACCGGATTGCGCGACTGGCACAAAAGCAATACTGTCAACAATCAAGTTGACTTAGGTAGCCCACACAACGTAAAAGCCTCAAAAGTTTTACTACGAGGGTTACACAAAGTATGCCCTACAGGCTGTAATACATATCAACAAAAACGATAGAAGGACTAGAAGCAAGCCTTCAGGTTGTCATATTTGGAGGCAGGGTAGCTCAGCTGATTCTCGCACTTGTCGAAAGCGCCAGTGCCTCCAACGATATCCACAACCTGCAAAATCCCCAAAGTCCGTTCGATGGCCATACGTCATGTATGAGTGAGAGAGATATACCGTGGCAATCAAATTGTCGGAGCTGAGCTAGGAACGATGAAACCTTTTTTCAAATTATCAAGAATGTATTTTTTCGCTACCTTTTAACTTGTCGAGAGTCAGTTTATAGAGAGGACAATACCCAGGTGTAGCCTCTGCTTCAAGGAGAATATCGTTATCCACTCCTGGTTTGTATGGTGGTAGCTCGTCGGATCTTTTCTTCGATTTCGGGATCCTTGATCTGAGTGCTCTTCACATCAATGATATGGTCAATCTCGTAGAGTGAAGTTGAGAAGATCTCGACTTCCTTGTTTGTCTTTCCTCTTTCTTAGAGACAGTTGAATCCTGTACGTCCCATGGCACTTATGTCGATTGGAGGAAGTTCTTCATTTGACTCCCTATTTCTAGTTTAAATTTCGAACCATTTTCCTTTACTCTTCCGTTTGCCAGTGTCCGTACTAGCGTTCCCTAGGGTGTTGAAATTAGCTCTTCTCCGCCTTTTCTTGTCTTCCTGTTCAAAGTGGCGATCTCGTCGATCCGCGTCTGCTTTGTGAAGGCTATCGTACTTAGGCTTCTGAAGAATAGCAGTTGTTGCTGGAACTGCCAATTTGCTCGCCACGTCATCGAAGAGAGTTTTCTCATCCGGCCAGATCATTCGGTGTCGACGGCAATGCCGCGACTCTCAAATTCGCCCTCTTGTGATGGCTGATGCGGTGGGATAATTTCTGCATTGAGCACGCACACTTAGCCCGCATGCTTCACACGCGAGAGGCGCTTGCAGCGGCCACCTAGAGCAAAATCTGCTTCGGGTGTCGGAACCTCTACTGTTAAGCTTGAGAAACTCCGCTCGACCTACCTGGTCCCAAGTATGATTTACTGGTCATTCTAGGGGGCTGGAAGTGCGATTGATATGAAAATTTCATGGGGCTTAGCCATTGCAATTGGCCCTATGCTTAGGGTAATAGTAACAGTATGTATGAATATTAAAGCCTTCTTAAACGCTTCGCAGATATCTGTCTGGCACTTTTGCTTTGCTCACCCTATACACCCGTTAGGCACCGAGAGACCATGACTGTCTGTGGGGCGCTGTAACATCCAGCTCGCTATGCAACGAGAAAGAACGCCATCAACAGTGTCACATATGCGACCTTGAAGGGAATTAGAATCTGTGTATGGCTAGAAATCCATAGGGCAAAAGCAAAACTATGAAGACAGTTGAGGTAATTTAAATAGTCCGGCATTGAAGTGCTTGTGCTTGTTTCCACATTCCTGGGAGGACATGATTATGAAAAGGACAGTACATATATCTATCTTATCTTCGCTCTTCAAATAAGGTAAAAATAGACCTCGTTGAGACGCAGTGCTCATTTCTATCTACTGTGTGTTGATACTGTAAAAGTTACACCGATGCTGTGGAAGCGACAGAGAAAACCATCCGATTTCCAAACCATGATATTCTCTATCTCTCTATTCAAGACATGAGAAAACATAATAGGTATAGGGCATTCTGAATGGACAAGTGACTGGAAAAAGCACGGTCGAACCATGAGGAAAGTCATCATCATAGGTTGTACTGTTCTCATTCACCAGTATGTCATGATATAATTTTAAAAATGTATTAAAAACCCGGACCAGACCAGAAATTTGCCCTCAGAGGCTTTGGCTACATGTGAATCGACGCCATTGTTGACAAAGACGCCCAAGCATTGATCCCTATAAGCTATTTCAAGACCAAAGCCGTCTTTAAGTACGGCGTCGCGGGCTCTTCGCCAACTTTCTCGCAAACTATCGTCACTTAGCCTAGCAATTTGCCACTGGGCATATTCTTGGACCGCGACATCTCAGGGGCCGGCAATCTCTAACCGAGCTATTGGATTTGAGGTAGACATATGGCGATATGGGCGCTATCTGCTGCAATAAAACCAGGGCAAATACAAGAAGCGTCACACGAGAGTGATTATGATAACGTCAATTATTGAGAAACGAAATTGGCTTGTTTGTCCAAAGCCTGTGTAAGGAAGTTCCAAAATTACCCACTCCTCCGTAAGTATATGCGGCCCGTCCGGATTATTCCAACAATCGGATAACTACTCTGAATTTTGTTTGATCTGAACAAAGGCCAGGATTAGTGGAAGCAAGCCATTTCTCGCGCCAGAAAGAAATCGCACGCGAATGTGTTTAGCGGACATCAACGAGCTGGCCAATTCAAATAAACTCCCGAAATAAACCACAATGCTAGCCAGGAGCACGATAGAATGAATCCGATATGACACATGGCATTATAGAAATATACTAGCTTGAAACTGGGCATGCCTACGGATGTGCTGATTGAATAGATTCACGTAAGCGTGGAGACTTCTTTCGAGGCCCTCTTTGGTACCAAAGGGCCGCCTCGGGCTAAATTGGAGTCTAGCAACTCCGATTTATAGTGATCCACAATTAGATTGGCCCGCGCGGTCCCTCAAAACGTGCCAACCTATCCTCGCCAACTGACCAGACTTGACTCTCAAGCGAAAGAAGCAAGACCTCAATGCCACAAAATCGTCTATGTGAGCTAGAGCAGCAATTTATTCTGCCGCCAGATTGGGATAATCAAGAACTCAGCATCCCAACCCTAGCAGACTCAGGGGCCAGTCTAATAGGAGAAGAGGGCTCTGAGATCGATCATGTAGGTTTCTACGCCGCATTAGATACGTACTATTGGAAACCACTTCCTCCGCTACCCCTAAATCCCAACAATGACACACATCGCATACCTGGAGATCTTCAACTCTGGCGTGCCAACCATCGCAACTCTAGCATGGCATCTTCTCCGGACTCTCAAACACAATGTTACATCCGTTCTTGCTTCCAAGAATTAGTGGAGCTTGACCACCCAGAAGACCTAGATCGCAAAAACAAGCCACTTCCGCTAGAGCCATTTTATCCTACGAATGCTCAACACCAGTTGCCATTTAAGTCGGCAAACGGCAAGCATGGTATTGAAGAACCCCAAATGCTTTTTCCCTCCTCCTCTGTGGATACTAGAACACTATTTCCCCATCATTCAACACTACGATATCCAAACAGTCAAGGGCAGCTTTCTATCCGCTCATCGCACATTGTAGACACCACGGTCCCCGGGAATAGCCTGAGGGGGTTCGGCAAAGGGGATTGTCCTGGGCTCCTCAACATAGACCAATGTCCGACATTGGATTTAAACACAGAGGCCTTGAACAAATCTACTACCTTCAGAAACTCCAAAAACTCCAAAAGGCGATGGCGCTGGAGACCAAATAAGAACACCAAAGAAAAGTTATCGCTAACTTTCAGTGGTCAGAAAATCCGAAAATATGTGAAGCGAGTAGGGGCATATCGGGCACAATCCCTCACAGTCAAGCCTCAGAGTGCTTATCAGAGTTCTCTTGGCCCATTTCCCAGACCCTGTCCCCAACCAAGCATGGTAGGAATGGAACCGCTCCACGAGCAGAGTCTTTTAAAGATGCTCTTCGGGTTTGATTTGATGGGCCAAATCCATCCTCTCAACGGTGCCCGGCTGCATCAAGTGCGGCAATCTTTGAACTCGCAGCCCCATCCTGATACAGTGATAAACGATGAGAGATATCCAATCGTCTCATGTGTTTGGTTGAGGAATTTCATTATCACTTCACCTCACAGGTTAGAGATTGATCGAGGACGACTACGCGGCTTGAAACTAGATGATGAGTCCAGTCAAACCGTACACCGAGGATTTGGGCTTCTGTGGGATTTTCTGGAGACCTGTGGACTGAAAGCTAGTTACCAGAATGGTGTGGTGAGCCGGTGTGAAGAAATGGACAAGGAGAACCAGCTGCGATGGTTTCAGGTAAGCAAAGTGAAACTTCTTCCTATTTGCTCTTTCTTTTGTTTGCGTATCTTTATCATTGCCTATTGGCTTGAGAATATTTGGCTAAATGGTGGTCTCACTGTAAAGCACCGTGATATCAAAGCCTCCGAAACAGAGGATATGCTCCAGATTTGGAATGTATTAAAATCCTTACTTCTGAAGCACTCTGCGCAGAGACAGATACGAAAACAAGGACTGGAACAGCACGGTGGTATGGGACTCGCACTGTCAGCACAGCCATTTTCTAATTACAAACAGGGGAAAACGTCGTTGTTTTCATGAAATGTGGACTAGGAGAGATTCAGCAATACTTCACCGGGACAAATGACACCGGGAAGCCGTTTTGGGATGGATCGAGCATTGATGGGTTTTTTGGGGCAGCTTGCCTAGAATGGCAAGATAAATAGGGAAAGGTAAAGCCCAGTCCTCTTTTTCACGTCTAGGTTATGTTTTGTTCCTACTCGGTTAGAGTCAGTCTTCTTTAGCCTCGGTTTAAGGTAGATAAAGTCAGCTTAAAGGCCGTAGCAGAAACTAGAACATTCCACGCATTGGCATGTTTTAACCTTGTTGTAACTATCACAATGCAACTATCACAATACATCTTTTTCTCAGACACGATTTCGATGGAACACAGGGCTGTAAGGCCTTAGGAAGGACGCCGCTGGTGTTACCCCTGTGTACTTGCAATCTATGTCTAAATTTAGATTATAAAAGTTCACACGATTCAGAGGTGACGCGAGCCTAATAAAAGCAGGCACAACTATAGATCAAAATTAGATGCGTGAGGCCTAAAAAGGAGCGACACGATTCCTATTTCCAGTATCCGCTGGACCGATTTGACATACTAGGGTTCATCTTGACAGAGCTCCTTATTCGATCCATTTGAGGATATGGTCGATAGACTCATAGCCTATGACGACTTAGTGTATTGTGAGCGAAGAATAGATATGTAAGATCGGCTTGTTGTGGTCGTGTTACCTTACTGTGATTCGCGGACTGCGATCCAACATTTAGCTCCTAGCCATTGGATCTACTGTACATAAAGGTCTGCTCTAGACCTGTTCGCCTGCTACTTTCGTAGGGTTTCTGGCATGGATCTACGCACCCTTCGGGATCATTTGGCAGATGTATGATACTCTAATCGAGAAGGCTTGGATGAAACTTACAATACGTTAGGAGTTCGTCGAGGAGTTTTTTGGACACGTTGATTGTCCAGAGACAAGGGAGTTGGGGAAAGAAAAGAGAAAGAGTGCGGGGAGAGCGTTCTTCGGGGAATATTTCTCAGACATGAATCAAACGACTGCGACCATGCTATTATATGCTAAATATATATATTCTCGGTTCTTGCAATCGCTAACAAGCACTGGGCCTGACGATAGACTATATGACTGCCGAATACTTGTGATCGCTTGTTTCTTCTTATCGCAGAAAGGTGAGAAGGTTTTGACGCCAAACAAGGGCCTTCGACAGGCTGATACCTTTATCAATAGTACTCCATAGAGATTGGCCTTACATCGACCAGCACAAGTCAGGAGACGACTTCTTGGAGGATACACCCCGGCATGTGGGTAAAGTCGTTTGTATGAGAGGTACTGCCATTATATTACGCACAGAGCAAGAAATCCTCCGATTGCTGAACTATGACTTGAAAACTTCTGAATGGCTGAACCAGGGTTGGAATTGGTCTTGGGTTCTCTCAGGGCATGAGCGACAACAAGCGGAAGAAACCAGTGCTGGTGAGACCTTCACAGATTATCCTTATTGTCTTGTGCACGATTTGGAATCGGAAGTCAATGACCTAGAGAAGTTCTCTAGCATTGACAAACGAGTATTGAAAAGACAACAACGCATCCTGCATGCCATCCATCTGGCAAAACCCAGAATGTATGGGTCTCGGCTAGCAAGAATCAGCGTGGTAGAAGAACGGGCCCGCCAGATCAGCTCCGCGAGAGGCCACGGGGGCCAAGCGAGCTTGTTATCTCAAAACAACAAGGTCCTTCGATGCGAACGCAAAAAGGAATCTGAACTCCCCCATAGAAGAAGCGATAGGCTAAAGCAAAAAACGCTCAAGGAGAATGGTGTTCGCTCTTGGGTCTAGGCTATGAAGCAAAACAGGAAAAGAAAGGATGAGCGGCTTCTTTCGCGCTCACCGATAGAAAAGGTACACCGCATGAGCGATTTCTATCTCGTTTATATCTTGTGACCAGATCACTTATGTTACCATCATAATGCATACCCTTCATTGCAGCAAATGATGGACCGTTGGACCCAGATGCATCGTAGTGCTTTTCATGCCGGGAATATAGACATGCTCTTTCAAGCCCCAATCACATGATATGGTAAATTAACTCGTTTTGCGCCCACTTGTGATAATACCAGTTCTTTTCTATGATACCGACAAGAAAGACGAAAGCCGGAAACTTGAAAAGTGACGAGGCTATTTTAAAATCAGTAATAAACCAGGTTACTTTCGATTAACATATTACCGTTCAGCACCGGAACATTTAGTATTCTGTCCTCAATACGTCAAAGTTCATTTCTGGCGCGGTATCGCTAGACAGTCTCATGATTCCGTGGGCCCTAACGCGAAAAACGAAACGCATGTACACCCGTTTCGGGTACGAGCCGACAAACAAAGTGTGGGTGCTCGAGGGGTAAATTGATTTCGAATTCTGCTGTAAAAGTTGGCATCCTAAGACGAAGAATACTGTGGATCTCATCTGCGGATCTGTTGTCAGGCCATTTTTCAGATGAGGCTTATGACACATTAGCGTCTAGAAGCGCATGCTCGGAGATGATTCATATTAACGTATAAAAAAGAGGCACAGTTGAAGGCGAAAATGCGTTTGATCTCTTCAAGGACCTCGGAGCCAATAGACGCTGAGGTGCCGTAGGTGAGGGGAGGGCCTCATGGAATATGGGATCGATGGGAACAAAGCCGGTGCCAGTGCCAGACATAGGAATATCCTGCGGGTGCACTCTGGGTGGAATCTCGCGTGTTGTATGTTGGTGGAGACATTCCTTGCTCTTGGGCTTGCGGCAGTGGCATATCGTCATTCTCGCACGGTGGCTGCGGATTTTCTCTCCTTGCCCTTGTTTGTTGCCCAGCCATCGTGGTGTGTAGTGTGAGAAAGATGTAGAGACATGGTCCATGCCAACGCTTTATAGCACTTCATCAACTCTGAGATCCCGTCCCTACTAAAACAGCGTGCTCTGAATGGCTCTCCAGGGTGTAATCGGGTCAGGGATTTGGCGAGCATTCATATATTAGCTCCACGACAGGGGGTACTTGGTTGAGGCTAATTAGCCATGGATATCAGATACCGGGCGTCCTATGCCATCTCTTCCGGCGCACACTAACGTGATCGAAAAAGAAAACGTGGTATGGAAAGCTTCGATTTCCCTACCGCGCCAACTTCATCGTTTTGATGAGAATTGATTTATATCTTCCTATCCTACCTCATATTCCCCCCCCAAAAAAAATAAAGCGATACAGATAGGGACCACTTTGGGGTAGGTAGCTAGTCAACCAGTGGCAAATAAGCAGGGAGGTCGTTAATACGCTGCTGCGGGGTCCGGTGGCTGAAAGTATACCTCCAATGGCCCAGGCTCAACATCTCCAGACGATCACGCCTGGTGACGACCGCGCTGGGTCCACAGTTCATGAGATGAATTTTGTGTGGACAGCGATCGATTTCTAATTTCCCAAGATGTTGAACCGGCGCTTGCCTCCTCGTCCGTGCCCTGAGTAGTCGTGACAATATGGGCTCAGTCTCTTGTAAACCAAGTTGCAGAGCAGATGAAAAAAATGGAATAAATAAAAATTGACATTGAAAGAGAAGAAGATGAACGTCAAAAAAAAAAATACCGGATCTACCCCTGACACAGCCGCCGAATGACATACTACCCTTGGTAGGGCATCTGAAAATTAGGAATTCACTCCGCAGTCAATTGCGCAGTCAACTACTTGCAGTAGAGGTGGGGCTACGTCGTGGGAGCCAGGCCCCTGAAATTCTAATTGGATAACGGATGTAATCGGACAATTGTTGACAGGAATGTATACAGTAGCAACATTTGTACCCACATTCATATACCCGCCCTATATAACAAAGGCCAAGTATTGATTATGAGGGATTTTTTGTCTTAATAAAATATAAGTTCTTTCGGCCTGTTTAAATTCTTTTTTTTCCTGCATGTATTACGTTGCACCCAATCAACGTTCCTCAATCAATGTGTGGTGGCATTTTGGTGTAAAGAAACGTCTCGCACCTCTCAACATGTCAGAATTGGGGGACTTAGTCTGGTTTTACGCTAGACTGCAAATCATTAAAATCTTCGATTTATTTCTCGACCCTAACGCCAAGGTCCACTGGTCTGTACGAAGATACTTACCGGAATACGAGTTAGGTTATATAAAAAATGCATAAACGTTGTAAACATCATTTCTTGTTTGTAGGTGGTGGCCCTAATTTCTGGTACTGCTATACAGTACAAAGCCTTGATGGATTGGTCTACGGTGACCTTGACGTTTATCTGCACTTTTTGATGTTTCACATAGCGGGAAAGGACCCCCTTGAAAGCGCAATTTAAAGGTACAAATAATCGACTCCCGCCCTATACCAGAAAATTGTATGACCTTTGTAAAATCTATTCCTTTTCGATTATTCTACACCTAATACCGACACGAAATTTCTCACCATCTCAGAAATGTCACTTTCCACCATTGAAAGTCTACCAAACGAGATTATAGAAGCTATCTTCCTAGAGGCTTTAGAGATCAACCTAGCCCGTGCCTCTAATGTGATTGCCGCTGCAATCTCCCGGGAGCCCGTTTATACAGTCTTCATGATACATGCATTTTGGAATGATCCACAAGATTGCGACCGCCAACGCCACTTTGATCGAGAGTCCGTATATACGAATGTTAGGTTCCAAAAGGCGGACTACCGCGAAAGTTCGGCAATTAGACTTGCACTACGGCCAGGTCAATACCATCCTTTGAGCATTCAAGACCAGAAGAAGATTCAAAGTCAAGTCGTTTCTTGTCACTGGTTTAATATTCATCGCTTTCTACGACTACTTCCGACCCTGCTAGCCCTGACACTGGATGCACTGATACTGCACGAGAATTGCCGATTTCCTTCGATTGAAACCCAAGAGAGACAATGTAGTGCGGCACGTACAATTGATTCATTCCGGCAAAATCACCTTTTGACGAATGATGGTTACCCAAAGCAACTCCGGGTGATTGATTACCTCACTATACAAGCCACATATTACTACCTAGAGCATGGTAGACCTCACATTGTTCGAACAGCCCGCATACTCGTTCTTCCAGAGAAGGTCTTACGTGGTCCGTGGGATACCGATCGACTGGATTTACTGGTAACTCTACGACGTGCCTTTGGAAAACGATTCACAACCCTTGATTTCAGTGCAGGGGCCGTGAAACAACGGTTCCTTGCCCCTGAATTCTCCGAAGCCGCTTGCCTGTTGGGAATAGAAATGGCCATACGACAGAACTCTCGACGTGCCCTCGTGTACCTTGTGGAAATATGGGATTCTTTTCTTCCGATCCATGGAGGCAACGTCATACGCCGAAAGTCGCTTCCCGATGAACTGTTAACGATGGCGATGCAGAATTACACCACAGATTTCGATATTCTATACTTACTCATCCAGGCCAAGTTGCCTTCTGTTCGCAAGAGCCGTGAAGTGATGAAATGGGCCCAGTTGGCAAGCCTCCACGGAAGCATTGCGAGGGGATGGCTAGTCAGCTATATGCAAGGGCAGCACTTATCAAACAACGGCCTTCATTTCTGGAAAACCTACCGTTCAATCCGATTTTCAAAACAGCCACTGTTGGAAAGGGAGTCTTGGTTCTGATGTTCAAAGTTGAACCGATGTTGACTATTACAATATGTACTATGCTTCGAAAGTGTATTACCTACCCCTCGCGTTAGTTGTATCTGGATTCGGGTTATTACAAGGTCTAAGGGATTGGTCTTTTCGGGGGGTGAACTTTTAGGATGGAGAATCATAACATACAATCCGACACGCCATCTTTCGTAGTTCTTAGGGCAGGAAGTATAATATACTCAACTTTCTCACCGCTACCGATACTGTTATCAAAGAACAAAAACAACGGTCCGTGAGACCCGGGAAGAAATACTCAGTGGTAGAGACCGAAAGAGCCAATGGTTCTACTTTGTTTCCAGTACTGTGCATTAAGGCGCTTCTGCTGAGTGCGCTGGGTATGCGCGAAAGGGCCGCAATAACAAGTATAGGGTTGAATTAGAGAAACAGTAAGCACACCTAGAGGTGGTGGGATTTGGAAGAGTTATGGCCCTAGCCACAGCGCCATTATGAGCCTCAGAGCTTCTCTTCTGATCGTAGGATGCGTGCCATCAGATGTCTTTCAAGAATTCACAAATGGATCAAACATTAGATACGAGGCGACAGGCGCAGGTCCATGGATAAAAATAGGTCTACGTGAAGTCAATCAAGACCTTTTATTATTCTATTTCCCAACACTGGGATATTGCTGTGATGCGGGCCCCATGGACTTTCTTTCTTCCCACGGTCTCCAGTGTCACTTTCGGCCTGTCGTGAGGTATGGATCAGCATACTAACATTTACGGGGCAGTGAGCGTGAACCCTTGAGACGAAACAAAGACATCAGTATTAGTTATACGGAAATTCAATACTTACGTAAATCTCATTCACCTTGCCATTCCAGGCAGGCCACCTCGAAAAATTCATCAGCACTCGATCCATCCCAAAATGGCTGCTTGATATCTTTCATCCTCGTAAAATACTGTTTGATCTCCCCTAGTCCGTGTTCCATAAAAACGACCACATTTGCAGCTAAGCGACGTTAGATAATAGGTCTCATAGTGCGCTTGTTGAAGGTCCATGCCAATCCTATCTGCTTGTCCTTGTCTCTGTTTCTCGGCAGTAAAAGTATCGCGGTGGAACTCGCCAATACATCACGGAAGAGCTAAGAACCAGCACGTTTTCGCGAACGTCCCGAAAATGGCTGAAGCAAACAATAGGGTGCCAGGGATCCGGCCGTCGATCCCCTAATTAATTGCCATCCATGCTATTTCCATATGCGCATGTATGACGAAGCGGATTACTTCGTGATCAGCGATTTGAAAACCAAAGCACGGGAACAATTTTGCGCATCTTTCGTGGATTTTTCTGACAAAGAGCAGTTTACGGAGATAATTGATGAGCTCTACTCAACGCGGGCCAACTACTGGGAACTAAGAAAACTGGCTATAAACATGATAGTTGCAGATTTGCCAAACCTTCGAAAAGCCTTCTCTCCGATGATTGACCCCAAACTCGTTAAAATGGTTCCTGGTTTTGCGGTTGATCTTTATATAGCGACAATGGACAGATATGTTCCATTTCCTTCAACATTTAATGGTAAAAAAGATGGCTCCATGTTTCAACTTATGGGCTCTACAGGCTTTTCAGCATGGTCATTGTAAAGGGAGAGGAAACACAAGGAAACGCATAAAGAAAACTATACAACCTTATACATCTCGATCCATCTTTTCCGGGTTCAGATAAGACCTGACCCAATCTACAGCCTAACTCAATCGATCCAAAAGATTCTGAGTGGTGAATAGTCAAATTGTTTGCTAGGGAGCACATCGCATGGTTGTCTAATTAAGCGCATCGAGTTGCTAAGTATCCATCGTATGAAGACTAATAGTAAATTATAGACCCTCAATCATGCGGGATTTGCTCACCTTACATTTCATGGTATTAAGGATCTTGCTAGATTGTTGGGAGTCTCCCTTTGATTGTTGTGTTTGCGCGAAGCATTCTATCCATTTCGACGAGGATATTACGGTACTATAACAATGACTCATTGTAGTTACCAATGAATACAATACAGCCCTACATGGGGAAGTGCTAAAATTAGGTTCTCGTGTCTCCACTTAGGGTACGGGAATCAAATCGGAAGAGTGTGGAGTTAAAGCTGATTTCGAATTCCACTGTACCTCTCCTCCTTGATTACTGAATCGGGATGAGGCTGGGTGGCCAAATAATGCTGTATCTGCTGAAGTCTTGTGTCATATCAAATCCAAAGAACGTGCATAACAATCGTCTCTCATGAGTCCCTTCTACGTGAGGAAGTTTTGTTCGGACGCATTTGGTAATGAGATTCCATATTTCGACCGGAACTTCGCAGCTTATCTTTCCTTTTCTCTGAATTTATCAATATAGCAAACTTACTACGATAATCTGATGCTCCGTAGTTGTCCGAAACGACGAGATTTTTCACGGGGTTGGGTGAAACGACGGACCGTTCGTCGTTTTGGGCCGTAATTTAGAGTAGTGGGACATAGAATAAATAGACATTGAATAACGGTTCTCTTTGGAAGAAGGGAGTACAAGAGCTTCATCCATCCAATAGTTGCGTGCCGTTGACTCCGCTCGCGGGACCACTCAAATGCTTAGATCATCGTCTGGCTCTAGAGGGAGCGGCTTGTTATTTTCATCATCTCTCTGTATCTTGGTCTTCATCTCGTTCAAAGTCTACCCATATTTGATTATAAGGATGGCTGGAACCATAGGCCGAGTCACCCAACGAAGATACAAAGTTCGAATCGAGATATGTGGCGCTCCGTGCTTGAAGATTTTTGAATGTGTGATGTTTACCCTTCCCGGGGTCCAGACACGGCGGAGGGAGTCCTTTATTATTGTATGTACCATTTTTCTCTCTGAAATCTTCATACGGGCTTTCAAAGCCCTCATCCTTCAAAAGCCCTTGCACACCCATTCCTGAGGTTTCCATGACCACACTTGATAGTTCAGGGGTTGTAGTGTAGTTCCTTCTATCTCTAATTTACGCAGAGCGAACAGTTGTGACATTGAAAAGTGATTCCTGCCTCGATTAAGGGACCATTTTCATACGGACCTGAGCAGAAAAGCTGTAAAGGAATATATTGGGACAACAGTCACAACTTAGTCTAGTCCAAGAAGAGACCAAGATTGATGCGGAACATCGTCGGTAAATTTGGTTCAGAGCGGTAGGTGCTTGATAGCAGGGTACTAAGGAATTCCAGGATTTTCCAGATATCGAGATTGTCGAGTTTGGCTAATAACAAGCCGCATTTTCTGTTCCACTAGCCTTCCGTACAAGCGCTTTTAGGACAGCAGAACACCCGACATCCAGTCACTGTGAAATATGTGAGAAATGTGCCGGCATCTAGGTGGTATGTACAATATGATGTTCCGGGCAAGTTCGATCCACTGCCGGCCAAGAACTACAAGACGACATCACCCTTGCGTACCACAGTTTGCCAAGAGGGTAAAGATCTGTTGAAGGCACCGAAGACCAATCTCATCGGACGTCCACCCTTTGGGACTAATCCCGACGGGTCAATCTTCTGGATGGGTATATTACCACGCTTGGCTATATAGCTTTCCTTGAAACCAAATGAATTTGGGACATCGGCGTATGATTAGCTCCAACGCCACATATAATGTAAATATTAGCATAGATTCCACAACTTTCAATAAGCCCTGGGTATTCATCCACCCCTTCAGATCTCTTCCTACCTGCTGAGTCCATGCCCCAATTAGCCACAAGCAGTTTATAAGTCGATCCGGGAGACCAAAACACACTGCATCGATTGGCATACTTCTCAGACACTAATAAGTCGATTGTTTCTTAATAGCTGACAGCATGATACCTATCGCCATTATTCTTTTCTTCACTCTCGCACTGGCCGTTCAGGTCATCTCGCTAGCCGGTACCGCCAACAGCACTCGCCTAGTCCCAAAACAAATGGCCACCCGTCTTGTATTCGCGCATTTTATGGTAATTTCTTAACGTATGAGATCCGATACATCTGAGCTTCAAATGACATATCCACAGGTCGGAGCTACTAGCACCCGCCGGAGCGTGTCTGACTACGATGAGGATATGCGACGCGCAAAAGCACTAGGGATCGATGCCTTCGCTTTGAATATTGGAGTGGATTCGTATACTGACCAACAGCTCGAGCTTGCCTATGAATCTGCTGCGCGGAACTTGATGAAAGTCTTCATATCCTTTGACTTCAACTGGTGGCAAACGGATCAAGCTGCCGACATTGGCTATAAGATTGTTCAGTTTGCCACCAGGCCCGCTCAGCTAACAGTTGACAACAAGGTATTTGCATCAACCTTCGGAGGGGACGGATTGAATGAGGCAGCGTTAAGGGCAGCCGCAGGAATGCCGATTTTCTTCGCTCCCAATTTCCACCCAGGCTTTGGGGCAGACATCTCAACTGTCGACGGCCTTTTTAATTGGCTGGCATGGCCCCACGATGGAAGGAATAAGGCACCGACACAGTACAGCAATATTTCAGTCGGGGATGGAGATCAGGCTTATCTCAATGCCCTAGCAGGAAGAGCCTACGTAGCTCGTGAGTGATTGATCCCCTTGTCGTATCCCGTTCCATTCCTTGCTTCCGCATTTATCTGACGTCTCAAAAGCAGTATCCCCATGGTTCTTCACTCATTTTGGACCGGAGGTATCGTACAGCAAGAATTGGGTATTCCCTTCAGACTTGCTTTGGTACGATCGATGGCATGAAGTATTGGCCATGGGGCCTCGTTTCATCGAAATCGTGTCATGGAATGACTATGGCGAGTCTCACTATACGGGACCCTTGAATTCCCCTCACACCGATGACGGGGCTTCAAAGTGGGTCAATGACATGTAACGTCCTCTCCCGGGATAGTGTCCCGATGTTCTAACACTCATAGGCCACATGATGCATGGCTAGAGATGGCCAAGCCCTTCATCGCAGCATTCAAAGCAGGCGCATCTTCTCCAGACAATTACATCACTTCTGATCAATTGATCTACTGGTATCGGCCTTCCCTGCGTAACCAAAACTGCGACATGACAGACACTTGTATGTCTCTAGCTAATAACATCAGTGGGAGTTATTTCCTGGGCCGGCCAGACGGCTGGCAGTGCATGGAGGATTCTCTGTTCGTGGTCTCTTTATTGCACAGCGCCGCATCTGTGCAAATCAATTCCGGTGGCATACTGCACTCCTACAATGCTCCAGCAGGGTCGTTTGCCCAAGCAGTCCCAATGAATCCTGGAGACCAATCGTTCGCGGTCCATCGCAATGGAAAGTTAATTCTTGTTGGGACTAGTCCTAAAAAGATCATTGACGGCTGTGTCTGCGGTCTCTATAACTTCAACGCTTATGGTGAGTACTTCGCAATCAAGCCCCGTGTTGAAAGCTTTCGTGCCGGATTCTAATCTGTTTTGGCAGTTGGAAGCCTTCCAGAAGCAATTGTGGGTACATTGCAACCAGATGGCCTGATCTCTTTTTCTCACGGATTGCACGTTCAAACTTGTGAGGCTACCCCTTCGCTGAAAGGCTTAGCTCGCGATCTGTCCACGGGCTCAGCGTACGCTGTGCGCACAGAGAAAGCAACTAGTATGAGCAATCTTCGACAAGCCGCATCAACTATCTATCCGGCTTTACCAACCCGCGGCATATAATAAAAACGACCCCTTTTGCCCCACCGTCAATGGATTAATCCACCGGACAGTGCTCTATTTCGTATTTTTTCTGCCGTGCTGACGGATCGCGACAAAGACGCAGGTGCTTGGCATTCTATTTCAGTCAGGTTCAAGGCCCAGTTTCTCGTAGCCTTCTAGAGAGTTGAAAGGGCGCCAGGTCTCATAGTGCGCTTGTTGAAGGTCCATGCCAATCCGATCTGCTTGTCCTTGTCTCTGTTTCTCGGCAGTGCTTGATAAGCAACAAGATACGAGTTCATATGAGTGATCCGTTCCATATGGGTGGCGGATCCTCGCTTGCGAGGGTCTGTAATTTTGGTAAAAAATGTAAGGGCCGGTTATCGCTCACACATCAGTATTTGAATATTTATCCTGTAAGTTAGGTTGTGCAAGATATCATCTCCCAACTTCGGTTTTGGGGTATTTAATGTGATCTGTTTCGTATATATCTTTCGCGACGAATATTACGGGACTTGTCACCAATTACGACGTATTATTTCAGACTTCCGAGTTCCAATATTAGCTCTATTCTCCCACGGTCGGGTGGTCTTGACCTAGTCTGAGAGAAGATTGCTTTCTTGTGCTATACGCCTTTGAAGTATATTGGAAATTTTCTTCATTGCCTTCTTTTCACTCTAGGGAATTGGCAAGTCTCAGTGTAGTCAACAGAGCACAACGCGTAAACTAGAATACGTCTAGTACTGTGCATTGCTTATAGTCCCTACATGACATAACCAAATTGAGCACATTTCTCTTACTTGAGCCACCTTATGTTGGCACTTCCTGTCCCGCGTTTGCGACTAACCATATTTAATCGTCTCTTTCAAAATTCGACTCATGGCATAAGGGAGGTCCGTTCTTCTGACCTTGACTGGTAAAGAGTTTAAGGCTAAGGCTCATGGTTGTTGCTTGCGACACGAATAGCCATTTGGCGAGAAAGTAGATAAATTCACAGAATGTTCCGTACTTGAAAGACCTTATATTCGTTGTATGCTCGACGAATATTACAAGCCGTTGGTAAACCGCTTTCACGGATATATTGTGCAATCATTCCGTTTTTGGTAAGAATCGGACCCATCATGCCAAAGTAAACATCTACGTTTCATCTTCGCTTCATCATACGACGTCAGATCAGACATAAATTCTGGTATCAGCACCAGCATATGACAGCAAAACAGAATCTCCATAATGCAGTCCGAATCTCGCAGCTTCTTTATTGAATTTCTTTGGTCCGCGGTTTGCTAACGTTGTGCAATCATTTGCAATGTATGAAATCTCCATCCAAAGATCTTGCCTATTATATTGTGGCATGAGATGGTGCTTGCGAGGATTTTGAAGGTTCAGGGATCGCAGCCAGCGAATGTCACTGGCTGGAAACCTGTTGCACCGTTTCGGGAAGGAAGGAATAGCTGGAGCAAACCCAGTGTAAAAGCAGTCCTTATTTTTGGAAGAGCACAAAGCGCCAAAATTACTTCCGTCCTGTGGGCTTTGGATATACCCCCCCCCCCCGGCCCTTATAAAAAGCAAGGTACAAATCAGACACCCACATGAATGGGAATTTTCATGATTACCAATATCATTTGCTAATAAAGTAACAGATCCGAACTGAATACCATTTTCATCTTGCAGTCGGCCTCCTCCTACTGACGCCCCTTGTGTGCTCGAGGAATCCTTGCTTTTGCTATAGTCATCATGCTGCCGGCGGTAGAAACGGCGGTAGGAATTGACTTAGGTACCACCTACTCCTGCGTTGGCGTGTTCCGTGACGATCAGTTTGAAGTCATCGCGAATGACCAGGGAAACCGTTTCACCCCCTCGCTTGTCGCCTTCACCGACAGTGAGTGCCATGTAGGCGATGCTGCGGACATCCAAGTCCCGCCGCAGAATAGGCTTTTCGATGCTAAGCGTCTCATCGGCCGACGTTTTCGCGATCCCGATGTTCAGGCTGATATGAAATATTGGCCTTTCACAGTCGTCGACAAAGGGTCAAATATTGCCGTAGAGGTTTGTCCCAAAGGCGAGATCAAGCACTTTACGCCCGAAGAGATCACCTCCATAATCCTCACCAAGATTCGTGAAACCGCGGAGGCTTACCTCGGTGAAGCTGTCACTAGCGCCGTGATTACAGTCCCGGCAAATTTCAACGATTCCCAACGCCAAGCGACCAAGGACGCCGGGCGCATTGCTGGTCTCAATGTCCTCCGAATTATGAACGAGACGACCGCCGCAGCCATCGCCTATGGCCTTCACAAGAAGGTAGATGGGGAGCACCACGTCTTGGTTTTTGACCTTGGTGGTGGGACTTGCGATGTTTCTCTGTTGGCGATCGAAGAGGGCGTCTTCCAAGTCAAAGCTACCGCTGGGGACTCTCATCTTGGAGGCGGCGACTTCGACAGTCTTCTTGTCAACCACTTTGCCAGCGAGTTTCAAAGCAAGCATAGCAGAGACCTGACCAACAACCCCTGGGCCCTACGGCAACTCCGCGCGGCTTGTGAGCGTGCCAAAAGAACATTATCATTTAAACTCGAGGCGCACATCGAGATCGATTGCCTTTTCGGGGGGATTGATTTCACCACCTCCATCACGCGTAGCGGGTTTGAAGATCTCTGTCACGATTTATTCCGCCGTACTATGGATCTAGTCGAGCGAGTCCTACGGGAAGCTAAATTTGACAAATCCTCCATCCATGACATTGTCATGGTCGGCGGCTCCACGCGGATTCCCAAGGTTCAAGCCCTTGTCTCCGAATTCTTCCCAGAAGCTACGAACAGCTCTGTGAATCCTGATGAGGCAGTCACGTACGGTGCTGCTGTCCAGGCTGCCATTCTCTCGCGAGATACCTCCTCCAACTCCACGAGGGAAATTTTGCTAATTGATGTCGCCCCAGTGTCCCTCAGTGTTCAAATACCGGGCGGTGTCATAACCCCTCTCATCGAGCGCAACACTACTATCCCCACTACGAAAACCGAGATTATCTCGACCTATCTCGACAACCAGGGCGAAATTTTAATCCAGGTATTTGAGGACGAGCGGGCCTGCACCGGCGGCAACAACTTGCTCGGCAAATTCGAACTCAGCGGTATACCCCCGGCTTTACGGGGTGTGCCCCAAATCGAAGTCACTTTCGAGATGGATGCCAATGGTATCATGAAAGTCTCCGCAGTCGAGCAACACTCCAGTAAAAATGTCACCGTCTCTAACGACAAAAGCCGTCTCTCTAAGGAGGAGATTGAGCGTATGCTGAGGGGAACAAAAAGTACGAAGGGAAAAATGAGGCTGAAAACGTCCGTATTCAAGCCAAAGAGTGCCTCGAGTCTTGCGCTTACACTGACAACAATAGCGTCAATGAGGGCAAGCGTCTTATGTCCGACGAGAAAAGAGAATAATCTAAGACAAGGTTGTCGAGATCATATCTTGCCTCGATAGAGACCATGGTGCAGAGCAGGCATTGTTTGGGTTAAAATACCGAGCTAGAAAGGATGGTCGACGACTTTCGCTTGCCCTATCAGTGATAATGTCGATTTATAGCCTTGTGAAATCATACCCCAAGCATCATCAGATTTCCATTGCGAACATGAATCTTGACCTTCTGTAATTTCCCTATCCGCAGAGCCCTTCTCCGGGTAAGAACGGTCCCTGCGTGTCGATATCATTTTCTGCTGTAATCTACCCTGTATTGCATGCTATTCTTGGGGGCCTAATACCAGTATAGAATCGACTTTAAGCCTTTCTATCACTCCAGTCTCACTGTCCCCCATGAGTGAGGGGAGTTCTGCATCTGCATTTTTACGTAGACCTCATAACTGGGAGGGAAGAACACAACTGACGTCAGTTCAATTTTTTTTTGTCTAGGTCGTCGTTGACCAGTGGAATCACCAACCCATGCTAGTGACGACATTTGTCTGCTGCTTGATATAATGGGCAGTTAATATATCAAGCACTGGTTTGGCTTCCCTTTGCAGTACAAGCTACTGTGCGATCTACAATTGGGTCGACTCGTTAGCTCTTCTCATTGCCTTATATTGGGGTGGGGTGGGAATTATCTTAGGGGGTGAAACATCTCGGAATGGCTAGTTGTGGGGGAGGAACCAGCTGTAGTCAACAACCGCAAACAGTATCTTCGTTCGCCCTGCGAGTGTAGTTTACCTCCTAGGAGTTAACCAATGGTTCCATGTTCTTGCGTATCCGACGAGCCATGTTTGACTACGGGTATATTTTGAGATATGTTGTGGGATATCCGAGCGGGTTGATAATGTGTATAGGGTGGAGCAGTGGAAATAAATATGTAGCAATACTTTGAGATGGACGATAAACATCCCTTTCCTGATCCATCCAAGTTAATAGGCTTTAAAGTCCTGGGAGTTCGGAGCTCTCTGTGTTAAGTTTGGCCTATGTCTAATTGAAGTATACACCCAGAGAAAGAGAATGTTTAAGTCTATCTATCTGTCTATCTATCTATCTATACTATTTACTTTATCTACTATTGATAGACACCATATTGTGCGCTCATTCATAAGTGAAATTAATTATGGACCTTCTTAGTGAAAAGTCCTTGGAAACTGAACTTTAAGCTGTTCCAGTGCTGATCATGAGATCCGAGCCTGATTTGTCAGGGGGCGAGTCCTCATAAACTCATGAATCTCAACACCCTGGACGGTCGAATAGACAGCGTCCGCCTTGAGATAGCATGCGTATAAAGGAGGCAGGCATGCAAAGAGGCTAGGTCACCTTGCAAGATTTGGTTGGGATATCGACCATGGCATGCCGGCTATCGAACTTACGGACGAATGGCTGGCAGAAGCCGATCAGGAGAGGTACGCTAGTCTTGGCCTAAAAATGAACCTCAAGCTTGGTGGGGAAAATCACATGGTCAGCGCATCGGATCTTGACTTTGTCGGAAACGATAAAATTATGATCGTGGGGATCAATGTGGTTTTTGCAAGATCAGGGTCCCAAGGATATTTCCACACTGTAGCGGGCCTTGTCGCATCGTCATGCTCTCGGCTTTATCAGTGACCTTCGGAGATCAGTGTGTAACGTGGCAAAGACCCGCTTATCCGCATTCTTGACGAGATGTTGGGATGACGGATTCGGTATTGGGCCAAAATCATGACAATATGCTTCCGCAAGATATTGCGATCTATCGTAGTATGGTTTCGGGCGGCAAATACGGGCCTTGGGTCGATCAGGAATTTTCTGTGAGCAAGAATGCTTGTAGGGCCTCAAAGTTCAAGCAGCATGCACAAGGAGACTTGCCGCGAATCACCGTGGTGCTCGTAGTCAAGAGCCATGAAGCACGATTCCACCCTACAGCCGACACCGAGGGACACAGCTCCGGTAGTCCACTGGCTGGTACCGTTGTGGACCGCGGCATCTCAGAACCTCGCCATCGGGACTTTTTCCTGCAATCTCACAGCCCAATGCAGGGCCCCAATCAACCGACTCGGTGCTTCGTGATATTCGACGAAGTGTTTCGCAGGCGATGCTGTGTCCGTAGTAATATGCGTGGTCCGGTCGATTTGCTAGAGAACCTTACCCACACGCTCTGCTATCTGTCCGGCGATACTATACAGGCAAGAAGCACTTGCGCACTGGTACACTACGCAGATCCTATTTGCCATGCCTCGTGTAGCTGGGAACAGATTTAAGCATACTTCTTGCTCGATGGACAATTGGGAAGCCGGTGTTAACTGTGAGCACATTTATAGATTCGGGCGGCAGTGCCGCGATGGACCAATACACACATGCAATGGGGAGGGTGTATTTATACCCCAGAAGATTGAGTATGAAGACCAGCATTCACTCAAGTTAAAGCAAGACCTCTGACCTAAAATTACGCAGAGCAATTGGCATACTCCTCTAGACGCAAGAAACAAAATATCCACCACCGATGAAATTGCAGGCTCGAAGAACCATAAGCTAACTGTTACCTGGTGGGATGAATCATATTTAGACAGCTCCGAAACACTTAAAACCTGGCATGCGATGTGCTTCCTCCTGCAGTCTGCATGTGGTCTATGCCGCCAATTACTTTGCGAGATAGTGACTGAGAATGACCGAGGCGGTTGATGCCTGACTGGCTGCTATGTGGCTTTCTTGGTTTCGGGGCACTCCATGTGCATTTCGATCCAGATTCCTATGTGATCGCAGGGCTGGTCTTATGGTTTCCCTCGTCATTATCTCTCATGTACGGTAACTGTTCTCCTCGATAAATCAAAACATAAAATAGATAGAAGAAAACCAGTTGTTTTATTCCTGATAATAGTTTAGAGCCCCAACCACCGAATACGGGGGGCGGTGTGCCGAGTGCCGAAGTGCTCCCATTCATTCACTGTTAGTGGGTTTCCGGCATCTAGAAAACAAGAAAGAAAGCCATCAAGGTTGTTATGAAAGCCACCTTAAGGGAAAGAATCTCTGTTGCAGAGGTGAAAACCCATAGGACAAATGGAATCGTATGAATAATGCAGAGGAAAAGGGAGTAATCTGGCATCGAAGCGCTTGCGAATAGGAACCCTGTGCATGTATAAAGATGAAGCAATAGAGCTTTGAGGGCGATAATTAGTTATTTATTTTCGGTGCCTTCCTAATTGTCTAGAGACAGACATTGTATTGTGATGGTGTCTCAATAATGTGTCTGATTTTGAAAATGCTTCAAATTTCATCATCAGGTGCCCCTTCAACTCTGTAGAAGGGTACGAGGAACTGGGCCTTGAGCCTGACCGATAAATAGAATGATTGAGATTCTTATACCCGTTACAGCTCTTTCCAGGCGTCGGATGTGCTATCCAGGTCGGTGCGCCCTATCTGGCATCGGAGAACCTACTGTATCTTAACGCCGTTCCCAAAGTAATGACTAGCTAGGCCATCAGTGCTTTGCAAAATCCGCAGAAACCCGAAGAGCCCGCAAAAAAGCCCACAAGAACTTGGAAAACATGAGACCTATAACATCCTATCAAAATATATTTTGAAAAGGGAAACGCTCTACGCAGTATGGTATACTCTTTTGGCATACGGGTTGAGTTAGCATTCGTAATTCGGCGTCATACCAACCGGGGCATACAAAGAGAATTGGGACGACGGTCCAAGAATCGAATTCAGAGAGGTGTAGGAGCGTATATTGTCAATCTGTAACTTTCTGCTACTTGTAACCTCCGTACATCAATGCTTACATAACAAAACTGCAAAAAGAAAGAAAGGACAGGCAAGGCTAATACGTAGTGAGGACTACGTTCCCCCACTACAATAGATATAACGTATTTCACATACGAGCCGGACACATGTGCGAGCCGGACACCTCAAAACACCATGTATTGTCCGGTATTTATTTTCTATAACAGTAACCTACAAAACGAATACTTACCGGGCTATTCATACATCTGATTAGGGTTATGAAAGTGGTTCTCTCTCATTCCCGACATGGAAGGCGAAGGCGGTCACTAGGTTACTGTATTCGCCAGATGGGGAGCAAGCCGCCAACAGTCCACCTAGGGCGATAAAAATAGATATTACCGGATCTTAAAAATAACCTTGGAATCTCTAAGTCCCGTAACCGAGATAGTCCATTTTTTGCACCTACCACTTTGACTATATTTGGACGATAATTTTTGATGGTGGAGAGCAACCCCAGCTTAATCTGACAGAATGAAAGGATATTTAAGTAGAGATACTGTCACCCAAACCAAATAGTATCCATACTCCACGGTGAATATAATACTAAAATGCATTTCTTTTCTTTGGTTCTCATCACAACCATCGGGGCAGGTTACGCTTTCGGTCGCGAACAAAGTTTCACACAACCAACCTTCACACTTCAGCAGGGCAAGGGTAGCAATTTGGATATCTATGCCGAAGGTGTTTTTGGGTGCACCGGTGTTACTGTGGACCCGTACGGTATGTGTGCATCGATTGAAGCCAAGTATTAGAGACTAACCAGCATATAGAGCTTACATCGGACCCAAAAATCTTGGCTCTTTGCACGACTGCGTGGCTCGTTGCTACCTACCAGGAAGACGCAAAAACACTACAGATTTATTGGTTGGATAAAGAGGGAAACCGGGCAATTTGTTCCCTTGTCGCAACAATAGGTTCCTCTTGTAAAGCCCAACTTGCAGCCGCGCGGGGGTGGCACAAAAAGCTACATTTGCGACCGATTTGGCACATATTACAAGTTCATCACGATCAGTGGCATCTCAATCAACATCGACCTCATCAACAACAGTTACGACCATGTCAGCCTGTGATAATGCGCGAAGGTAAACGACAGACACTTCTTCCTGGTAGCCTGCATGCGTGTCCGTACCCCTAAACTTTGGTTGGCAAAACTGGTTTGAGTCTCATGATAGTTCCGTAGAGTCCCATATTGAAGTATTTGAAAAATAGTTGAATTCACTTTATCAGAACAACCTATCCTCCCATTCCTTCCCAATAACATAGAGTACGCTAGAAACGGCCATGAGTGCATTAGTATTGACATTCGAAATTCGCCGACTACATTGACCGTGTGGTCCAGGGCTGGAAGGCCCAAGTAGAGCATTCATTAATGGATATCAGGGCCAGGTATTAAGCCGGAGCGGTTGCGGAGAGATGCACGTTACTGCATCCCTCATTGGAGCAAACATCTCCCTATCTTCTATTCCCTATGTTAGTCCAGTATCAGTCGCGTTTATAAAGTGTTACAAGTCATTATGCTAGATATTAGCGGGTTACAACGCAACATTAATCGTGAATAATGTTCACTATGACAGCCTTTACCGAAAAATCTGAGGTCTACACAGCATAGTGGGAACATGGGAGAAACAAAACAACACCTGAATGTTTTACTAACGAGGGCTCAGGGAGCCGTAATCTGACTGCGACCAGTTCATGACGCGACCAATACCCCGTTTGAGTCAGGATATTAATGGCTGTCGATCTAGTAACCACAGATGGAGGGGATAAAATTCTTGTTTCAAATAAACGCAAGGTACATAAATAGTCGGAGATATTCACTCGCTGTTGTCGAAAATATCCCGCGTAGGTATATTTCGGCCCCGGTACTTCGCTCGAGACGAGATATATACGTTAGCCATATTTAGGTAATTATTTGATTTCATGTTTAGCAGGGCCGTGGGCGTCCATAGGGAATCGGGGGAACATTATCAAATTTCTGTTTTATTTTACTACTTATTTTAATTGTTTCACTCTTCCTTCTCGCACAAAGCCATGTAGTCGTGTTTTCTTCTCGAAGTTTCGATATTGAAGATATACCCATACTGTAAGACTACCAGTTCTAGGTCTTGTTCATTAACGATGCATCTAGAAAGAAAGACCAATTGATCTATCCGTATAGAGACTCTTCTCATTTACACCACTAGAAGCAGGATGTTGACACACAAAATGGTAATATAATCCCCTATACCGCCTAAAAGGAAGGTATTGTATCGCCTCTTCTCTCTTTTCTTCAAAGAACAAAGTAATAGGTCCGAGCCCTCTCACAAAAGCTTTAGATTCTTTCCAGCCTAGAAGGCTGCACGGTGTCATCTGCCAATGATGCTGGTGGCTCCATTCGTGGAGGTTCCAGCACATCGTCCAAAAACCGGGCGAGGATATGCAAACCCGCGGAAATTCTTTACTTTGCGGGACATAGTGGATTCCTGGAAACTCAAAAGTATTCACATTCTGGCATTGACTTGCAAGATTCCGGGTCTGAGTGGGTAAAACCACTGGATCATGGGATCCAACAGCGATAACATCGGTGTAGAGATCAGCGGAGTGTAGACCTGCCGGTATGTACAGTGGTCCTAATGTGAACCCGCTGAGACAGACAGAAAAGCTGAGGCTGGGATGACGCGCCTAAAGGGGACGACTGGTCAATTTCTCTCATCCTCTTCAGGCCGCAGCGTGGCTATGCTAAGGGCCAATCCACCTTCCAAGTAATGTCGCAGATATTGGGCCTTTTCTCCAGTAAAGATGTGATGATCGCTGCCATGGCAGCGCCGGACGAAAACCCAACAATGACCACAAATGGGCCATCACGATCGCGAGTGTCGAGTACATGTTCAATTGATAGGTATATTTTTTCGATCTCACCATCACTAGGATCACCATATCCCAGACCCATCGGTCGTTCTCTTCATCCGTATCGGGTAGACTGGGAGTATACCTGACAAGTATTGAAACTCGAAGGCATCTACTATTTGATCATAGATTCCTAGACTCTCTCTCTCTCTCACAACCAGCCATCGCCGATGCAACCCCTGAATCGAAGAAAAACCGTATTTCTGTCCAGCAAAGGTCAACGACGAAGACCAAAGAAGACGACAACAATGGGAGATTATGCTCTCTCCGCGGTGTTTACCCACGTCATACTGCAAGACACAACAACATGGGAACCATGGCTAGCCAACATCAGAAGAATTGCCGATTAATTTAACGTCTGGGAGCTATGCGATCCTATAAAAGAAACAAACCAGTTACTCTTTTAGAACCTGAAGAACCAGATCTTCAAGAGGTTCAAACGCGAGCAACGGCAAGTCAAGATTAGTATAAAACCTTGAAGTCTGAGCGATCAATTTGGGTCATCGCCAAGGATAAATATATGAAGAAGAAGAAAGGACTGAGCATTGTGGTGACAGCTATCCGAAATAGCATTCACCCAAGCTTTCAAGCATTTATTATCTCTCAGGACTCGCCATACACATTGCTCCAAAAACTGAGGATGAGATTCTGACCGGGTTTCGATCCCACCTACCTTGCTTAACTTCAACAGCAATGGAGGAATCTAGACCGAAGGCTAGATAAAAACACAGATATTTACACATGGTTGTTTGAATTGGGAAACACTTCAAACACGGTGTATGATGGCAGGCATTACTGAAGCAAAGGATGCTCTAGATGCCATATCAGTTATGTCACTAGGCTTCCATGAAACATGAACAATGAGATTGGAAGGCAAGAAGGTTGAATTCAGTAAGCTTATTACTCGGTATAAAGCTCACTGGTCGATCAGCTATGCAAACCCAATTTCACAGAGAACCCTGTCAAAAACGGCATTTTCAACCTGGCAAGGCCAAGGAGAAGCAAAGCCAGAGAGAGAATCGTCAAAGGATAAGTAATCTAGGCAGGAAGACATACTAACGTGGAAGAAGCGATGCCCATGTGGTAGAAGCTTTGGTAGGTACCCTTCCCGGAGATGCTGGGACGTCTATGAAGAAGATCGGCCGTCAACATATAAGACAAACCCAAGCTGCAAAAAGAAGTATGACGCCGTCATCAATGCAAATCCAGCCTGGAAGGCCTTCATTGAGAACAAAAGACAAGAAGAGAGAACAAAGCATGCAAATGCAACCTTCAAATATACAATTCATCGCTAATTTTTAGCCCAACCCAGAGCATAACTAAAATTTGCTATCAAACGGAGAGACCAGGCTGGCTTGTGAATGAATCAGCGATGGCAGACGATTGGAGTTCATGCCTTCAAGCCCTCGAGGGGCACAGCGGGTCCGTCTTGTCAGTTGCCTGGTCGCCGGATGGAAGCCGGCTCGCATCAGCGTCAAAAGCTGAGACCGTCAGGATCTGGGACCCGGTCACTGGCCAGTGCACATCAAATCAACCCTTGCTGCTAATTCTCCTGAGGGTGTTCAATTTGATAAAGTCGATTTGAATCATCTGCATACTAGTGCTGGCACATTCAATCTTGAAAATGTTGTCCCTATGAAGACCTCCCTTGACCGTTCGGCTCCCCTGCCACATCAAACAGGGTATGGCTTGAATGATGACTGCACCTGGATAACCTATAAAGGAGAAAACCTTCTATGGTTGCCCTCAGAGTGTCGGCCGACCGTTTTCTCATCATCAACCATACCTTCAAATATGGCAATCGGCGGTTCATCAGGTCGTGTCTTGATCTTCAGTTTCTCGAAGGAAACCCCTGTCATAAACTCTGTCATAACCCCACAAACCTCAAAGCGACTTTTCAAACCTGGCGGACATCGTAGGCGCACAATCTTCTCGCGCATCTTTAGCAGAAAGTAGGACTTTTCCCTATTCAACCGCTCTGGGGTAGAGCTTTGCATGTCGATAGTATAAAAAAAAATCAAGCAAATTAGCAAATTCCGTTATCGCAAGGATGAACGGCTGTTTCTCTTGCAGTAATGCAGTTCGATATAATGTCCAGCCCAGCAGGTTCTATAATGTTCACTAAAATACATAGCTTCTGAATGCAGTAGGTATAGTAGTGTTCAGAAAGTAGCTCGTATCTAATAAACTTATCAATTGTCAGATTGCAAGAGCTTATGGCAACACCCGGATGTTTCTGAAATTTCATCTCTTTTTCAAAATGAAGGGGTAACTGGCGGGCCTGTATTTCGTGCCATGTTCCGTACCATACGTCAAGACGGTTCGAAACAAGGATGATCTGTGGCCTAGCCTAAACAGGCCTAGGTGGTTTCACCATCGTCTTGGCGGTGTGGCTCGAAATAGTTTCTCTGTGTAAAACATGGAAGCCAATTTCGAATATTGCTGTATTATCAAACGCCTTTTTGGTCAACCAACCTACCCTCATATTATCCAGCCAACCATAGCTTCAATGCCTAGGGTTCTCCTTGTAGGAGTTTGGAAAGCCTTCTCTTGCACGTGAATGACTACAAAAATTAATCATCTTTGATGCTTGCAAGCCTCCTTTGAAACTCTGCTACTTTTAGAAGAATCGAATGATCTTCATATGTAAGGAAATGGCTGTGAGAATCTAGGTTAATCTGAACAAAATGCTAACCCCTTTTTCATAAGCGTCACCAACTGACTATTTGACAACCACAGGCGCTGCTCAGGCCCAAGGATATTAATGACATCTTCACAATACGACCACACCGAGCCCCAATGAAGGGTATAAGCCTATGTCGCCTGACTACGCCTTATTTTATCTGTTCCGGGTTTTCGCTGGAAAAGTAGACAACCCGTACTCTTGTTTGTTGGTGAAGTCAGGCAAATCATTTAGCGAAGAGAACCTTGTTGCATTTTACAACGAAAATCTCGCAAGAATGAACAGGTGTGATATCCCATCTGCTGATATCTACAGGGATGGCGGAATCATAACGGTCGAAACTCGTCACGGGAACCTTTATCATCCAATCAATAAAGCACCGATTTGGGATGTGAATGAGAAAGAATTGTACAAGGCCGAAATCAACGATTCTAGCCATGTGGACGTCCTGCTACATGTAAATACGAAAGAAAATGAAGTGCATGTTGAAGAACTAGATCACGTTTGAGGCACTTAGTTGATTAGAGATGGCGCCCGATTGTATGTAGATATCTCTCTCTTTTCACACAGTCATTTTTCCAGTCCACACTTGTCGCTCGTCAAATCATATTATTATGTAGACAACCCCATTTCACTAGTAAACCAATTCTTACAGTACAATTCGAAAACTGTTTAACCCTTCGGCAGACAGATTTTGTTTCTCGGCCCGTACCCGAAACAAATTTAATCTATATTAAGATGAGCGGTAAGTTTTTAGCCACTAATAGACATATGATATCCTTAAATGGCCTTAACGGGTATTATATTGATACGCAAGGCCATTTTAGATACCCTACAATAAGACATAGTCTTGAGAAAACCTAAAAATGGATTACACCCGCCCATGTTCATTTTGATAGAATCTCCGGGCATATATTCAAGCTTTCTGCTTCGATCTTTCAATTCTACTTTGTTGAAGTGTACAGTCATGGGCCCTCTAAATCTCACTCCCCGCGGTGTGGACGAAAATTACCCTCGAGCAAAAAGGATAAAGATCACCACTGATCCTGATTCAGCCTCATCTAGTCTGGGTCTGTCTGAGATTATTGACTTGTATTTAGATCGCCCTGTAGATATTCGGAGTGATCATATATCTCCCCAGAACTTCGTCAACATTCGACAGTCAGATAGTTTGGTTGGTGCAGAGATAGCAGGCAGTTTATCTACCATACTGTCGCCAGTATCGCCCATGCACGACCAAGCCTCCGATACCGACTTTAATAAGAAGCGTGCGTACGGATCTGGGCCCGGTCAGATGCGCCAAATTGGCTTGCCAAATCAAACACCGCAAGCCTCTGTCAACAACCGGCATAAATATGATACGCAAACTAGCCTGTTAGAAAGACCTTTTTTTGGATTTTCTAGTGGCCAGCAGAGAGGCCTTGGTCTAGGCAGTGAGGAAGATAAAATATTTGGTTCCAGCAGATCATCAGATGGCCCACCGACGAGTGGTCATGTGACAGCTCTCGAGTCAGTCCAAAATTTCTCTATCAGCCAGGATGCGCAACGGGCCTCGAGCGGTTCTGCTTCCCAAATCCCAGCAGATGATACTGTAAGGGGGGCCAATTACGAGATAAAACCCATGAGGGCGCATGGGAGTCTCATGCCTGATGACCATCATGACACTTTACCATCGAATGATGTCACAGAAGAGCAAGTATTCCTTTCCAGTGCAGATTGTATTCGTGAAAGTCCTGCAAAAAGTCAGACCGAGCAGCCGTTGATGGACCCTAGCTGGTTCTTCACTACAATGTCGAAACGTCTTTCACATAACTTCACTCTAATTTGTACAATATTTACTTTGCTGGGATTTATATTTGGATCTCAACTGTTGCATTTCATAAAGCCTCCGATCATTATTTTGGTACTTCATTGATAGAAAGAATCCTGCAGTCTTAGCAAAGTTGGCCCTATGCTCTGTGGTACTTCAAGTTGCCGGCCGGATTTTTTTCAACAGTCAATATCTTATCGGCATCGTTGCGAAGTCCTGCGCAGGAATTGAATTATGTGGTCTAATTTGTCTATGATCAAGTATCTCGGCATTATGTAGATTTCCAAAAGCAGTAAAAATATCAATGCACTATATATCAATATATCAATATTATGTTATATTGATATTCATACTGTTAAATGGTTATCAACTAAGACGCAGGCTGTGTAAGTAGTTTCTAATGGTCGAACAAGAGGGGAACTCTACAGGGCCCTTGCACGTAGAGATTTAAGGAACACAGCTGGAATTGTTTCTAGAAGGTAGTGCGAACGATGCAAATCTGAGTTACGACCAGGGTGCGAAGCTATATAGAGACCAGGGTTCAAAACCCCATTTGGAAGGGATTTTGATGCCTGAATGCCTGGTTTAAGCCTGAATAACTAACTAACGTGTTTCACTACCGAGCTGCGCACACCACCGAGCTGCGCACACCACCGAGCTGCGCACACCACCGAGCTGCGCACCCAACCTAACCTATTAATTTCAAATGCATATATCTCAACCAAAACTCCATTAAATTAAATACACTAAAATCATCATCTATCTGGACATGCATCTCTTCTATGGCCCTGATTTTTGCATAGCCCGCATGTTGGTAAAGCCCTAGTTCTTGGCTATAAAGGTGGCGAAGGCCTTCGCCGCCTGTATTTTCCCTTCCTCAAGCATTCTTTCTTCTCGCTGGAGACAACTACTAGACAGGGACAACACTCTGGGAACACGAGCTATCTACCTTCACAGACTCGAGCGGGCACCGCGCAGCAGTATGGTCTGGGATCCTACAGCAATACCTAGCCATATACTCCGTACTCTGTATAGACTATAACCCTACATGTTCTTATTAGTAAAACACACCTAAGAACAATGAATTCGACGTAATCTACCATTACTACGATAGACACCTCACTATAACTACATTACGGGTTAAGGTCTCTTCCTACCGACGTCTTATCAAACTCTACTGTAAAGCGATTATTCTCGTTGAAAAAGAAAGCCCAAATCCTGCTCTTCATGAAGCGATCAAAGTACATTGGGGCCACAGCAAAACCCAACTTTGCACAAAACTAAACTCTTGGCGTTCATAAGGCTGCTAAATAATCAACATGTAATCTTATTATTTTTCGCTGTTTTAGATCGAACCTACATAAACTAAATTATTGGATACTGACATTATATGAATGAACGAAATAAACGCTCATATCGTTTTGTATTAGCTAGATATTAGTTTATTACGAATAAAAATTAGAGATAATTATGGTTGTGGTGGTGTTTGATGGTTTAGGTTTACTCACATGGTCGAAGTTGTAGAAATATGTTTTGAACAGAGGAGTTTGTGAGTACAAGTATAAGATCTTACCCTATCAGTTAACATCCAGACAGTTTGATTACTTCCCTATAGGATTATATGGTATACGTTATATATTATTACCATTTTTACTTTCCTAATTAAATAATTATCTAATATCTATTAGGTAGGGTGTTATAGTATTCGTTTCGCATACTTAAACAGCTGGGTTGAAATTTTTTTGAGATCCCTTATGGTGGAATTGGGGTGGGAATGGGTTATTGCTGGGTTTTACTGGGTTTTGCTGGGTCTAACCCACTTAAACCTATAATATACACCAATTAAATGCTAGTGAAGTAGTTACTTTTGATAAACAACAAGTCGTTTGTTCAGCTCTCTATTTACAGCTAGGCTAGTACGTCTTGATGGAGAATCTACGATGTGGTGATCCAGGTATGGAGAAACAGAGCAGTAGATTCAACTGGGAGCAAAAGGGACGGAGAGGAAGAAGAGAGAGAGAGAGAGAGAGAGAGAGCTATCTACTATCTACTACTATCGAGATCTGTCCCATGTGAGGACTACGGCCTAAGACAGAATCAGGCACCCAACACGTCTTCTACCCTTTGTATGTATCCCCTTTCTCCTTTTGCAATTGATCCTTACTGTTTATTTCGTCTATCATGTCCCAGAGCCAGCAATCCAATTTGACATCATCTATTTACGATGGAGATATAGACAATCTTGGTTATCTTACCCCTTCGAACCGACTTGGCACTCCCCAACTATCTACTAGCCAGCAAACATTCGATCTCAATTCCATTGACCCCGAATTCCTTCGTCCGATTATTGGTACCTCCTACCTCACTTATACGCGTTGGTCCTGATCGGAGAAAGGCATTTGTTATTTATGACAAAATGACTCATACTGAATGGGTCGACTGGTGGTTGCAGACTGATTTTGGAAGGAAGAGGAAGATCGATTGGGACTCAAATCACCAGTCTGATATTTGGGGCAAGTTCAACCAGGTTGCAAACTGTACAGATGGGGCGCCAAAGGTTATGTGTAAGAATTGCGGCCAGATTCTTGAGCATCCTTATACCCTCCATTCTCATCCGACGGGCGACCGGAGAGCACAATATCATGGCACATCAACAATGTCAAAACATATCAAGAGCGCAGGGTGTCGAAAGGCCAAGGGTGGATCAAAGTTAGAGATCACAAAATTCCTCAGCAAAGCTGTATGTTCTATTATAACTTGATTTTTATTATCCTTTACTAAATTTCCTTAGGATAATACTCCGACCGAGGCTCCTTTCTCACAAGAGGCCTGGGAGGAAGAGATTTTATCCTTTTTGTCTCTCAATCGACTTCCATTTCGTCTTAGCGAGCACCCCAAGTTTCAGAGCCTAATACAAATGGCTCGCACCTCTCCATCTACTCCTTTGATACCCTCCGCTGATATAATTCGTCCGGCTATCAGGCACAGTCAAGATTGGCCAAAAGCTTGTGCTTCAAATGCTTCCATCCAACTCAAAGATATCTATCGCCCTTGATTGCTGGACTTCTCCCTTTTCACAGGCATTTATGGCAATTACTAGCTACTTCATTGATAGTGATTGGGTATATCGAGAGGTACTACTCGACTTCAAACCTATTTATGGGGCGCATACTGGTGCAAACCTAAGTAGTGCACTAATGGAAACCCTAACGGAACATGGAATCGAAGATAGGGTGTTTGGGTTGACAACAGACAATGCATCAAATAACAAGACTCTTGTGGAATCCCTTCAACAAGTTTTATCGGATGGTGTTATCATCATTCGAATTCCTTGCCTTGCCCATGTTGTCCAACTTAGCCTTAACCAGCTTCTTGGGCACATTAAGGCCGTTCCAGAAAATGAGACTGCTGAGACAAAGTGGACTGATCAACAGTCTAAAATGCACTCATATCCACAAGAGTCATGATGAAGATAAGATGTAAGAGAAATACCCAAAATTACAACAAGAGATTGTATAAAGTATGTAGTCGGGATTCCTTGGTATATTTGTATTGTTTGTAACCCAATTGGGGCCCCAGCCTGGGTTTTTGCTGGGTCGAGATTTTGGACCCGTACCCAACCCAAACCCGGGTTGGGTCCGGGTTGGGTCCGGGTCCGGTTGGGTTCTGCAGAAGCCTAAGCACGATCGCGGACGGCAGTACCGGCTACGGGAATATAGCCACTCCTAGCACCACTGATAGAGGTGTTCCCACTCCAAGCACCACAACAGACACGTACACTTTGCCGCTTGACGATGGGCACGCCGCGGACACGGGTCTCCTCAACCCCCTGGCGAGCAGCGTAGCCTTACACCATCCCGCCGGGATGCCATTCTCGCCAGAGCTTACAGTCCTGCTCGGCGAGATGCAGAAGGCTGCCGAAGACGTGTCGCAGCTCGTTGGGCGATTCGGCTTCAAGATGGCCGGAACGCTCCGGCGACCCCACATCAAGACGGCGCTCTTCGCGGACCGCAACCGGCTCCGGTTGCCGAGCCTGCGATACGCTGACAGCTTCACCTGTCTGCTCACAAAGCCCTTCGAGAAGCCGATCAGCCTCAGGGGGAAGGCCCTGCTGCTGTGGTGGTTATGGGACGCGCTGCTCGAGTGGTCCACGCCCTCAATCAGCTCGAGAGGCTGCACGCTTGACTTTATGCCCGCCCATAGAACCGACATCGTCCTACCCTGCACGATCAGCATCAAGCTCTAGTCCACTGGGGACGGCGTGGACAGCATCTAGCTGACCGCGGCGTACGGCGGTGACTTCATGGAGCGGCGCATCTTCGACGCGCCCATCGCGAGATTCCGCTTCCCGGAGACGGCTTTCGACAGGACCACGGCCGCCCTGGCCATCGATCAACCCCCGTACAATGGTTACGGCTGCATCAAGGACACGTTCGACTATCTCATGCCGCGCTCGGGGAACATCTGGCGCAGCGCCATGAACATCTTCCCGGCGGAAGAGAAGCGCCTGGTCCAAGCTCTCGCCGAGACTTGTAAGGCCAACGACGACTATATGTACATGTCGGAGGACAATGACTCGCAGTGTAAGAAATTGATACAGCGCTTCCCGCCACTGGCCAGAAAATTCGTTGAGGATGGAGGGCTTGTCGGAAAGGAGCGCGGGTCATACTGCAGAAGTACCAATATCCCTCCAGGCCCCAAGGATTAGTCCGCTGGATAGGTTGTCAGGCGCCTGTAACAAAAGGTTGGGGAGAGCACTCCTGCCTTGTCTATCGCCGTTATTTGAGTAGCATGGAGCTTGATCGCATTCTTAGTATAGTAGTCGGGGATCTCCTACCCTGTCACTCATCAAATACACTCTTTCACCACGGCCACAAGCCAGACGCTAGACCAGGCCGAGAAGGCCCTTGATAAGTAGCATGTAGGTTTCCGAGCCTAAAAAACCACTCAGCTGCTGCACTCAGATCCTACGTTCGCACAAGAAAACCCCCACAGGTAGAATCTTACTTCCTGAGGGAGTACAAGTCACTCGCGGTGCTCTAATACCAGCCGGCCACTTCTGCATTTTGACCTGAGCCATAGCGCCTCGGTTGCACGTGCGTGGTGACCAGCTTCTATGCTCTTGTATTGTCTGGTTTCAGCGACGCATGGCCGCATGCTATTCTTAATGAGCCGGGGCACGTCCCAGTGCCCTGCGGGTCGTGGGAGTCGCTGGTAATGCCGCTGCTAGCGGAATATCCTACTAACCCCTGCACCTATGGCCATGTCAGATCCTGCGGATCTGCGTGGGAAGCGAAGGTGCAAAATAGAGAGCTCAGTGAGTGTAGATAGCTAGCAGTCCTCACCCTACAGTGATAGTAAGGTTCAACGACCTAGTCGCACTCTCTCTGAGGATCTCTGGCTGTGACTAACGGACGAAAGAAGAGAAGTTAACTATCAACGGAGTGCAGTGGTCTCTAATAAGACTAGTGTAGGGCCTTACGTAACCGCGCTGACGAAAGGGACGCAACAGGCCATACGAGGCCTTCTGGCGGCAAAAGCACCTGCAATACGATGGGCGAGGCATTTGGATTCCCGAAATCTGTTGACCGTCTAGTAAACGAGACAGATTTAAGACTATGAACGGGACCAGCATTCGCTATTTCCCCAACATTGCTACGACGCCGACCGATGGACGAGAGAGATTGGTCTGGATGGACACCGATGAAAGCGCAAGCCTGGAAGACCGGCGGATGCCTCACAGCCCTCCCGGGAACTTTGGCAAGGAACTGGGAGAGCCGGAAGGCATTCTCCCAGGTACCATGCCAAGTACCACCAGGGGTGATTGTCGAGGACAGAGGCATAGCAGTGAAAAGCCATGACCTTATTCTATCCAAAGTCCCAAGAGAAAAGCCCCTGACTCTCTATATATACGTTAAGCACTTCTCCATTCCAACCCTCCTCTTTGGGCTACTTCATCATGTATGAGGTGTGAATTTCGTCTGCTTACAGATAAGATTAGGCTTCACAATTTCACCACTTTCGGCTCTTTGCCACTTTCGGTACCAGTCGTTACTCAGAGATGCCGACAACCGGCCCTCTATTTCTATCAACATGTTTAGTTGGGGTACCCATGGCATACCATTACGCTCTGCCAGAATTCTCCGCCCTGATAGAGCGTCTTGACGGGCTTGCTATTCTTCCAGCTTGTTTGGGCGCCCCATTTAAGTTACGCGTGTATAAACCGCGCCCGCAGGCTTGGGAACTTGATCTCGATGGCAGACAGCCGCTTCTGTTCTTCTTTGATACTCCCTTTTCAGAGATCAAAGCGTACTATGTACCACCTCTCCAGCTCTCTGAAGCTCCACAAATACTTGTGGTTTATCCGGGAAATACCAGCGCTGTTGGAGCTCAGATATCAGCCTTCTGGTCACTCTTTAGCCGCGATATTCATTTGATACTCGTCATCCGTGTGGATATGGTACCTTCGGTGACGACCGCTCCTCACCTATGACTGGTCAGCATTATGGCCTTTTGGAGGCATGGCTGCGAGCGATCCCGGATAGTCCCGAAAGAGACTTATTGAATCCACCCCAGATTGACTGGGATAAATTCAATCCACGCACGGTAGTCTGTGACGGAGAGGGGATCAAGATTGATTCATGTCCGACAGAACATCTCCCCAAAACCTTTTCTAATCTAAGAGTAACAGCTTTTCGTCGGTCCTTTGGAGCTTTTCTTGCCTCATTGCTATACCTGCGACTCCAGGATATACTATACACCATTCCAAGGCATCGCAAAGGTGAACCCATCAGGCGTTCATGGCATACTCTGGAAGCTACTTCAACCTTGGAGTCCATTCCTGAGTCATGATAATCAAGCCGTTCTCAACACCTCGTTATTTCCCTTGGACGAGCGCCAACAACTATTTATAAAGGAATACAAAAGAAAGGTCTTTACTGGGTTGACATCGAGCCTCTACAGCAACCCTGACACCAGGCAGACAACTCTAATGGCCCTGGCAACCAGAGAAAATGTCGTTGGCCGAGTGGACGAAAAGGTTCAGACAGCTGATGGTGTGACAGTGCTCAAACTTGAAAGTAATCACCGCGTCCTACCCGATAAGTCTTTTAAAAAAGCTGTACGAAAATATCCAGAAAGCTCCGCGGAAAGACATGCCACTTGACATGCGGGTCCGAAGCAGAAGGTTCTGATGGATAGATATAATTATCGGGTGCCTAGGTGACGACGGAAGTGGAAGTTGTGACCAGGGACAAATTGCGATGGAACGTTGCTATTGAATGCGAAACTGTTACAAAGTGAGACCTCCATTCTGTGGATTTGAAGCAAACAGACAATACTTGAGAGTGTCTCACCTCCCCAACCCTTTTCGACCGTTAAATGTGATTTAGTATTGCTTGTTCTTGAAATTACGAGCATCAGCCATCAGTCTCGTCACACCGGAGACAACCCGACTTGGTAGTTTTAGACCGCATTGGAAACATAGGAAGAGAGTAATTGATGATAAATCAGCATTTGTGAGCTGCTTGCAGTCTAAAGCTATGGTCGCCTTGCTTAAACTTGAAGGATCAAGGTATCTCCAAATAATATAGTGATTTATCACACATTCACAGTAGATCACCTCTATTGTTAGCCTTACATAACTCGTTCAGTAATTTTGGAAAAAGAGCTGAGCCTTGATTCACATTAACTATGGTTGCTTTACAAGTGGTCGGAAGCCCCCTAGCCTTCTCCACATCCAAGAGCTATTTAAAGGTGAATATACTGAATTGGTAGCGTCTCTAAGGACACAACCCCACTAACCAAAGCAAACCCCTGATTTTCCTCACCACTCCACGGCTTTGAAGACGAGTACCGGGGCCATGGCATCCCCGATATTCCCGATAACACAGGATTGCTGGCAGGCCGTTTAAAAGTTTGGACCGACAATGCATCAATATTCAATAGCGAGCAGATTCGCAGTCGATTTGGGATCATGTTGTTCTTTGTCCAGGTGCCGAATCAGGATGTAGGGGTTTGACTTCTTGAAAAGTGGCGGGATCAGCCAGCCTCCTTTGCTCTTTTGAATTATCGTCAAGCCCGTGTTCGGGAACCCATCCCAAATGATTTTCTTCCCACGTGGTCCCTGGTGGGCACTGAACTTCTTCCAATCGAACTCAAGTTTACAGAAATAATTATTCCCTACCACCAAATATATATTTGCGCCTTCATCTAGGCCGACAAGGATCCCTTTACACAAGTCCTTGTCATGCGCTATTTCGTTCAGTATGTCTTGAGCCTTGTCTCGGTCAAGACAAGCGGTGATCGATGATGCAATTTCTCCGAGAAGTATTCCGAGAAGCATTCAGTCTCTAGCATCGTTGTCAAACTTGAAGATTTGACTGGGTCGACATAGGTGCGGAAAGAGGTCGTAGGAATTTGCGATATTCGCATTCGCAATCGTAAGTTGTAACGTAATTCCCAAGCGGCCCGCCACCCCAAGCGGTCCGCCACCCCCAAACACCATAGTAATTGCGACAAATTACAATTTCACAACTCGCCAACAACAAATTAATTGAAAGGCTTCTATGTGTTGTTATAGTCCAACATACGTCCTCTATAATATCTTATGCTATAGAATTAATAAGCTTATCGTTAAAGCCAGAAAACCCCATTTTATCGACATTACTGGTGTAATTTTTGGTAAAGCGGTGCGATAAGTGCTAAGCAGGCATTACTACGCTGGTTTGACGCTATTGAAGGTGACGAGCATATATCTATAACTGATAACTGATACTAGGTATATCAATGATACTCTAGCATATCAGTGGATTCAGGTCTTCCACAAATGGGCAATTGGTCGTACAATTGGTGGAAAAAGGCTTGTTTTATACGACCGTTTTTTATCACATTTGACGCGTCAATTCGTTGAATTTTGTGAGAAGAATAATATCATTTTATTCTTCTTATTCTCTCATACCAGCCATACACTACAGCTTCTTGATGTCGGGGTGTTTAGAGTGTACAAACATTAGCATAGTGAGGCTGTTGAAGCGGCTACGATAACTGGATGCCGCAAATTCTCGAAGGATGAATTCCTACACTCAATTGGAGAAACCAGACGAAAAACCTTCCGGCCGAATATAATTAAGCTTCGATTCAAATTGACTGGCCTCTGGCCTATTAATTCCAAGCTTATTACTGATGAATTGGAGTCGTACGATCCATATCATGATTCATGACAATTTACCCCGGCAAGATACTCCGTCAACTGGCTCTCAAAACACCGAATTCAGCACTCCAAAAACAGCAGAGAGAAGTCGAAGAATCAGCTATCGTCTTAATCAATACGATCCTACCACTCAGCGTTTCAAAGATGGGCTAGCAAAGCTTGCAAAGGGTGCTGAAGCGCAGGCTATGTTAGCTCTCCAGCTACAGCGGGAATTCGATTCAACACAAGCTGTTATGGGTGCTCGCCACGCCCGGTATGATTCTTCTCCACGCTATACTCAGATAACTGGCATTATCAATTCATCCTAAGTCAAAGAAATGAAGCGAAAAGAATATAAATTGACTGAGAAGGCCGATCAAGAAAAAGCGAAGCGGAAATTGATTTGATCTTGTATACTAGTAGTACATTGGTTAATTGATTTATTTACGATTTTTATTTAATTAATTTACTACGTGGTGGTATACTAAATGGTAGTCAAAAGTAAAATGTATAAAAAAAGTACGGTTTGGATGACATGTACGGTATGGGTGGCGGACCCTCGCAAGCGAGGGTCTGTAATTTTGGTAAAAAAAATATAAGGGCCGGTTATAAGATACTGACTTACAGTACCTGGTCATACAGATTACTCACGTTTACACGTTCTGTGTTATTACAGAGAAGAAAACAGATGAATGCATATTGGGACTAGTGTGTCATGTGATTAGGGTTTAAAAGAGTCTCTGTCCCTCCATATGGAAGGCAATAACGGTCGCCACTGTAAACGTGAACGAGTCCCTTTATTTGCATCAATTTTGGTTATCTTTCTATTATGCTCTCTGCACCTTTCAAAGCTCAAAGTCTGTTTAGCAAAGGAAAATTCTAAAAATGCCGACATGCTATATTTGGAATTTATTCGGTAATCGCCTCGCCAAAAAGCATTGTTTAAAGTTCTATTCATCCTGCTTTCCCCCTAGGTATATCGAGGTTAGGATTCGTAACTTGTAAAACAACTCTTGATATTTATTATTTATTTTAATTACTTTCTGTCATGAAATGATGAGCTAGCTGCGACGGTATTGCTCAAAATACGATGGACCACCACCCACGGGGAAATGACTTAGAGCAGAGCTATGATAAGGTTGCAACTATATTATCGTCTAGTCAAGATAAATCCCTCAGTCTAGTACCATCTCAGGAGACTTGGGAAGCACGAGACTTGCTAGAGTGTCTACGTGAACAACAAGAGTCGTTACACAAAGATATTACAAATTGGTTCCAGCCAGAAGTCCTGGATACGAGCACTGACTGTACAGTGAATGAGAATATCAAATTTCAGTTGACTCCGGCGCCGGGGAGGAAGTGTGTTTCTCTGCCCATACAGATAGAGGAAGGCAAAGAGTGGAGAAAAAGACGAATCTATGCTCGTCCTACATCTGCATTAGAGGCTTCAGCATCCGCAAACCTAGAAAGTTCTCCAGATGTTGGAAGCCTACTAGAGCTGGTTGCGCTTAACCCGGACTTGCAGGAGAATTTTAATTTGAACGGTTTACCTCTCATACAGCAAGCTCTGAAGAGATCTAGACCTGAGCAGTGGGAGCTTCGCGAGATGAGTATCAACTGTGGCATGCCTCAAACAAAGGAACACTACGCATCCCTAGGGGCTCTACCTGATGAATGTACCAATATCAATTGGGACGTGGAATCATATCTCCGGCACTATGCGGAAGAGATGGCAGTGTGTGCGCATTTGACGGGGTTAATAAGAGAGCGATGTACCGGCAGCACCCAAGTCGAGCAAGAGGTGCTGGAGACACTATGGAAGCTAACTGGCCCACGATGGACATCTGTACATAGGGCCTTCTGGCGCATATGGACGTTTTGCCGGATCTTCGGCTGTGCAAAAGGACGCGAAGAGGATATTCAGGGACAGCAGCGTTGGCTGAGTGGTTTCATTGGCGCGAAACTCTTGGTTGGAGCAACCTTCAGCCCGTCGGATGGAAACAGCGAGCTTCTGTCTCTACCTCCTGACACATTTGGATATGGAAATGCTTTGGGACTATCAAAGACTGACGTGCAGGATATGGTAGCAATCTGGACTTTCCTAGAGGATCTGTTGCGTTCTCATCTTTCTTCTCCGCCCGTGCATTGGAGTTGGCAACCAGAGCATAAAGGTGAGACACCAATGTGACCGGCAGTCAGTTACAGTGTCTTTGTTTCTAACTCTTGTCAGCTGAATGGGTGTACTACATTTTGACTCTAGGACTGGGAGCAGTAAGCTATCTACTGAAACAGACGCAACCATTTGAACGGGCCGCAGAACTACGTTGGACTTCCCGAGCAGCATATTCTCCAAACAGATCTCGACGGCCCTTTTTAATTGCAGCCTGTGAGACATGGCTACAAGGCTGTGGCTCCTCAAGCTTCAAGTGAAGAGAGACCACAAATCCATAAAAATTAACCACCCAATCTACGGTCCAATTGAGCCACAATATCAGAGAATGATACAAGCCAAGCTTTACGTAATAAACGTAACCCCCATGGTTCCAGTTTGTTTAGAACTTGTAGTGGTGCGTCTGGTCTGACAAATGGGGTAGATCGATTCCACACAATACATATGGCTTTGTCAAGAAAGCCGTCCATAGAAAATTTCTTTAGCAATCTATCTAGGTATATATGGAGGATAAGCGAGATAGCCACAGGGAAGTAGAGGTTTTAATGACGTTAGGAAACAGTGTACAATGTAAAGATCCAAGACGATACTCTTAGTTCCTACTATGTACAGTCCTACAAAGTAATAACTGACGCTTATCTAAAATCTGGGAGATGCTGTGATCTACCACCTTCTCTTGCGCAAGTGAAAAAGTCCATATTCTTACTCATGGGAGAGATTCTGTTTATATTAGGGCCCCCTTGATCCTCAAATATTGTAGGTAACCTCGTCAGTATTCAGGATATCTGGCCTGGTGCTCAATATGTTGATTTATCTGACTATCAAAATAAAAAGTGTACATTTGTAGCTCAATGTGATTTCGCAGAGACTATGTCCAATTCAATAGAATCATGGGTCATATTGGCGAGGAATTAGGAGTCTAGTCACTGTGACAGATATGTGAAGAAATGTCGGAGTGTTTGGCAAATTGATCGGGGTCACGGAAATTGACGCATAAAATAGACGGCTTGGGAGCCTCCTGTGCACAGCATCCTAATGGACCCTAATGGACCCAAGAGACCACCATCACTTTATTTTGATAGCATGAGACTGAATGAGTATTTGCATTTCGGTCCAACTACGTGACGGGATTTTCAACCGCAAATTACATCTAGAAAAGATCAGACATCGGACGCCGTCAAAAATAAATCGCCACCAACGCACCTTTTGTCCAGCCATGGATTCGCATCGACCAGCCCCGCAACGCCCTCCTCCTTCCTCCAGGATCGCCAGATCGTCGTCAAATTGGGCGATTCCGATGGCGTCAAGCGCTTCCGTACCCAGACACCAGCTGAGATCACGAAGCTGGCTGAGAGGGCCCGGGTGAAGCAGCAAAAGCCACTGATGGGCTGACGGTGGCATCGGCCAAGTTTGTCGCAGCTAGGCAATTGAAATTGGGGGATATCCCGCTTAGCCTCCGCACTGTGAAGGATGCGGAGATAATGCGATGCCACCGCCAGTGCTGGGTGAAAAATTTATGGAAGGAATCGGAAGTGTGTCTGCCGAGCTGGGGGGTTGTTATACACGATGTTAATGTACGATCTCTCGGCATTAGCACGGCTGCTGGGATCGGAGAGCAAGGTAGGAAGCAGGGTATCGTGAAGCAATTGCTTACTGAAATCACCCAGATTGCCTGGCTTGTTCTTCCCGAAGGCAAGAACTCCAGATCACCGATCGTCGAGTTTACCTCACCGCATACCGCAAATAAAGCACTCGATATCGGCACTCTCTGGGACCAAGACGTTCTTACCACGGTCTTGTACGACCGTGCTGCGCGCATACCCCAATGTCACAAGTGTCAGAAATACGGACACATGGGAAACACCTGTTCCAACGAAACCAAGTGCGTTTTCTGCGCTGAGAAGCATCATTCTCGGGACTGCCAGCGGAAGAAAGACGCCACACCCAGTGAACGAAAGTGCGCCCATTGCGGGGGCGCACACAATGGATGCTCGCCGCAATGGGCGCACACAATGGATGCTCGAAGCGGTGCCCCGACTTCGTCAGAGAAATCGACAGGGTGCAGGCTCTCGCACAAGCGAGAGAAAGACACCACCGGGAGCCAACATACCTCTCGATGGCTGCCGACAGGACGCCGGTAGTCACAACAGTGGGAACCGGAAGCTCAGGAGGAAGCGGCTCCGGAACTTCCACAAAGGGAAGCTCCAGAGAGTGAGGGCAAAGCCTATCAAGTGTATTAACCAAACCATCAAGCCTAAGCCAACCAGCGAGTCGTAACGAAGCACCAGCATCATCGGCAGATATCGAGATGCAAGAGGCCTAGCAGGAGCCTCGATCAGAACCCCAGCCGAGGCCGCAGCCGGAGGATACAGATACACCGACACAGGACAAGGCGACACTGGCCAACGAAGCCCAAGCTGAAGTCAGTGTAGAACCGGCGTCCGACGGGGTGACAGGGGTTCACAGACAACGAAGCGTATCCTTATGCAGTGACCGCAATCTATCATTCCGCGCATGGAATTGTGGGAGCAGCTATGGGCAGTTGGTATTAAGGAGATGGATTATGATAAAATTATCTTTTACCCGCAGGCCACCCGCTACGTGGCCAACTTCATGCAACGAACAGGTCTCCTCCAGCAGTTTCAACATGTGGCGCTCGAGGAGCATGACGACGACGACGAACGAACAGGCCTTGCGGCCATGGAGCTAGGTGTGGAAGACGATGGGCATTAGCCAATGACGATAAATGATTCTGTGAAACGAAACTCAGCCAGAGTCGACAAACATGGCAATCAACTGGCCAGGAGAACAACACCGTCAATTGAAACTGAGGCAGGGGGAGGACACAGAGATGGGAGGTGAGAAGTGAGAAGTGAGAATTGGAAGAAGGTGGGTGCACTCCAGGGCAATCGTTATATATTTCTTATATATGGGTTTGTGGCATTACGGGTGTTCGCACCTAACCGGACTAAATTAGTCTCTATCCAGCGTGGGATGAACATTTCTTATATACTTTTGCACTCTGGGTGCCGATAACAGTGAAAGGGTATTCAATGCCGAAGACAAGCCCACATTATTGCAGTCTTTTCTTCTACCGACTCGGAAATTCAAAGCATGACCATCGAGTATGCCAATTTAGATATCAGGAATGGCCACTGTTGTTGGCGCAAGGACTCGCACCGGAATATTGCTTACATGGGTGTGAATGTATCGCCTGCGTCCACCGGCTCTTTTTCATCTTCTGCAACGACTGGATATGAGTGACCTCCTGCAAGGCCAGATCTTTAGGCGCTTGATGACATGCGGAAATTGCAGGCACTCAAACTGGAGCCTCTGATTTCATGGCCAGCACATAGTCCCAGTTAGCACACCACATGCCTAATCATCTCCGTGTCTTGCTTCCAGACGTCAGCTTCTATATTCCCAATTCAAATATTTTCTAAGAAAGGTATTGAGGGAGATTTTAGACCTATCACATTCATGTTCGTATCTAGACCGATGATAATGTAACATAATAGCCTCCGGCCAGGCCATGCCTGCAAAGTCCCGCCTAAATTTACGCTAACTGCGCTTACTAGTTATTATCATTAACGGTCCCCGCATGGACAAGCCTATCTCCGTTCAGACCACGGACAATCAAGAAACTACGCGTATACATCATGCACTACCACAGAGTTTTCAAACCTATAGTAACAGTCCATAGGGCTGTTTTCAACGTGAGGGACAGGTAGACACTAGCTCCGTTATTTGAAAAGTCGTACGATCCCACCGTAACCCTGCTTTGAACGAAGATGAAGAAACGCTAATATCCACGTAAGACACGGTGACCAATACTCATCCTTCAAATAACACTTAAGCGCTTTTAGGAAGCTCCATCCAATTTTATACCTCGTCCGCAATCCGGCTGTTCTCACTCAAAGGCTCTTCGTTTTTTCACTCTAAATTCTTAAATAGACCACTCCAATTCAAGTTCTACAATCACTTTTTTTATTACCTCTCGTATTTTCGTCGATTTCAGGACCGATGCTCGCGTCTTCAAGAACAAAAACCTCCGTTTCTCGTGATATGAAAGTTGGCCTGGTAAATCTCGTAAAATTAACTCACAGGCTTGTAGTGACTGCATATTCTCGGCTAGGTTGCGGCCCACAGATCGTAGGAGCTCGCGGAGTACCATACTTCCGAGGCCGAATGGTGGCTTGAGATTGAAGTGAATTATTTCTTTTCCTCATTGTCATTGTCTATTCTTCATGCCGGGCGAGGAATGAGGTGTTACCGCGAAGATTCCAGAGCCGCGAAAAACCCGAAAGTTGGGGAGGACATGGTCGATAGTGTCGAATACTAAGATTGAATACATGGTGGAAACAAGGTTAATACCCAGAAAATCATGTGACAACTGGTACCATCCATACCATACAAAAGTGCATATTACAGTTAGTCATATATGTCCGCCCAGATTGTTGAAAACGCGGGTTTTGTCATTTTAGTTAGTTAGAGATTCCAGTATATCTGTTTTTGACCATACGTTGTCGTACCGACAGATTTCTGTCAGATAGTTTTCGCAGCTTCCGCCAAGATCGAGCATGGAGAAAATGCCGGCTGAATAATGCAGCAAACCTACCCATTTTTCTTTTTTTATTTAAAGCAGAATAAATCCTTTCGATGAGATGCAGGTAATCTTAAATTACCGATCATGCTAAATTCATGCTACATTTGACCTATGTCTTTTTTTTTTGCTGCGAGGTAGGCGTCACTAGCGAAGTGATGAATTTGCGCTGATGAGGTTTCATAGGGTTTCCTCATTGCCTTCAAATTGTGATTCCCAGTCGATCACAAAGCCCTTTGCAGCGAAATGGCCAGTAATCTTCTTATTACGTCTGTTTCCCGATCCATTTCACGTTCCAAATTTAATGCTCACTTTAAACCGAGGAGGGTCCAAGGTTAGCGTTGAATATGTAGGTTGGAGTACTTTGCCGTCTTCTTGTCCCCTTTCAAACAAAGCCGAGGTGCACTTTGGTAGGTCGTCTCCATTGTGGAAGTTGGATAGTGCGTTTGTTTCGGTACTCATAATGCTCAAAAGTGACCGCAATTGCGGGTATCCAGTGGTAAATGGAGCCAATGTATCTGTACGGGCCTTCATGTGGCATCCTATGTGGCTGCAGTGAAGCAGGCTTCACATCAGAGCATAGGCCTGTAATCCCGGTAGTGAGCGATAAGCAAAGCCAAGAAATTGGGAGACAGCTGTCTTCGGGTCTCTGTCTTGATTGTAGAATGAAGCAAACGCATTGTTCGCAGGTACTGCATTCCTGTAGGATAGTTATATGGCCCAACGAATTGACTAGTATCCGACTGCTACTCAGTCAGTAGCGATTGAATTTTCGAGGATCAGACAACCAACCAGTAAGTCATGGGATCTGTTTGATTGAGCTAGGACCAGCGTGACATTGCGCGGAATACCCCGTATCCCACAAGATGATCTATGTCTCGCATTAGAGAACAATATATCTGAGCATCGTGGTTACTTGAACCTTGGCGAGTTGCCATAGTGACGTATTCTCACGTTGGCCAACGAAATTTAATGAGTCGTGGGTTTGGTACATTGGAGCCGGGCGAGTTTGGTTTGGTCTCTGAGCTTTCTATGTCCAAAATCGGAACTTTGGGAGTCATCTATGTGGAATGGCGTCAGAAATCACTTACGTTGATGTGTTCGAGCACAGTCCAAGCTTTGTATGTATAGATTGGCTAAGTGGTATGAAGAAGGCTTTCATCGAGGCTACTCGAATACTTCTTACTTGTGCGAAAGTCAAAACCCGATACATGCAATACCATTCATTCAGCCTTTTAGAAGTTCGCTGCTTATCAGAAAGGTCCCGCATTATATCGCTAGAGAATACCATTTGCACGCCAGCCGGTAAGACGCGCCATGCGTTGATGGCTAGAGATGATCAATTAACATAGTGCCACAGAGCGAAGGTGTATCTCGATGTTCGAGACTGGGAAAATCTCATCAGAACAAGCGGTGAAGCATCGAACAATATGTGGACCAACAGATTGGTCATTTTTGAAGTCTTTCAGCTCGTATCGGTTTCACGTTTGGGTTCTAGCCAGCTCATCTGCAGATCCTGATTACACGGTTGGGTTTTCCGAATAGAAAACATGGGAAGGATAAGATTAAAATGCTAAACTACATTTTCGTGACTAGATTCGACAGAGCGGCATACGCTGTCTTCCAGATAATCTAGATGGTGCATAATCTGGAAAATATGAGGGTAGGGGATGGGTGTTTGTAGCTGAGTTTCTAGATCCATATTTCATTGATGTTTTTATTTTCCAACTGGAGTAGCGTTAAATAATGGCGAGTAGACGAAGATACCTATGCATTGCAGCTGCTGATCGGCATGCGCAGTCGCCGCTTAGCGCGTCTTTTTTGAATTGGTATCGAGCGCCACAACATGTTTTCTTTTCTCTCTTGGTTACGCAATCAATGAAAGCGGGTATGATTTAGCCAATGAGGCGCTACTTCGGCTTGGTCCCTCATATATCCTGATAGTCCTACCGTGGGTTCTTCATTGAGTCTCTATCCGTGATACCTTTAGTGGCCATGGAAGTCACACTTTCTGACCAGCATGAGGATAACGAGGATTGGATGTCAAGTAATGCTCTGATTTCCTGCCCGACTCATTCCTGCGTTTCACCAATTTGAAACGATTGATCTTCCGATGGTCCCCAACCCAGAAGAAAGTGCATGCCTTTTTCAGAACCAACATTTCATGCACTTCAGCAACCGGATGATAGTTACGACTTCGCTAATACAGCTATCTTGGATCACTCGCTATTCACTGGAAACTATACCGAAAATTGGTCTCTGTAGAGTGCTCCATCGGATGTGATTTCTAATGAAAGGGAGATATTTTAAGATGATGCCCGGAATATGGTATCTGCTGAGGGTTCCAACCTAGAGGGAGCTCAAGAAGGACGCGTTTCAGTACCGCTAGCTACGGTATCGCAGTCGAGGGTCAAGTTTAAACAAGCAGAAATACCTTCGCTAGAGCTTTTGATATCTTTTTTCGATGGAGTGTATCGCTGCCTATATCAGAATTGCGAATCGAAGAGGCCATGGAATGGGAAACAACATTTAAGGTATAAATACGCATCTACAATGAACTCAATACAGTTATTGATATCTAACAGAAGACATATTCGGCATCACCTCAAGCCTGTCAAATGTGCGAACGGTTTGTGTGCTCATCGTGCAGCTGAACAAGCGGATATGGATCGGCATGTCAAAGCATTCCACAGGTTGTTGGCTGAAAGATATTCAGGGATGGCGGAAAACTTTACTTGTGACCAATATGGTACACCCTTCACACGACATGATAATCTAAAGAGGCATGAAAATATGAACACGCAAATAAGGCAGTGATGCATGAATTTATAATATTTACATCTCCGGGCTTCGACATATCATGCTGAGGAAGGCAGCCAGTACTAGTTTTTCAAATCTTAAGTATACTATGCTATATATAGGCTGTCATATCAAAACGATCGAAATGTTGCAGTTACTCTCAATTTATCTAGGCATAGATTTAAACACCCCCTCCCTCCAGGTCGGATTCCTCGTCGATGTCTCTCAATATCTCAGAGCCAATTGATCGTCCACCGCACTCATCTTTCAACATTTTATTCTGCCGGTCAACGTAGGCGTCTTTGCATTCAATTTCTTGGCGGACAATGATAGGTGCTAAGGCAGAACTACCGGATTGGAGCTCAATGATTCCTGTTTTTGAATCAGGATGTCTATGGCTAACCGAGGATTGTCCAAGGGCTTGATTGATGACAAGTTCATGAAGCCCTTGTATCATTTTGTTCAGTAAATCCAACTGCTGTCTTCCAGTCGCATTGAATTTGGAGAAGTTCTCCACCAGAGGCGGTCCCCAGTTTGTCCACACATTTTGGTGCAATTCGGGAACAACCCATTCGAGCTGGGTTGTACTTGAAATACATCTCACAGCATAAACAGGCGGGCTTACTGCAAGCAATATAGCTGTCGTTTTTACGCAAATAGCATTTGGCTGTGGTGAAAGTATTCAAGTATTTGCACCTCCGCATGAAAACGCGGCTTAATATCCCGATATTTGCCTGGGGACTTCTCGAAGATTTGTATCACAGCGTTGAAATTGAAAAGACCATGTTCGACCTCTGGTTCCTCATTATAATTATTCCCTAACATACGGTTGAGAACACCGCCAAGGTTGGTATGTCTGTCATGTTCTGGAGGTGGCACAGATGCTAGAGGCTTCATGGCGAGAACGTCGAAGATTTCGAGTATGTAGCTCACATCAATAGCAGCTTCAAAAATCCCCTTCGATGCCCGTATGCGATGTGCTAGTCGTCCAAAAAGATGCCCCACGCGCGCAAAACATTCAAGTTCTCTTTCTGGGCCTCCTATGTCCTTTTTTTGTACAGACCGGATCTGCAGTTGTGATGCAAATTCCGAATGCCGGGTATCGTAAGCAAACGTGCAAAGTATGAGATCATCATCATGGCTCAAAAGCAAGTTTAACCACCGGCTCAGTGTTCTGGTTGCCAGGAGATTAGTGCCGGCAAGCATAAGACCTTCGAAGTGGCTAGGTACCTTCGTTTGCACTCGGATATAAAAGCTTCTGCTGACAAGAAGCCACGGCATTAGATAAGGGATTCTTTCCCTTGGCAATGCGCATATTTTCAAAGTCGATATAGATTTCGAAAACCTTACCGATAATTATCGCATATCGCATCGGCACACTTTCAAGCCTGCCGATACATTATTTGCGAATATTCGCCGATACGATAATTATTCGCAGATTTTCTAAATAATATGACTCCGATTCCCCCTTCCTTCTACCTCTCATATTTCAACCAACCATGCAGACCATACATCCGTCCCAACTGAGTGGTTTTACCGCCGCCCGCCCTCGTATCTTCTTTCCGTTCAAATCCAGGTCTACATGACAATCTGAAGGTGGATAGGAGAAGGATAGGAAGTTCTACACTGTTCACGCATAGGCCTTGTCAAACGGTACAAAAATATATTTTCAGATGCGAAATCATTTAGAATTTCCTATTTAAAATTACCTATTTAAGAAATCCACTAACCTTAGTAAGTAGTGCAGCGGCACATGGCAAGGGCTATTCACACATACATATATATATACATCATTCTCTCTCATTCAAGCGGGATTTCAGCCAGGAACAGCTATATACATGCACACCTCTATGTTAACTACTTTACATTCAGCCATGTGTTCTTTGCTTGACATGCCCGTTCTTATCTCACGTAGCCGAAATACTCAGCGAGTGGTTGAAGTTGCTTTTGTGCCATGATGACAATCTCACACATTGTTTGTTTGCCTACGAAAACCGGCATTCATAATTTGTTTCACAGCTGCAAGTCTGTTTCGCAAAACAAGAAAACATGTCAAGCATAGAAAGAGGAGTCGGACCTTTTGCGCGTGTAAGGCATTTTTAATAATCTTTGAAGATATATCAGGGTATAAAGTCACGGGCTCATGCGGAGGTTCAGATCCTCGAGTCCTTCTACTGGAACTGTATAATTATTGCACCTCCCTTTCAATTTCGAGTGATCTTGAGGTCGTCCACCTAGATTCGATCTAGGGACACGACTACGTCCAAGACACCACGCTGTATATGATGGTCATGGTCAATCGCACGCCTGCTTGGTACCTCGAGAGTGATGAGTATCAACACACCAGATCCCTCTGTCATGTTGAGTAAGCTGCGAAAGGCCACTCCCTTTATACAATTGGTGTGGATTCGAATTTTGCCATATACTGAAATTGGGAAAGGTAAGATTCGCCATAGGAGCACCGCACTGCCGTGTGCAATACATTCACAAATCTACAAGAAGTAAAATCACGGCTTTCAACTTCGGTGCAATTTTGTTCGACTGGATAGACAAGTGTCGTGCCTCCGATTTGTCACGACCTCTGGTTCGTGAATCAGGCTTCGGTGGCTACTTCTGCTACCTGAAATTTCATTATAGAAATGGGAAGGTGAACACTGTCCACTGTTTAAAGCTAGTTGTAGCAGTCGAGCTGAGTTGCATTACCAGTGACAAGGGATATCAACCGCGTCACCATCAGAAAACAGACATTTGTAAGAGCCCATCTTGCACGCCACGGAACCAAATCTGGCCATTTCCTATCATCTTCTACTACTCGGCCTATATAGGGTTTTCCTACAATTTCCACAGCCGTTCCTTGCGGCTGATCTCGACCTCCATCTCCTGCGGATCCTGTTAGGATAGGCCGTGGGCACACACGGTGCCGTCGGGGCTGGATAGAACCCCTAAATCCCCATGCCAACCTCTGCTAGACAACCGGAACATCTGACGTCGATGGGCAGTGGTCACGGGCTGCTCTATGATTCTTCATCCGTAAATCATGTTGCGATATGCGACGTATGTGCCGCCTATAAATCAGCAATGTGCCCGATTCACTCCTCGGCACCTATCCCACACTCATCATTGGCGTCGTCCTGGGCTTTAGGAGTGCGGTCGTTCTTGTGCAAATTGTTAGGTAACTGGCTGCATTACCGTATAAACTGCCGGCTGGTACCAATCACAATGTCTCGGTAAAAGGTTAAATTGGTCAGCAACGGCAGAGCCGAGGTCGTCATGTCTAGATCGTGACAGAAGCAAAGGTTTCCCAAAGAAACTACTGTGGGCATGCCAGGTTACCAATTTATATCCTCACTGCCTTCACGTGGGATGATGTGCGCTGAGAGTAACGGGCCAGAGCCGGATGTTGATCACGTGTATCACGTGAAGGCTTGTATACTTTATGTGCTTACTTTTCCTTAAGCTTTCGACAGACTTTGCATATGCTACAGTAAACGAGCGGCGTATGTAAACGAGTGGTGTACCAAAAATAACCCCAACCCGTTGAATTTAAATGCATTTATCTCAACCAAAACGCTATTAAATTAATTCAACTAATTTGTCTATCTCGACATGTTTCTCTTCTATGTCCTGGCACCCTGGCAACCTGCATATTCCGAACCCCCCGGCGGAGGAGGAGAAGAAGGGGGGGGGGGGGGGGGAGCGGGGCTTTGTACGTAGTTGCAAACCCAAACCCGATACTCCAGGACAAACTTTGGCATCGTGATCAGCGTTAGTCTCCAGACATTTGTCACTCCTACACATGAGCACGAAGCAATGAATGCTTCTTTAAAGCAATGGATAGATGATCCCTCCAACACATTATTCAGGACTTAGGTGCAAATAGCAAGGATGCTGAATTAGGTCGCCGAATGTAAGCTAATTGAAATTATGGCCATGATCTACATGTGAATAAAATATCAACTCATCAGAGCCCCTTGGACTCCGGCTTGGCATTCAGCAACTTAGGACTGAAAGCGACAGCATACATCTTGAGAAATTTAATGGCGAACTTGGCGTGAGCCGAAGGCAGCAGGCAGCAACATTTCATTAATTATTAATTGGTACTCCATCCCTCCTGCTGTTCTGTTCAACATTATCAACCGTTACCAACTCTTTCGCTGACGTCTAATTACGATTCTAACCGCCTGACATGCTTCTGTGGTTTCATTCAGACGTTCACTACTACGCTTTCTTGATGAAGTCATGCATGGATATGTATTCACCATTCTGTCAGTATAAATCCCTTGGAAGATCAGATTCATCACATACCATTTCGTGTATTTGGTCTAAAATGGTCGGGTATGGCTTGTGTCTTTTTTTAATATCTCAGATGACTAATCCATCTTTATCATACCTAGTCACCTATACATACAGAAGTCGGTTTTCAATTTGCATATGGCCTCGTTACTCCTATGTTACGATTCGTAATGGACTTACCACCTGGCCTTGCTACCAGTCACCACCATGGCGCAGTCTCCGGCCAGTTGTTGTTAGTCGGGAATAGGACTTTTCCCCCAAAATTTCCTTTCACCAGCTCAAAACCATCTCTGGCAAGGAAGTTGAACCCTACTGAAATGGTTGCGCCTTCAAGTGTGAAATGTGATCATAGGCGAAAGACTTTGAAAATTTACAGACTATTGTATAATTCCAAAGTAGCATTTTTATTTATATATTACTATTGAATTAGAATCGCTGATGTCGAAATGGAGGACGTTTCTTGCTTGTGCTTGAAATTTATTTTTTTCCCCTTTTTTTGAAGGGCAGTCGTAGATAAACAAACCCAGCCCCTAGAGCATACAAATAATCAGCCATATGAGTGAGTCTATTTCAAATCACTGGTTTTCTATCTTTTTCTTTTCCTTTTTTTCTTTTTTTTCCCCCTCTCAAGTTTGATAAATTTCTCATAAAGTCAAAAATAAAAATAAAAATAATCCCTAGAACATAGAACTCTATATTAAGTGTACGCAAAGATCATAAACGCTTCACATAGTATCAGACACCCCTGTGGCCCATATTTTGAAAGCGACTCTAATAAAACGGGTTTTTTTCGAAGCCCCATTGCCTAGAAAATCAATGACCGGATAACTACCCTATGGAATTACTTAATATTTATGCAATATTTATGGACAACGAACATATCTTATTACCAGCCCGTACTCAAACCATTCAGGAAAGTTTAGTCACTGCTCTTGACTAGAATAGCTTTATCACATTCTACTTACTGGCGAAGAATATATAAAGGGGACTTTAATTAATGACGAACTGAGGGAGTGGTCAAATACCACTAGGACCCTTTGGGACAGGCTTATTCATCGTTCACCCAATTCCCCCTAGTATTTGTACGGTATTCCGGGCACATTCGGAAGTACGGTGTTGTAACATGTCAAAACAAGCTAAAATTGTATGGACTAGTATGCATTCAGGACGAATGAGATCAAGCGGAACCAATTCAGGATAAATAGAATGATTGATTAATTAGAAAATATGCGGTCAAGGGCAGGTTGAAATACCCTCGGAACGTGACCATACTCGGTGGTTATTATACCGAGATTGCCATTTGAAATAGTTTACCATACAAAACAAAAGGAAATGTGGGTTCCTTGGTAACCAATCGCTTGCTAGTGGTAAGATACCACTCCATGCTCTGACATAACACGCCGAAGCTTATTTGTATAGTCCCCTGAGATCGTTCAACCGATCTTAAGACCTACAATCAATCACCTGATTCTATGGGACATGTTCAGTACTAGCCAGTACACCAATTCCTCATCCTGACAATTAACAATATAGTCAGGATTCCGTCAGACTTGGTATTTAATGTAATATTGCTTGCACAAAAATACGTAAACATGGCGATCACACACTGAAAGAACTGTGTCGATTAGACTGCGCCAAAACCCGCAGACCCGCAAACCCGAAAAAACCCAACCCGCAAATGGGTTGGGTTTCGGGTAGACTTTTATAACCCGCAATGGGTTTCGGGTTATGTTGGGTAACCCATACCCGGTCCTTGCCAAGTAACCCCACCGGATGTAGTACGTACCTTTTTACGGCATGCCCTGAAACGAACGAAGTGAGAGAATGCCCTGAAACGAACGAAGTGAGAGAAAGGGATTCTCCGCCCGCGGGAATACCCCTGTTTCCAAAAACTTAATTTTTTGGGCTGTTGTTAGCCAAATTCTGGCTTCTAATTCGCTATTCTGTTCCACTGCTCGCCTCTGATTCGCTACTTTCTCTTTTCTTCTCATTCCACGCCCTCTTCTGATTGCTGTTCGAGCAATGTTCAGTTCGGTTTAGCGTTGGCGGTTTTCATCCTTAACCATTGGCTCTTTCTACTATAACCCTAACAACTGACTCTCCAACCCTGGTATCCGTGCCCTGTGCTTCCTATTCATTCGTTATATCCTCATGCTTATTACGTGCATGGTTTTGCTACGCACTTCTATAAGATGTTCATCTGGTTGGTTAAATGACTCTGGCGTGTCCTGACACACCGCTTCTTATTACCTATACTCTTGTGTCTGAAAATTTACTGCTTCTACCCATTAAAGTCTTCAGGACCATTTGCAACTATCTATTGCCTACTTTATGTTCTTGACGTGCTTGCCTGCTATACGTATGGATATAACGGAGATATGTAAAGACATTCTTATTTGATATGTCTTCCTTTGGGAACCAATCCAGGCATGGCATTCGACTACTTCCGGAATTCTTTCTCCCCACCATCTCAACTTTCCCCTTCAGGTTGCCGGCCTACTCTTGTACAACCCGTTTCCCCGCCTCCTACATGCGTTCCGGCCACCCCATCAGTCTCACGTTCATGTCCTTTCCCTCCTCCCTCGTACGATTCACCAAGTTGTCGCAATGATGCCCTTGTAGTTACTGGTTTTTCGCCGACTCCGGCGCTACCATCTCAATTAGCCCGGCCCTATCCTCACTTCCCTCCCCCTTCTTATATTACCCCGTCGAGCGTCCACTCCACCTTGGTCGAACCTGGCATCCCCTCTGCAATACTGCAGCCAACTATCCCGGTATCCCTGTCTGGAATCACCTCCGCCATCCGCTCCGAACCATGTACCCCTACAGGCAACGTGTTTCGTCACGTCCTCGCCTTCTTGCTCCAAGACCGACCCTGGATATGATTACGAGACCCTGTCTCCCCACAGTCTCGGAAGCAGGCGATCGGCTTGTTCCCAATCCAACTACAGTTGCAATAGATCCGTTAGTTCGGAATCCAGCCTCACAGTCCCACTATATGCCAGGGGCTTCCACCAATGAATTCCCAGAAACGGATTCCCACGCCCGTCGATCAATTCCCTACCTGCCTGGCTCGCTTCAATCCGCCGTCCCGACGAAAAGGTCGGGTCCGTCTCAAATGCTTCCACAGCCTAAAAGACACATGCGGGACACCGATACTGACTCTGTCTATATCATCGATAAGGCTCTAAACTTGCTGCGTGAGGATCTTGAATCGAGACATTCGGCCTCTGCGACTTTTCCACCGGTGCTGACTGAAGCTCAAATAAGAGCCTCCATTGCCCAATATCAGGAATCTATAGAAAATGCCTCAAAGCAAGGTGTGTGCTCATCCTGTGGGAGGTTTGTGCCGGTTTCGGAGATTGTAGAGATGGAGGACAGTGACCCTTTGCTTGAGCCGCTAGCTGCCCACCTTGACTACTGTGGCAAACATGACGACGAGTGGGATATATGTTTGACCTGCCTCAAGTCTCTATCCCAACATTCTGTGCCGAGATTTTCTGCTTTGAACCGTGTGAACATGACAATGTGTCAAAACCATCCGTCGGCGCTTGAAGGCCTCACCCCAGTCGAGGAGTGTCTTATTGCTAGGAGTCATCCCCTCGGAATAATTTTGAAGTTGCGCCCTGGCGGCCACACGTCACCGGTATCCTATCGTGCTCTGCGCGGCCACTTCATCGTCATCCCGCAGGACCCGGAGCCACTTCTTGAAATTCTTCCAAGCCCAGCATTAATGTTGCATGATGTGATTAGGGTATTTTGGTTGGGAAAACAGCCCACCACCTACGCGGATTTATCTCCATTTTTGCTGGTACGAAGGCATAGGGTACTTACGGCTCTCCAATATCTAACACGACATAATCATGTTTATTACAATGTTACCGTCAACCATCAAATGATCGACACATGGGATGACGACTTCATTCCAGCCGAACTTCAAGAGAATATCATTTCCGTGGATCTGCCAGATAGCCTGGAACGAGAGGGCTACTCGGTTCATTTGGATGCTGGTAACCACGAAAATGATTTCCAGGCTGCACAAGATACTGACCTGGAGATGGGTATCAATGCGCCACTGGTGACTGGGTCTGTCTCCACTGATATTAACGGTGAACGACAGAGCCCCGAGAGGCGCCTCTTGAAAGCCTTGTTGGACATAGTTTCGAACCCTCCCGCATCATCCATCCAACATACGCTTACACATGGCCAGCAGCAAATACCTAGCCTTTCATACAGAATTCGGGGCCAGGCAACCCTTGTAGACCATTGGCATGATGCAGCGTACTTTACTGGAGCCTTTCTAACTTTGTTTCCGCTGGGCATCGGAGGTCATCTGGACGAACGCTCATTGGACGTCTCTTTATCTTCTTTTGCGGAGTGGGCACTGAAGCACCACAGCAGGAGGTATGAGTTACTGACTGCTACTGATTTGTGAGCCTCCGTCGCTGACTAGAGCAGATTCGCGCGCCACAAAACTTTCATGTATCTGATATACGACGTGCTCCAGATTCGAAAATCTTCACTCGCGAATAAATTGGTTCTTCAACGTCGGCACTGGTCATCAACCACTGGCGATATTTCTTCTCTCACAGAGGATCGCCTTCGTGATGCGCTGCGCGATCTAGAGAACCATCATGAAATCAAAGATCCAGCGATTTCCCGTCTGCTACATGTTATGAAAGCAATTGCCATGTGGGTCCCTGGATCTTTCGCTCAAAAATTGAAAATGCGCTCTGAAATCCGAGGTCTCATCGTCCGTTTTGGTATGCCTGCTTTTTGGATTACCATCAACCCCTCGGATTTACGAAGTCCACTTGTCATCATCTTGGCTGGTGTTGAGTATTCCGACGATATCTTGTCGGCCTCGAATTCCGCTATTCGAGATGCGACCGCCACGTCCAACCCAGTGGCGGTTGCCTCATTTTTCCATAATGTCTGTACCGCTGTTTTGGAAGGATTGTTCGCCAGCGGGCGCGATCGCACTGGAATCCTCGGCGATGTTTCAAACCATTATGGCGTGGTTGAGACCAATGGCAGGGGGATGTTGCATTTACACGCAATGGTGTGGCTCAAAGGCAACCTCTCATTTGCTAATCTGCGAAGCCGCGTCCTCGCCGACGCTGACTTTGCTATGCGCGTACTCCATTACCTCGAAAGTGTCATCATCCAGAGCGTAGATGAGAGTACTCCCGTTGACCCGGAAGTCAATCTTGCGCCAATGTGCCCCTCGGCTTCCGACCCAGAGTCGGATCATGATTTCCACCTCAGACTATTCAATGATAGCAACCTTGTTGCTCGGTCTAAACAATTGCGCTCCAATTGGCACTTCGCCACGTGCTTCAAATACCGCCCGACAGACCGGTCTAAAAGCACGTGTCGCTTTGGGATGCCCCGTGAAATCGTTCCATCGTCCAAGATCGACGATCTTGGGGTGATTCACTTAGCTCGGAATCATCCCTGGATAAACCCGTGGAATCCCACCATTGCCAGCTGTCTCCGTTCAAATCATGATATCTCTTGGATCCCGACCGTCTCAAAATCGTTGGCTTTAGTATACTACATCACCAACTACGCCACTAAAGACGACGTGTCTCCATGGCAGATGATAGCGAAAGGAGCACTCTTGAAGCAAGCGATCGAAAAGGAAAAAACCGCTGACCCACCAACCGCCAGTGATCTGCGGCTTCGGGAAAGGAATATGGATAATTTCGCCCTCCGTTGCTTCAATAGTCTGGCGCACGACCGGGAAGTGAGCGGTGTTCAGGTCGCCAGTACGCTGCTCCATCTTCCTAACTACTACACTGTCAACGCCAATTTCGTCCGTGTCAACCTGTGGTGGCTTAGGCAGTACGTACGTGATCTTCGACGTGGGTCCAGTACAGACGCTGATGATTCCGCTGGAACTGCCGACGAGCCCTGTACATTCCAAGCTGGGGATACAGCTCCAGTGAGTTTGTTCGACAATTATAAATGGCGTGGGGCCGACCTTGCCGCCTTCTCATTCTTTGAGTACTGCATGCTGGTTCAAATAGGAAGCAAGCGAAGGAATCATCCCGATCACTTTGACTTTCACCCGCGCCACCCAAGACGTAGTGCCTGTGTCCAGCATGTCGCCCGCTCATCGTCCCAGATAGCCACCGTCGCATTCAGTGGGCAACTCACACAGTACCAAACGGCGGAAGACTCCATTCGCGGAGGGCATCCGATGACCGATGCCATTGCGAATGATCTCGCGGAGATACTTCTCGGTCTTTTTGTTCCCTGGGACAAACTACGCGATAGGTGTCTTTGTGAACCTCCCGAAACCAATATCTTGTCTCACATCTGGTCGTCGGTCAAACCCACGCTTGCGCCACATATCCAAGAATTTGCCGCTAATATCGAGCTTCTCAGGAAATCCAAGGAAGACTGCCAGATAGAGGCTAGATTACGACACTCTATGAACAACCCCGCCGAGCTGTTCGACCGCCATGTTGATCACATGGATTCGGCCGACCTTGAGCGCATAGACGCACAGGATAACGATTGTTTCGTAACTCCTGAGGATGAGAGGTTCACGGCGGAGACTTTGATTGCCGCCTATAATACTGTGAGCACGACCTGGGGCCGTGATTGTTTTATGGCTGCGAAGAGAACAGCAATCCTGGCAACTTTCTGCCGAGCACACAACTCCGCACGGATAAACCCGCTTCCTTCCAGTACTCATTCTCTCCGATCAGATCACTCCTTGGATTTAAAATTTGTCCCACCCACGGTCCTACGGGACTGGGAAAGCCACCTAACCAACCATAAGAAACCCTTTCAGGACGGCGGCCCGTCTGAACCTGCTACCGCTCAACTGCATGAATTTGATTTAGCAGATGAAGACGGCGTGCTGCAACCCGTATTGACCAACGCAAGCATGTCTGGTGAAACTCCAGCACGGCTTGCTCTCCTCGGAAATCCAACGCCAGATTCTGTGCTGACGCTGGTCGCCACGGATATCCCACTGAATAGGAAGCAATCGCTCGTGGTGCGGAAGTTACTGTTGTTGTTCAGAGGTATAAATTGACTTGTTATTTCAGAGGGATACATGAGCCTATATATACAACAATTTAGCCAGGTTGATTTCCAATCAACTTGGTCGTCTGTATAGACACTTCGGAGCTAATTCCGACGGTGCGGCTTGGTTCCTGATCTGCACCAGCCTCATATCACAACAGTTACTAACTGAAATTATCATGTGGGCTGATCATTCATGTGATCCATCAAGGCGCAAGCAACTTCTCCTCTGCATTACGGGCGAAGGTGGCACGGGTAAGACCCAGATACCTAAGGCCATCGAAGCCGCTCTGGATATTCTTGGTCGGAAACACGAGATCATCCTGACCGCCCCCACGGGGGCTGCAGCAGACAATTTAGGAGGTAACACCTATCATACTTCTCTTGGCATCAATCTTTCCTATAACGCAGCCATCAGCACCCGCGTTAGAAGGCTATGGGCGCAAAAGACTATCTTGGTTATTGACGAAATGAGCATGGTGGATTTGAGAATGCTAAGCGTGATCAACAATCAATGCAAAGTCGCTCGGTCACTGCCAAGATCCTCTCCCGACCTTTTTGGTGGCCTTCCCATCGTGATTCTTATGGGCGATTTCTTCCAGTTCCCTCCTGTTCGCGGCCCACCACTGTGGAAAAAACCAAGATATGGAGTTGATGAGGACGCCGCCGGCCGGCTGGTCTGGCATAGATTTGAACACGTCATCATTCTCGATGAGCAAATGAGACAATCCGAAGATCCTTCGTTTCATGAGTTCTTGACACGCATGAGGCGAGCAGCATTGACCGAGGACGATGTTACCCGCCTGAATTCCAAATCCATCCCCTCACTTGTAGATCCAACCTCGGAGGATGCCACTGTCATTGTCAAATTAAACGCCATGCGACACTCGATCAACCGGATCCGTATCGAGAATTTTGCTCAAAGAAGATCTCAGCGGATTTATGTCTTTGCCGCGATTCACTCCCGGACTAAGTCAACTGCCCCCGTAAACCTTCGACTTCAAGCTCATGACTTGTTGCTCCAGCCAGATCACAGTGCCCAGGTCCCATTTCCAGGTCTTCTTCTTTATACGAGAGATATGCCAACCGTCATGCTCACTAACGCCTGCACCCCTCTTGGCCAGGTCAACGGTGCCACGGGCACCGCAGGGGGAGTTGTTTTGGATCCAACTGGAAAGTTTCTGTTCCACATATGGGATCCTAAAGCATCACTAATGTACTTTCACAGCCGAATTGTTTGATTTGGATGACCTTTACACGCTCTGTACAAGACCGCCTGCCTCCGTGATATTCAAACCGGATCGAATTTTGCAAACGCATTTTGACCGTCTTCCACCTTCAACCATGCCGATCTTCCCAATAGAACGTTCTATCACCGTGAAAGGCCTGTCTGTGAGAAGGAAGCAGATCCCAATCTGCCCCGCTTTCTGTCTCACCGATTACAAAGTGCAAGGCTCGACTCTCTCTGCCGCGATCCTAGACCTAAAAAACGGCACAGCCCGACGAGGACAAGATTCTCACCGGAAGTACTGCTCCCTTTACGTTCAACTTTCCAGGCTGCAGTCTTTCCATGGTCTCCATTTACTCGAGAAGATTAGTTTTGATGATCTCCGCTTCTCTCCCGATCCCGACCTTATCGTGGAAATGGATAGACTGCGTGCTTTAGAAGCCAAAACACTTGCGGCTTGGGCGTGAGGTGTCTGATCCGGCCCCTTTGCCTCTCATGCCTCATGCATGTATTGCCACGTCCTGCAGATCATTATCCACTAATGCCACGTCGTTTCAGGGCTTACAGCGTGCCGTGGCGCGCGTCTTCCAGTAGTCAACACGGATGTACGTGTGCGCGAGACGTTGCAAAAATAGGTGGCTTAACTACGTATGGGCTGTTTTTCCACGCACGTCGCTCATTCGCTCTTCCTGCCTCCTGGTACCTGCATTATTGTCGCTTTTTTCGGATTAGATCGTCTTGGCTTAGGGTTGTAGGGTTCTGTCCGCATATTTATGCACGTTAAGCAACTATGATTGCTTCGTCTTCTGCACCTTGTCCTTCGTTTTATTGCAACGCTGTGCTGTTTACTACCACTACGATTCCCAGTGAGTATGTTATCTCTTGTATTTGTCCCTCGTCTCGCTTTTGTGTCCTAGTTTCGAAATCTTATCTAACCGGCCTTGCTATGACTGTGGGCGATAACTATATAACTATTGTCGGGTGTTCGCTGCGTATGCGGTGTGAAGCTGTGTTGTCTTTGAATTCGTCTTGTTCTTCTTGTTATGACTCTTAGGTTCCGCTTCTTGCTCGACTTAGCGTTATACGCTGTCTAGACTGCAGACTATAGGTCTAAAAGGACAAACGTTGTGCAGCACCCTACCAAACTCCTCTCTCAATAACCAGCTTTACTCTGAACCCATTAAAACAAATGCACTAGACACGGCAGACAAATCAAGGCCTTATCACAGGATACCTCTCCCACTCTAGAGAAGTGCTCTCAAAAACTAAGAGCAACTTTAGCGGCTGATATACTCGCATAATCAAAATATAGCAACTGAATAGCAAGTTTGTTTGATTGCCTGGCTCGATATCGTGGCTCTTAGTCATATGATCTTTCCTCTCCTTTCCAATCCTTCGTTTCAGGGCCGAAGCGCGCAACGCGCGCGTCTTCCAGTAAATATTGGAATATCAATATTCCGATGCCTACCTTGAATGGGACTAGCGCCTCTTGGCGTTAAGGGAGGAGAAATACTAAGAGTGTAGGTGGTGACACCAATTTCCGGAAGTACTGTACCAAATACAGTTCCTGAGATTGTCAATTCTTAGTGGCCATTAGTGGCCAATGGAGAAGTCAAAATTCGTGACGTGATATTTTGTGCAGGATGCGATTGGCGTGTACCTGTCACCTGATATTCGGGTACGAAATACCCTGTATCGGCTAGGTATTGCAACATAGTTCTTGACAGTAAGCTTACCAATCCGTTTTCTCACCCCCTTTCTCATAGAGAACTTTGCCTACTTTAATGGCCGCATAAATCCGGGTCCTTCGCAAAAAGAATTTTTTTGCCCAGCCAAGGTTCTTGACTTCTTTTCCGTCTCTTGCTCCCAGGAGAACTGTGGCACAACACAACTATGACCTATGACTCGTACTCAGTCAGATGCGGTAGAACTGCTCTCACGTGGTGGGAGTGCCATCCGCTCTACCATTGGATTACTCTCACAGCAACGGGGCCGGAAAGCCCTAGTTTCTAAACTAGAATCTATTGAGAATGTTTTGAAGTTGATTCTTTCGGCATGAAAATCATCAGTCATTGAGAGGAAAGCCCAGGAGGATATCATTACAAAGGGACTTGGAAATATTATCCCAAGGTTGGAGAGCAAACTAGTCGAAAGCAACACCAAAGGATACATACGAACTTTGTCGCAAAGATTGCAAGATACCTTTTTAGGTGGCCCAAATTCATGGGAAAGCCTGATAGAAAGCCTAAAAGGAGACGCTTTCGCTGTGTTACGTTCCTCAGAACAGGACATTGCGCTCAAAGCATCTGAGCTTGACGCTGGCATGGATAGAAAGAAAGAGCTCAGTTTGTGGCTTCCATGTCCTGAAGACCCCGCCATCTTTTGGCAAGCAATGAATCAACGCTACATCCCAACGGGACTGTGGTTTATTGAGAGCACACAATTTGGCGATTGGTTGACAAAGACCGATTCCTTTCTTTTGGTTCATGGACCCCAAGGATGCGGGAAATCTTTCCTTTGTGGTACGGCTCTCGAATATGTGGCAAAGCAACACAGATGTGGACAAAGTTCTGTAGGAATTGGAATTGCCTCTTTCTTCTTCGATGACAACCTACCGCAGGAGTCAAAGCAAGATGATACCGATATGCTACGTTCGCTGCTCTGGAATCTTTCTGACCAGTTGCGTGACAACCACGAGCACCTACATAAACTTGTCGATCATCGTCAAGAATTGTCAAGTGATTCACTTCGCGATTTGCTTCTTCAAATCCTGGGAAAATTCTCTCAGGCTTTCATTCTGATAGACGGCTTGGATAAAAGCCTCTCAGGTACTGAAGTGTTAAAGACCATCGACGGGATACGGAAATCGGGCCTACCTGTTCATCTTCTAGTCACAAGTCCTGATGATCCCGACATAAAGCAATCCATACAGGCCGACTCGAATGAGGTTGTCACTATGAGCAATGACGGAGTTCTGCACGACATTTCTAACAAGGTTACCCATGAACTTATCACTCACGTTATGCTAAAGACTTACTACGGTGAACATGAGAATACTCACTCTGCCATAACAGAACGTGCCAAATATGGGTAAGTGCTTCTCGCGAATATTATTGACAAAGTACTGATGGTTATGATTTCTAGGTTCCGCCATGCGATGGACCTGGTTGATATTCTGAAAGAGGCCTACAGTATGGCGCAGCTGAATAGCTTGCGAGCACGCATGTCCCTATGGCCTTCCGCCCCAGATGCTGCACGCAAGGAAAATCTTGCTTAAAACGGGGAAATAGAGACAACAGGTGTTGGGTACTTTTGATCCTCCCTATATGCATGTACGGTTAGAATACAATAGTCACCCAGCTAAGCCTTTCCGTTCAGTTGAAGCTTCGCAATATATGCCAACATCCAAGTCCAAACTGCGACTATATCTCAATATCCAACGGACATCTAACTAGACCTAGCATTCTATTTTGTTGGCCCCCTCTTCATTGCGATCGGATGGATATCCGAGCTAAACTCGGGCCTGGGCATAGATAGGTTAATGAATAATATTCAGCGGAAAACCATCAGCACCCGGGACCAAATGGCGGTTTCGACATGACAAACTTCGACGGCAACCTCGCTGACTGGCCAGGCGAACGCTGGGTCTTGACGCATGCATCTACCTTGGCTAATTGTGCTTCCAAAGTGAGGGCCAATCTGAAGTGGGCATTATTGCGATGGCTCCATATCTTCCGGGTATACATTCATAGCCGAGATGCTATGCATGCCGTGTCCTGTGATACGTTTTTGCCTTAGGTCGGATTGTAGCATGGACGTGTCTAAGTATGACGTTCTTAAGGGATGTGCGCGGGAGGTGCTCTCTGAGCTGCCCTTTCACGGGTCATTCTTAGCCTACACATTAACGAATATTACAGTTCAAGAAATGGTGGCAAAGCTTTTAAATTTTGGCATGTTTCGTCTGTAGTCGCTTCCACTTTTTAGAATTAGCATCCTGCAAATTCACTATATTCTTATTCGCGCGTAGAAATGGAAGGGACGGACGACTTGCTTCCAATAATCGATCTTCTATTTCTCGCGGCATTTGCATATGAATTAGAGGTACTAGCTTCTTTGATTCAGCTTTAGCAGGGAAACTTCTTGACATAAAAATGTATTGCATTCATTATACTCATTCTCAAGCCAGTTTCACTTGTACCACACCACACTGATGAAGAGATTTCTCGTTTTGACTTATCTTAAGTAAGCTCGCAAGCTTTAGCATAGTTGTTATGTCTTGAGACACGCTTCTCATGATGCTAAGTTTCGAGCCCGAGAAGACATTTCTGCCATAGAAGAATATCCAGGCATCCTCCCTCGTTGAGACCCTTATCATCTTTCCCATCAAACCAGCCATTCTAAATATGGTCTATCCAATAGACACACGCGTGTTTTGCAGCTGCTAATGGATTCGGACTGAGTTGTCTGATGTTTCCGATAGGAAATCCAGGAAAATTAATGTCAAAAACATCGCGTCGAAGTGTTTTGAACATGGCTTGTAGAGAGCGTGAGAAAATTGTATCGTGTCCAGCCTGGCAATGCAGGGCTCACTTTACGATTATTCCTAGGCACCAAATAGGGTAGAAAAATGCCAAACTTCTTCAAGTGACTCCACCAGCCACCAAGCGAATAAAGCCGTGCTTTGCGGAGCCCTTTGACCCGCGCAGCTCTTGTATCTTGGTTCTTGTCCGAATCGCTGTCGCTGTCAGACAGAGCACTGCTACCATCCGAATCGGGACTAGACACTGCGTCGTAGGTTCATCGATTTCCATTTAAAAAAGGGCGCGACTCATCTGAGACGATTTTCTTTCTCTGTCTGATTTCCAAAAGGGTGGTGATCACCACCAAGACAAGCAGTAAAAGACGAATGGCTGAAATTACAATTTGCTTGGCTGGCTTCCACTAGCTCGCTTCGTGGAACAAATCGAGCGCAAGAAGTGGAATCTCAAAATCGGCAGTATCCACTGGCGTTCCGACCAACTCGTATTTGGAACGATGGTTTCGTCGCAGCCAGACTGCAGACCACACTGCGGCTAGGGAGGTCATATGCACGAGGAATGACTGAGATCGGTCAAAGTTATTGATAGTAGCCCTCAGAATTGTCTGAGTGGTGTATGTGAGCACAATCATGGCCGTTAGGGAACTTTGAAGTGGAGTTCGGCGCTCGGGGCGATATTTCCTCCTCTTTTGGTGTGGACTGCCGCGGGATAGGAAGCAGGCCACATTGTATAAAGCGGCTACCAAAGTGCAGCTGTAATACAGAGACTGAGATGCCGGCTGCGTGGCCATGGTGAACGAGAGATGGAGTGTGGCGGGTGAAACTTATACTCTGCAGGGCGTTGCTACTTATAGTCATATCCTATCACCAACCCAAAGCAAATAGTTAGTTAGGTTCAAAGCCATAGGCATGATCATCAGCAGTAACTAGCAGAGATTACAAAGAAAAAGCTTTATTGTGACGAACTCTCCGAAAAGCACAAGGTTTTTTCAGCAGCGCAACTGCAAGATGCATAGTATGATTATTGACAGAGTGCCTGTTCGATTCAAGATCTTCTTGTTTGCTGGGTTTGGGTCGAACCTCCCAACTTACTGCTGTCCAGGCTTCTAAGAAAGTTCTACAGTAGATGTCCTCGTATCTTCTATACAGGTATTTCAAGATAGAGGGATTTTTAGCCTGGTTAGCTGTCGAAATGGGATATGGCCTCCCTAGGCCCTAAACAAGAATCTTGGTTTTTGTTGTGGTGGTCTAGTGATAAAATAGGCAGTATTATTTCCCACATTTGCTACAAACCGGATTATTTGCACCTAACTCGTATATGGATTAGCGTTTCATGTGATTGGAGACATGGAAGGCGAAAGCGGTCGCCACTGTAAGGTAACACGAGCAGAACAAGCCAATCTTACATATCTATTGTTCACTAAAAACGCAGCAAGTCGTAATGGGCTATGCCCAATCGAAAGGGCCATGAGTCTATCGTGTAACGGTGGGGCCATATTCCCAAATCTCGGATATTTGGGTTTAATGAGCAGCTCTGTTAAGAGTATGTCAAATCGGTCCACCTGAAAATAGGAAGCAAATCGCTCATTTTTAGGGTTCACGTACCTAATTTTGATCTGTAATTGGGCCTGCTTTTATTATGCTCGCGTCACCCGTGGTTAATTTCACTAAGTACAACCTACTACAAAGGGTCTCGTTCAAAGATGTTGCGCAAACTTGCGGGTCGATTGGTTTTCCTGACACCGAAGAAAGGCGACACATGCACCAACGTAGACACTTCTCGAGCACAAGGTTTGCTAGGAATGGCCCATGATCATGATCGGTCATGTGGGTCTCCTGGCAAGACATCGAATGATCTCAACGAGACCATCGGTCCAGGGAAATCACCCAAGGTGAACGCGCGGAAACTCAATGCGATCAAACGCCAGGCCCGACGCCTTGATAATTGGGGTCTGCTTATTGGACTTTTCCCACTGTGTGTCTTGCTTCTCTCTTTCCACCGTTTGTATCTTGCTAACGATACCTATAGCATTGGTGATGTCGTCAACACTATCCTTGCGATGAAACTGCTACGTGATTGTAGAATGTTACACCCGAGACTCCCTAAGTCGTTGTACAAGAAAATGGTGGCCAATATAGCCATGAGCCTTATCATTGGATCTTTTCCCTTTTGTGGGGCAATTATTGACCGGTGCTGCGTTCGATGCAACAAACGCAATGCTTTCATTCTTCAGTCCTTTTTACTTTCTGAACTAGCTAGAGAACAAGTTATGCAGAAGTAGGCTAGGAGGCGAAGGGTCTTTTCATTGATATGATGAAATATGAAGGCCCAGTCTAAGTGATAATTTGAGGGGGGCTTATTCCTTACAGTACCAGAATGCACTATCCTTATGACCCTACTCAGCACCCTGTTAGGCCTTTCAACTACAGCTTCCTCTTACGTTACGCTTGTTAACCCCTTTTTGGTTTAAAATACGGACAGTGTGGCTACTAGGCCCTTTAGGGATTTTATGTTCTAAAGAAAGGAATAAGTATGGATGGATGGATAATTTTATTTATCCTGCCTGACCCTGGCTTTTAGTTGATTATAGACCACTATGTACCCACTAGACTGGGTGCGGATTCGTATTTTGGTCTAGTGGTGAAACTAACTATTTTGGCGATATACAGGCTCCCACAATTAGATATATATCTGTACAGAGCGGGGCACGCTAAAACAGAAAAAGGCTGACCTTGGTCAAGTATCCTTATAATATGGTACAATGTATATGTATCGTGTAAACGTACTTGCTTGGAACTTTCGTGAGAGCAGTGATGATTGCTGATTCGTGAGGGGACCGGGTACTTGCTGACTATTTGGCGCCGTCCGCTTGAACTACATGAGGTACTTATGCAGAGACTATGTTGCGATGAGTGGCAGGCGCGGGGACCCATCATCTGAATATATTGATATAGACTGCGCCGATTTTCGACACGTCCTGGACTACTTCAGCACATATTTTGATGAAACTATCCGCGAAACACCTAGTGGCGGCTCTGTTAGGGCTGTTCAAATTAGCTGTCACCTTGAGTAGAAGCTCAAGAGCTATGAACAGTTTCAATCGGTGGTTGTCGATCGTGATTTCCCAAGCACTACGATGGTTTCGGGCCTGTCCATGGCACCTGAAGATCCGATGTGGATATGCAAGATCAATCCTGACGAACTGAAGGATGGAATCACGCTACTGGATGAACTACCAGAGGATGCTTGGCGAAACCTCCATCCTGAAATTCTAGCCATTGATATAGATGCAGAATTTGACAGTTGGGGCATGTCTAGTAGCTCCCCTTGGCGCTTCGGTGGGAGTATCATAGTCATGCGGAGATATGGGAAGGATCTGGATGCTGAATGGGTATAGCACATATGCGCTTATTATCTCAAGGTTCTTTAACCGCTCTTTGCAAGGGCACTGTCTGGAGAGATATCACGCGAAGATGTCCTGGCGGAGGTTACACGTGAGAAGATAATGGCATGGATATCGGTAGTGATGCCAGGAGGGTTTATGAATCTCGGGCCACAACGTGGATTTGTTAAGAGCATGTGATTTCGAAGATGGTAAGTGACAAAACAGAATTGCTATAGTTCCAATTGATGGAAAAATCGCTTACAGTAGCAACCAGTTTCGCCTTCCATGGTGGACAACACAGAGGAGCTTTCTCAAACCCTAAACCTCAGAAGCCGTCACACGGCGAAACGGTATAATATCGCATTTACTATTTGTTTTTCGGTGGCCCACTCGCTGGTGAAATACGTTAGTCACTTCTTTATCTACTGTCCACCTTCCCGGTCGCATCATCTCAAATTTGTCCAAGGTACCAGCGCCTACCACAAACCCAATCCTCACTTTGTTCACAACGATTTGAGTTCATTTTCCGCTCAGCCTGACTTACCTATTTTATAGTTGGCGTACCATGTCTCTCCTCCGCCTGCCCTCGGAATTAATCCAAATGATAGGCTCATTCCTAGAAGCAGAAAGAGACCTATACACATTATGTCAAACTAGCAAACGACTCTACATGGAACTTATTCAACATCTCTATCGCCTGAACTCTCAAAATTCAAGCTCGGCACTGGTATGGGCTGCCATACGCGGAAATGAGGGTACAGCTCAAAGGTCAATACAAGAAAAGGCGGAAATCAGATTCACGGATTATAGTGGCCGGGGACCAATATTCTGGGCCACAGAGAATGGCTATGAGGTGGTAGTGAGATTACTCCTTAAGGCTGGACAGGTAGACGTGGACGTAAAGGATGAGCATCATCGAACACCATTATTCTGGGCCTCATCGAATGGCCATGTTAAAGTGGTGGAGCTATTTCTTGAGACTGGGAAGGTGGATGTGAACTCAAAGGACTGTGTGGGTCGGACGCCGCTGTCCTGGGCTGCAGAAAATGGCCGTGAGGCGGTCGTGGGATCACTCCTTGAGACTGAACAGGTGGACGTGGAGTCAAAGGACTCCACGGGATGGACGGCATTATCCTGGGCCGCGCGACGCGGTCATAAGGCAGTGGTGCAGTTGTTACTCAAAACTGAGAAGGTGGATGTGAACTCAAAGGACTGTGTGGGTCGGACGCCGCTGTCCTGGGCTGCAGAAAATGGCCGTGAGTCGGTCGTGGGAGTACTCCTTGAGACTGAACAGGTGGACGTGGAGTCAAAGGACTCCACGGGATGGACGGCATTATCCCGGGCCGTGCGACGCGGTCATGAGGCAGTGGTGCGGTTGTTACTCAAAACTAAGAAGGTGGACGTGAACTCAAGGGACTGTGAGGGTCAGACACCGTTTTCCTGGGCCGCGAGAAGTGGTCAGGAGGCGGTAATGCAATTGCTCCTTGAAACTGGAGAGGTGGACGTGGAGTCAAAGGACGATGAGGGCAGAACGCCATTATTCTGGTTGTTGAGATGTAAGTGTAGCATATATCGCATTTCCTATGGTGTTTCGGCTGCGCAGCTCGCATATGGGAATAAGTGATTCCTAGCAAGGCCGATTGGAAACTTTATATTTGAGCCTTGTCTATCGCCTATCACCTTGAAACCAAATTGACCCAGGAAGACAAAGCTCTCTGCAATGAAGCAGCTGCGAGATATAGAATATAGAATAGCGAAGTCGATACCGTTGCTTAGATTCCAGGAGCTGGTATTATTACAGGTATGGACAAAACGTGTCAGGTTTCCAGTGTCATGTGATTAGGGTTTGAAAGAGTTCCGACATGGAAGGCGATATTGGGCGCTACTGTATTCCAAAGATTCGGATACCGGTCGCTACTGTAATTAACGACAGCATCGGTAGTGTTCCGATTCAGAACCATGGGGATGACCACGAGAAGCCAGCGGGTGGGGCTGAACCCCAGCTTCCAAACCCCCCAACCCGTCGCACATCTCCCACCCCCGAAGCCGCAAACCCCACAATCTCACCCGAATACCCCAACGTTGAGGACTTTTCTCTCGCCGAGGATGATTCTCATAATGAGGACGATTCTCACGTCGAGGATGATTCTCACGATGAGGATTACTTTCTCGTCTCAATCACCTACGATTACTCCACCATCACAGCCCGAGCTCGTTCGTTCAAAGGAATAGTGCTTGCTGGGGCCCCTCCGCTCCAACTGGCCCAGAATGGCTTCTATTACCGACCTTCAAGAGTCAGCAATGTGGCATGCTGTTTTGCCTGCCAATCGACCAAGCACTTATCCACCTTCCAATGCACCCCGTTCGAGGAAGTGCAACAGCTACACGAGGAAGACTGCATATGGCAGATAATCTCGTGCGATTTGAAACACCACCTCGGAACTCACAACAAACCCCCCTCCTCAACCACCGCATTCTCCTCCCCTAAACGGTCAACTCCTACCGCCGATTCCAGTACACAAACTACAGACGACTCCAGTACAAAGAACACCAACCTGGACTGCCGTTCCAATCCGCTACCCGCCATAATAGACCCAGAGCTTCAACAGCCTCCAACAGCCCAATCTCCCCAGCTTCATCAAACGATACCGTCCATCACTTCCTCGCCCCAAAACCAACAAACAACCTATGCGTCCGTCCTCCAGCGACCTGTCACATCCATACCGCAACCGACTCCTCCAGTGCAAGAACCTTTTCTTCCCGCCAACCCCATACTCACAATTGATGATCTTCACCTCCGTTTTCACAATAAACCGTCACCGTTCCAGCTCGAGAATAAGACAAGCCAACGCTCAAGCAAACGAACTCGGAACAAAACCGCATCTGTCACACAATCACTGTCCAGATTCTTAGCCTCTGCTTTGCCCGCGTTCTCGCGGTTCCTAACAGAGATGCAGCCAAAATCGGACGCTTGTTGTCCGTCTCACTCGTATATTTCTCACAGCCGCGCCATGAGGGCAGCCTAATACCGCAAACGGCAGAAAGGCCACGACAGGCCTTACCAGGTGAGGCTCAAAGTTCACCGTTCAGGAAGTTTTGGAACAATCTCATTGGAACACACAATCATGTATTTACACAATAGTGGTAGCCTGTATATCGCTTAATTGCGAGAGGTCAGGGTAAATGATATCATCCATCCATACTGTATTACAAATGGTAGTTCGGCTATTACAAAAGTAGGGAAATTAAAAAGCCTAAATTAAGTCTACATAATCATTCACACAATTAGTTCCATAATGGCACCTTGTATAACTGTCTCTTGCAGAGCTATTATGCGGTGAATGGACGTACCGCATGCCACAACACACCAATCACTATCTAAGTGTCACCAATTGTGGAACAACCCGGAGATACCGATAAAGCAGATAATTACTGTATATCTTTATCCAAATCATAGATATTGCGTCCTGTTGCGAGGCCATTCGTGGTTTTCTTTGATCTTTCGAACTATGCCTATCCTCGGCATAAGGCGCAGGCTATTGGAAATGATTCTCAGGATAGTACGCTGGCTGTAGAGAGCAGCATATGCGTCTGCGGATCATGTCATCGACAACTTCGTGCTTTGAAGAGCCTAGGTTGGGCTCCATCCATCCTAGTGTGACCACTCGTGATTGATTGTCAAGACCTGCCGACGACAGCTTCTAAAGTGGGGTATCGAGGAGTCAGCTGTATTGAATTACAAGTCAATACACCTCACTACATTTCCAGATTACTTTGCGTAAGAAACGATACAGACCCCACTGAATACATTGTGGATACAACTCCTCAATAGCCTCGCCCTCGACTTGCTTGTCGCGTCGTTGACAGGGATACCACGGAAGAACTCTGAATAGAGACTAGACTGTCTTGGCAATAAGGGTTTGAAAAAGAATCAAAGAGTGTAAATGGTGAAACCAGTTTCAGGAGGTACTGTAGATGGACAACATTTCCAATCTAGTTACAAATTTTTGCCAACTCCCTTTTGCATTGCCTGGGGTTCACTTCTTGTTACACTTCATTTATATTTAGCTGTATTTGTTTTTAGTTCTTATCATGAGTGATTAGGTTTCATCTCTGCTATCTTGTGGAGCGCCTTGTTTAATAAAGCAAAACAGGACGTATCTGTATTGCCTTACTCGAGCCACTCCCTGAAAACCACATCCAGAGCTGGCCTAGCTACCATACCATCATCCCACTGTTCCATGAGATACGCCGGCAATACACCCCGCCCCGCAACTCAAACTTCACTACCAATTTCCCGAACGACGTCAAACTTCCCCAAGCTCCTCGCAAACGCCACTAATCTCCTTAAGGGTGCAGCAAGCCCGGTCAAAACCACTTGATTTTCTTCGTCCCATGTTTTGATAGCATCTCTCGTATCTATAATCTTGACTGAGCCGAAGACTCCAAACTTGTGATGTGCTAACATAAAGGTCGGCATTTGAGCTGCCCACAATTGTGCAACGCTTCTGCTACAGTAACAACATCCTTCTTCTTGATACTTCACCGGGCCGTGTTGCATTGAATATCACGTATTCCTCACATAAGGTAGTCTAGGTCGCAAGAAATTTAATCAATTGTAATATGGCTGATTAGTGAAGTGCGTACAAAAGATATAGATTTATTGGTAGTAAAACCACCATTTGTCGGGGCGCTGAAATTCCATTGTTCCTAAGTCGTTAGAAACGAAGATTTTGGAGTACTGGTCTTGCTGGAGTGATCACTCTGCTTCTAGCCTTCAACTCATATTTTATCTCTTAAGCGTACAGCCTTCTAGTGAGAGTATCGGCATTTGCTCCGTAACGTCAAGGGCATCGGTCTCCCTGCCAGGCTTAGATAAGAATTGATCGACTATCAATCTCATTACGTGACGTCTGAAAGCCTGAATACCGAGAGGTCTGAAGCCTCTATCCAAAGCTTCTCTTATCAGTTCACACCAAATTGCAGCGTATGATTCTTTCCAATCTTCAATGAAAGCTTTGGCCTGGGCCATCGTTCTAAATCTTTTATGACATGAACCCGGCTCCTCGGTGACTTGTTCCTCAGCAGCCTTTTTGCCACTTGACTTGGTTAGCTTTATGGTTCTTGGTCGTCCGGACTTTAGTAACACCTACTGGTAAAAAGGGTAAATCCCAGGATTTGCCCCATTCGCAACCGCATAGAATCCATTCCCACCCAGAGGTGTTGTTTCTCCTGCTCCGCTCTTGAGGACCTCCTGTGCGTCGCTTGCACCCACGCTTTCCATGTAGGTGCCTGCTTCTTGAAGTGTATAACAGCTTTTACTTTGTGACCGACATCCGGTCATGATGCGAGGATGCGCATCTCCCCTATCATTTCGGTTAGATCAACCTCTATTCTCTCACCAAGATGTGGGGAAATGACCAAGATGAAAATATTGTCAGCTCTTCGACACGACCCGTGAAGATAGCGTAGTCTTCTTTTAGTTTGTTTATGTTTCGGCATCGCTCAGGCTCCTCAGGATGAAACTAGTTTGCAAAATCTTTTCGGGCGCGAGCGATTCCAAGAGAGGAATAGGATTCTCGCAAAAATCTCTTGGGTTACAGTATTAATACCCCAGTCATCTAACTTGATTTAGATGGGCCAGCAGTTTGTATGTAATGCAAGACAAAGTTTGCAGACTGTGTGACTCGGCCACGTGTATATTCCTGTCAGAGCTATTGCACAGGATCTTTTGGAATTGGATCAGCGCCCTCGGAAAAGAGCGCAAGCCTGGCTGAAAACTTTACAATGGAACCAGGTCACGAAATACAACAATAATCTGTTCAGCTCTTAGATCACTTATGTTCCCCATCTGTTTAGTGATGCGTCATGAGACTTCCACGAACACATGTCAAGTCCGGACTAGCTACAGTCGGGATAGCGTCATCCGAGACAGACTTTAAGAAATAACCGAGGAGTTTGAACGCATCTCTCTAACAGAAGTCCCAGTTGGGCCAAACGCACGAGCCGTTTGTCCCTAGCCGCAATTTAGTCCTTTTCAATCTTGAAGTCGGAAACAAGATAATAATCCATGTAATTTACGCCGAAAATGAAAGATTCAGAAACGATCCCGCAATTCTCTTTAAACTATCATACCTAGTCGACAGCAAAGTTCTTTTGCAGCCAAATGTCCAGCGATCTTTTTTTGTCGCCCAATTCCCGATCCATGTAAGGCTCCAAAATGCATGGTCACTTTAAACTGCGGAGGATCTAAATCAAGCTTTGAAACCGTACGCTCAACTTTTTTGCCGTCTGATTGTCCTTTTTCAAACAACGCGGAGGTGTATTTGGGTAGATCTTTTTCATCGTTTATATTGGATTGTAGGCTCGCTTCGCTTATCGGATTACTCCATTGGGACTGCGGCTGTGAGTGTTCGGTGAATGGGTCCAGCGTATCTGGCCGAGTTTCTGTGAGGTGTCCGCAACGAAGTAGGTTGTAAATCATAGCATTCGCCTTCTCTGGTAGCGAGCTGTAAGCAAAGCCGAGGACTTGAAAGATGGCTGTCTTTGGATCCCTTTTCTGATCGTAGAAGGGAAGGCCAGGCACTGTTGTCACGTATTGCAATCCTGAAAGATAGTCATATGACCTAACGAAATGGCTAGTATCTTCCTGTTTTTCAGTGAGCATCGCCAGAATATTTATTTCCAGGTTGAAGGATAGGCCAACTAACCAGCAACTCATGGGGTCTGCTGGACCGAGCTAGGGCTAGGGTGACATTTGCGTGGAACACCGCTTCTCCCACGAGCTGGTCTGAGACTGTATTAGAGAGCCAAATATCTTGAAATGTAATCATAGCAAAACACTCACAGCTCCGAACATCAAGGTAGCTTGACGATTGGGAAGTGGCCATAGTGATATACTCTAAGTCAGCAAGCAAGCAACTGAAATAGCTTTGAGTCTAGAGAGATGAAGCGGGGTAGACGTGGTTTCAGCACTTTAATGAAAGAATTAAGAACGAAGTAACTATTGTTTGTACCTCCAGAGCGTTGGGTTGGGCTTTACTCGTGAAGTATGCGTTATCTCGAGGCCCGAACGTCGTCAAAAAAAAAAAATGAAAAATAAAAATCCAGTTAGCGGCTACTATGAGTCTTTTTCGCACCGACATATTCAGAAAATCGATACGTATGATGTACTTTGGCTGCTCAAAAGTTCACTGTGTTCCCGAAAGACTCTGACGAATGGCGAGAAGAACATGATTCACGCAGATCAATTTGCAATAGGCGCCATGAATTGGTAACTCCAAATATCCAACCAATCAAAGGGTTTCCACAGAGAGAACGCTTATCTTGATGTTCGAGACTGAAAAAGATGCAAGAGAATGAGCGGTGAAAGAGGGACAAACATGTGGGCCAACTCCATTGGTCATTCTCGAAGCTCTAGGCAGTTGACCAGCAGATTTTTCAAGACTCGCGTGGGGCTTTCCCATAGAAAGAAGAATGAATCGAAGTTACGCAAGCAATTCGTGCAGGCATGAATCAGCCAAAAAGCCAGTTCTCGAGTCTTCCTCCAGTAAAAAGCTTTCCAATCTTACCCTGCGCTGTCTTCTTATGCATTCGTATCAATAGCCATGGACATCACATTTTCTGACCAAGATGAGGACGACGGTAGGAGCCCAAATACTCTTCTTGATCTATTGACAGAACCAATCTTTCATCTTCCCCAACTTGGAACAAGTGATCTCCTGATGGTTCCCAGCGCGACGGGTTGTGCCACACCCCCTGCAGACACCTCATTCGAAGCCTTTCAACAATAAATGTCAATCGCGACTTTACGGATGCAGCTATCTTGAATCGATCAGGATGGCTTTAGATCCCGATACTCGCCTGGAAACCTTTCGAAAAGTTGATTCACGGCGTTGAATTTTGACAGCCCATGTTCAATTTCGAGCCTCTCGTCATGTTCTTTCCCTAACATACGGTTGAAAATTCCGTCAAGGTTAGTATGTCTGTCTGGCGCTGGAGGTGGCACAAACGCTATGTGGTCCACAGCGAAAATTGGCAACTTTCTAATATTTGGCCCACATCAATGGCAGTTTTTACAAGCTCTTTTGATGCTCGGATGTGATGGGCTAGCCGTCCGAGGAAATGTCTCACAAGCCCAAAAGGATCGCGTTCTATTTGTGGGCCGAGCAAGTTTTCTTCCCGTGTAGACCGTCTGCAGTTGTGAATGAAATTCAGAATGCCGGGTTTCGTATGCAAACGTGCAAAGTTTGAGAAGATCATCATGGCATAAAAGCGATCTTAACCACTCGCTCAGTCTTCCGGCTACAAGGCATTAGAATCGGCAACTCTATAATGTTTCACTGGTGGTGTAGACCTTCAATTGTAGTTAAATGTGAAACCTTTTGGTGACAAGCATTCATGGCCCTAACTAAGCAGTTCCTTTTCTTCGCGATTCGCTTTTTCGCAAAATCAACACAGAATTTCACAAACTCGGCATCGTTTTGAGGTAACTCTGTTTCTGGCGACTCATTTATATTGCGCGGTAGTCCAAGAGCAATCTCAAGGAAGACAGCAGTATTGGCTTTTCCTTTGCTTGAAGCGACCCAAAACTTATAGAAAGTGTCGAGGTCTGCAAGTCCAATTGCGGTGCAGGTATCTCCGCCTTTACATGTATCAAAGTCACAGATGTAGGAAAGGTTCCGCAAAAAAGCTCGGCGCGTGGATTGGCCTAGATTTAGATCATGCGGCTTCGGTTTGTAATCCCCGTGGCTCTGTCCAAGCAATCGCAAAATCAGCAGCGGTTTATACAACCTACTAGAATCTTGTGATAGTTGTCGAGCCTTGGGCGATCGATAATTTTGGGTTTGAGTTCAAATTCTGATAAAAAAAAGTGCTAAACCCGGCCATTCTGGCTTCGCGAGGAACATTGTAATAGACTTATCGCAATATACTGTCCTCGAGATAGAAAACTCGAAAGAACAATCGAAGTTGAAGATAGAAAAGCGAGTGAGTGCTAACACAAAGGTCATTTTCTATGCCGTATTCTTTGATGAGAACGCAAGCCCCTCGTAACTTGACAGTAGAGCGGCGACAAACGGAAGGCCGTACATGGATTATTTGGGAGGGTAATTTTTACTCGGCCAACACACGACTCAAGGTCCATGATGGAAACCACTGATGCGGGAGGCAGACTGGTCCATGCGGAAACAGAATAGCCATGCGGCAAGTCATTACGCAAAACTCGGAAAGCCCTTGTTGAAAACTTGTGAATCTACCAAGAAAACAAGAAGTCTTGAAGAAGACTTCAAAATCGAGCATGAAGTAATCTTTGGGACACTTGCATAGGAGCCTGCATGTATGGCTTGCAATGCAATTTGTACAGCATGCGCCTCTTGGAGTGAAGTCCAGAATATTTCTAAACCACTCCTTCGAGAGACATTGTACTGAACCCAGGGTTCACGTTATTTATAGTCCCAGAGACCTGATAAGTTCATAGCTTATCTTATGGCTTAGCGTCCGTCGCACAGCGCCCTTTCAAAAGAGTGAGTCGATCAAAGCCGATAGAAACCAGCAGATTTTCTGAAGCACATGTCCTGGATGTATCCAATTCGGCTCCCGCCGCGAGGCTGTATCTGTGGTTATCGCGTCTAGCTTCCCGAAACGTCCTCTTGACAGGACGCGGTGGACGCCTCTTAATGCTGCAAATGCCGCCCAGTGTCTTAGTCCAGAATGCGAAATATCAGATTTTTTAGCTTGTACAGTACCATAATATCAGATCCAAGCCTTGCCGGCAGACCAAAACACGTCAACTCTCTTGCTCACGAATACTCCAGTCACTCGCTTCGCTTCAACAACGACTTCGGCTTTTAATTCATGTTTTAAGAGAAGCAGTAAGCCTGAGTCAGTTTAACAGCCCGATGGCTCGGCTCCACTTAGTTACCTATTATTGTTGCAAACCACAAATAATATTTTTACTTAGCCTAGATGGACTGTATTCTATGTCGCTACAATTATTCATCATGCAGAAATAGCTGAACAGTTGCTTGAAAATAATATTGAGATCGAGACACCTAGACGACAGTAAAAATTGCTACATTAGCATTTTTCGTGCAATACGGAAAGCTCAGTGTCATCAAGACTTTGCTGAAAAGGAGCCGTTGATATGTCGGACGAGCAGAACTGCCATACTTTGGATCATGCCGCGGTGATGTGTGATGGAAAACACAGTACATCATGATATAAATCGTGGAAATGTCACCAAACACAAAAACTATAAAGACCACATACTCAAGTTTAAACGCAAATACAACAAGTTCTTGAGATTAAATATTCAATATGGGGACACATTGAGATTACTCTGGGAAGCAAGTTTGGAGATACTAAATGTCTATCCTAATTTTCTGAGAAAATCCGCAGAGACAATCACTGGAAACTTAGCTGCTTGAATCGGCCCCTTTTATTGCTATGAGTACATTATTTTTCTACGTGTATCTACTGGTAGCGAAAAATATGTGTTTGGCAAATACAATTCATTAAGAGTGTCGTGGAGCTGCTGCTGATCCATGCACACATTGAAAGTATTCCCAAGAATATAGAGATCGTGGTGCAGGCACTATATTAAGAGACTCTAAGATAAACGACTGAGTTGCGAGTACAATAAGCGACAACAAAAATGGAAAAATGGGTGCTAAATTATGCTAGGTACTGGAATTGCTCATCCATTCGATGATCTTTGTTTCCAGTTCTCTGGAGTGGCAACAACCTCACCGCGCCGGAAATTACACCTGACACGCCAGGGCAGCCAAATAGTAAACATCGAATATTGTTTGGCTGTCCCCAACTTCGCTAGAATACCGATACTATGTAGCGTGCTAGAAAATCACTAAATCACAACTCGCCTTGAGTCATGTCTCAAGCTATACTACGCAGTTCATTAACTACCTCCTTCTCTCTATATTAAGGTACCTTCGCGATCTAGAGGGTTCAATCCCAAGACAAGGGCAAATGCTGGTCCGGGCTCTAACCAGAACCCCCGAGAGTCAATACTCTAGGTACATTCTAATGTCCCCGTGGTTAAATATGCCGAATACCGGTGTAAATGATGGTAGCTAATCGACTACTTGCTCTTCCTTCAGGATCAAAGCTAAGCTGGTAATAGAGCTGGATGGAGATATATGTATTGTAGAAAAGTGGCCCAGTAGACATTTCTTTCCTGCCGTTTACCGAACAATTGACTATATGGTCCTAAGCCTTAAGCCTGGGATGGGTCTTCTTCCATGAATCATCAAGCATACTTTCACATGTATAATCGACAAGCCACAGATTCGATTGCTCCATTTACTCGCTTAGGTTCTGGATGAAGTCGGATATATGCAATCTGAATACCGGTCTTGCGTGGTTCGCAGGTGGTAAACTCTGTCGTCGAGTATTTCTCTAAGTATGGCAACATCTGGTAGAGATTGTGACGAATAAGATGCATCAGCATTGGGAAGGATGCAAAGAAGCATTAGGAGCTGCGCTGGAGGGAAAATTTATGCATTTCCTATAGAGCAACCCCCCTAGAAGAAGGACAATAGGAAGAGTTGTCCGAGATGATTGGACTGCCAGGCTGATAGCAGGCGCCAGTCCCTGGTTTGCTGGCCCTCCGTTTCCTTTCTCTCTCTGGTTGAGTACATTAGTTTGAAGGGACCGTTTTGTAGATCTGCCGCCTCGCAGAGTCAATTCACCTTATTGTCTGTTGCCCGCCTCGTTTCATCATGAGGGATATGCTATTTATAACTATATTCTTGCTATTTTTTTCGAATTTCTCTAGCCCGGTGACAGGGTACGGCTGACGGGCCTTGTAAATAAAATGTCACGGTAAACGCCGCCCATATATTGTATCGCGAGGTTGTGAAATGACCCAGCGCGACCTCTGTATGGCGTTGACCTCATTTAACAGATTGATGATATTCTTTGTCAACCCCAGCACAACATAGCTCCAGCCTCCCTCATTAGTACCGAAGCCATACACACCTGGGATACAAGCTATGTGGCTATTTCAAGATCATACGTGTTCTTTGTGCGCTATTCTTTGGTTTTCAGATACTCTGCTTGTCATATTATCATGCCTCCCCCTAGCATAGAAAATAGCTCATTGCGTAGAGAAAAAGGTGAGCTTTCAGCTAAGCAGCGCTTAGCTATTCTATATGCTTATCAAGCTGGTGTCACACAGTCAAAGCTAGCAATTGATTTTAGGTGCAGCCGCAAAACGATATTCAATACAATGCAGCGCTTCAAACAGCATAACACTCTCGAATCCCTCCCTCGGAGCGGTCGTCCAAGGGTGTTCAGTGATCAAACTCGCCATTATATTTATCTCCAAGCTCGCAGGCATCCCTTTTATACCTATAAACAGCTAAGTGGTCACACCTGGTAATCCCTCCAGGTCGCTAATCACCCAAGTTTTAAAGGACTTCCGCCTTTTTAAATACCGGTCGAAACAGAAAATCCCAATTGGAAGGGTTTCAGCTCGGAAGAGATATGACTATGCACGGCGTTAGCTTCGAAATTGGTCCGGAAATGGAGTTCAAAGTTAGATCTTCTCGGATGAGTGTTCCGTTCAACGAACCTTATAGAGGAGTGGTTTGAAACCCATGGGGTATACGTCGAGAGCTGGCCTGCGCACTCCCCTGATTTAAACCCTATTGAACCTGTTTGGCGGTGGTTGAAGCTAAAGCTTTTTGAATTATATCCGGAGTTGATACATATGGGAATGTTTTTAAAAGATGTATACGGCATGCTTAGGACGCAATACCGCAGGATAAAATAAATAGGTTGGTTTTGAGTATGGAGAGAAGATGTAAGGCGGTACAGAGTGCTAAGGGATACTATGCAAAATATTAAATCTTCTTTTTAAGCGAGAGATTCATAGGGTTTAAACCTATTTTTTAAATGTGAATACCTTGAAAAATGGTGCTGCTACGTAGTGATATATAAAGATATATATTTCATGGTGGAGTGAAAATGCGGGTGGGTAAATACTTAGTGGCAGGGTCTGTATACCCACATATTGTATCTGGATGTCCCAGCTGAGGTCATCGCGGACTATCGACTAAATGATGTGAAGCGAAGCCGTCCAAGTGCCTCGGTTACCCATTTGGCTAAATGGCAGCAAGCCGAAAAAGAGAGTCTGCGTTGCCTTTGCAGATCGTATGATATTCTTTTCACAACATTGTCGCCACGCCAGGCATCCATGCGCAACCTCATCCCTCTCCTTCATGATTTGCAGAGGCATACAGAAGAATTTAACATCAGGCTCGTTGAACAGCAGGTAGACCTATTCATCGCCACTAGCTCCAACCCACTGGAGACAGTGCTGGTCTTCGACGCCGACAAACCGTTAGCTTCACAAGACAGCGGCTTACTGTTTTGGGGACGGGTCCCTAACCCACCTATCACGGAACACGATAGCTGCCTGTTGAAGGAGTTATTTAGCAGCCCTCTGCAATATTCGTAAACTGTATTCCGTCAGGCGACAGTACTTTATGAGGCAGCGATGGACGACAACGGCTTCGAAGCTTGCTGTCAAGAGGTGGCAGTAGAGATCCCGTGATGCCCTATAGATAAAACTCTATCTCTGAAATGATTACCTTGATTATATAACCCTCGAGAAAACACTTGGTATCTGTCGTTTGGGCACCAACTGGATCTTCCATTGAATGTAATCTCAAGGACTGCCCCCCCCCAGCATGGTCGTTAGCGAAAGAATTCAAACTTCGGTTGTGTTGACTCAAATTTAGAGCAAACGTCTATATTCTAGGAAGCACAACAATCTATTGCCTGATTGTTGTTTAAGCGTTCAATGACACAAGTATATGATTACAAATACAGTTACCCAGACCTTGAATCGTACGTTAGCTATATTAAAAGAAAAACCCCTCTTCCCTCCTAATCATTGACGGCCTCCCGCCGACCGCATCACATATGCCAAATCACGAGCAACTTGAGCTATTGCCAAATAACTCTCTTTCAATATCTTATCACGATGCTAAAACCACTCAATCCAGCACTATCCCGTTCAGATTCGATGTTGAGCCCAAAGCAATCGGCTGTCCAAGGCTTGGTCGTTATCATAGGCTTATAAGTAGGTTTTACGAGCCTTTGGTACTTTTACATTTGCTTGGAAAGAGCCCCGGGGATCACAAACCGAGACCGCATGATCAAGATAGGGCCCAATTGACTCGTCGGCGGTTCTTGGGGAACCTCTCCATTATCTGTGACTTTGAAAAAGGAGGGGATACTTCCACCGCTATCGGGCTCGAAGAAACCGACACTGGCTACAGATTTTGGGTTGCTATAAAAAAAAAGAGAAACAGCTGAAATTACCGACTTCCCCCAATGCCCTCGAATCCCGTCGCAATATCCATAAGTACTCAGAAATGGAATTACCTCCAAAAAAGAAATTCTTTGTTAAACTGTGTGTTGACTTTGCAAGGAGGCGCATTGTCAGATGCCTATCGACAGCCGTTGAGACTTGTCTCCATATCCTTTTACATTCGAATTCAACTGAAGGTATCTAAACTCAGCCATGTGTTGTTTGCTTGTCATGTCGTTTCTTATCTCACATAGCCGAAAGACCCGGCGAGTGGTTGAAGTTGCTTTTATGCCATGCTGACAATCTCACACTTAGTTCATTTGCCTATGAAAACCAGCATTCAGAGTTTGTTTCGCAGCTGGAAGTCTGTTTCGCAAAACAAAAAAACTTGTCAGACATAGAAAGAGGACTCGGAACTTTTACTAGTGTAAGGCATTTTCTTGGACGACTAGCTCAGCGCATCAAGGCATCTGAAGAGCTTTTTGAAGCCACCATAGATGTGGACCATATACTCCAAGCCTTTGATGTTTGCGCAGTCAACTACACAGCACCTTTACCTGGTCCAGAACATGACGGACATACCATTTTACCTTCATGGTATTCTCAACCGCATGTTACCGAAAGATTCCAACGAGAGGCTCAACGTCGAAAGAATGTGGACTTTCCCATTTCAACACTGTAAAAGGCATGTTTCAGTAATTTTTTTGAAGGAATATCAGAGTATAAAGCCGTGGGTCGGTGCGGAGGTTCAGATCCTCGAGTACTTTTACTGTAATCGTATGATGTTTGCAGAAAATGACCGCTATGTTTCTTGCAGCAAATCAGCTTGTTTGTGTGTTGTGAAATGTATTTTCAGTACCACGTACCTTAATCACATCAGAATGTGTGGACAAATTGGGGGCCACCTCTGGTACATAATTTCTCAAAATATAATCTTGCAGGGAAATTGCAACTGAATACTGAACAAAATGATCTAAAAACTTCGTTCACTTGTCATTAATCAAGCACTTGGACAGTCCGTGGTTGGTCGTAGACATCCTGACTCAGTGACAGGAATTACAGAGTTCCAATTCTTCAGCGATATCCCAACCCCAGTCTTTTTTCGACTAGAAGTCCATTTATTGCATGCAAAGTCGTCTCCTTTGACGAGAAGATTGAAAAAGCAAGAAACGCGTCAGTTGGAGGATCAATTGTCATTGAGACATTGGAATGTGCTGACGAGGAACGTGACCTAGAGAGTGGGGGAATTTCAATCTATAACTAGATAATTTTAGAACTACCGATACCGATTATGTTGTATAGAGTGCCAATACTATACAATTTCTCAGGTTCCAGCGGACCGGGACCTAACTACGAATGATATGTTTAAGAGTTTAAATGAGAAGAAGTCAAATCGTATATTCCATTCTTCATTGCCGTGCTTGCATATGTCCCATCTTCTTTGCATGCCTTGTAAGATTGTCTTTTCGCGTGAAGGAAGAAACACATTGGGCACAAGTGAATTGTTCAATCAAAGCCAAATGTTTTTCGGCCCACGGCTTATGGTATGCTATGACATGCCGACGCATATCCGTTTGTTCTGCTGTGCGATGTAAACAAGGACTTTTTGGACATTTCACAGGCTTGAAATGTTGCCGAATATGTTTTCTGCTAGAGATCAGCTACCGCACCAAGGTCATTCTAGACTGGTGTGAATACCTCAAACCCTGTTTCTGATCCCACACCTTCTTCGATTCGCATCTCTGATATATACAACGATACAACCCATCAGACGTATCCGTGATATGGTCTAGTGAAGGCATTTCTGCTTCTTCAAACTTGACCATACATTGAGATGTTGTAGCCAACGATTCTGAGCCACGTTCTTGAGGCTCCTCTGGGTTTTCATCCCCGGTAGTTGCCACACTCTGCGTATGATCTTGAAATATATTGCTTTCACTAAGAAGCAAATCCGATGCGGCACTCTACAGAGACCAATCTTCGGTATAGTTCTCAGTGGGTAGCAAGTGATCCAAGAACGCAGTATTCATCAAGTCGAAATTGTTGTTCGCCTGCTGAACGGCTTCAGATGTTGTGTCTGTAGGAAATGCGGCACCTCCTTCTGCTTCGAGATTCATTGAAAGGTCAGTCGTTTCAATTTGGACAAAGCGAAGGGTTGGATCGGTCCGGAAATCGAAAGCAAGATTTGAAACCCACCCCTCGTCATCCTCATCCTGGTCAGGAAGTGTGACTTCCATGTTCATTGATAGGATCGGGGATGGAGACTGAAGAGTCAACGTACGGTGGGACTGTCAGATTTTATACGGAACAAGAGCAAGGTCTGTTTGGCTAAATCATGCCCACATGCATTGCTTTCGTGAGCTAGGGAAAAACCAAATAAGAAATTTGAAAAAGCGCTTGGCTCGATGTCAGTTCAAAATGCGCTAGTACCATGCATAGATATGTTTGCTCGCTCATCATCTTTCACCGCCACTTTTCCATTAACAAAATCTAGAACTAAAGAAAGGGCAAACGTACTTAATTAGTTATCGGAAAATATATTGCACTACAATCAGCTATGAGGTATCCAGATCTCTTTTCAAACCCATGTTCTATCGCATTTGACATTTGTGCAACATTGAGATTTTCTCAACGACAGCGGGTGTCGCTTCGCCAAAAAAGCCACGAAGTTGTAATTGGCCTAGCGATTTAATCACGGCTTTCCTAATTTCCCCTTAGGAAACTCTAATCGAATAATTATGATCGTCAGGTGAGCTGGCTCGAACTTGAGGACAACTCGATACGAACTGAAAGACGTCAAAGAACGAGCAGTTAGGTTGGTCCACATATTCACCACTTCACCGCTTGTTCTGGTGGGCTTTTCTTAATCTCGAACATTGGGATAAATCTGCATTCTGTAGCACCACGTTGATAGATCATCTGTAGCCGTCAATACTTGGCGCCCTTTACGAGCCGACGAAAGCAAGTCTCATTTCTCTAACTAAAGGACGCGAAGCATTTGTGAAATGCGGTGGGCCTTCAAAGTGTTACTGGTACATATTCTGCATGAGGTTTGAATTGTTTGGTGCGAATTGGATTAAAGTAGCCATTGATAAAATATTTTTCTCGCCGTCTACTACGCTCCGACGTATATTCCCAAGTGAGGGATATTTGACGCCATTCTGCATATATTAATTGCTCGTCCTTGGCTTAGAAGGCCCACGCAGCATCTTCTAGCTCCGATATCCCAGTCAATACTCATGCAATTTTATTGCCTACTTAGGATACATCGCTATGGTAGCTCCCCAGAGTCCAAGTAATCAAGATGCTCCAGTCCGTGAGTTTTCTACTCTTCTCACTTTCGAAAATGAAGTATTCTCTAATATGAGCTATAGACGAGCTCGTAGGAGAAATGATGTTCCGCGCATACGTTACAGCAGATATAGCCAGATCAAAAACATCCGAATTACTGTTTACTTTCTTATTCTCCGGCCCAAACAAAAAGGATATGCTGAGGCTGACTGAATAGGAGCCGTTATATTATTATCTTGCAGCAATGCAGACTCTGGAAGCGGCGCGCATCGCTTCCTTTTACAATCGAGACAGACCACCCGCAAAGAGCCGTCTTCCGAGTACTTGGCTTTGCTTATCGCTCACTGCCGCAATCACAGGCGTATGTTCTGATGTACAGCCTACTTCAACTTAGTCGCATAGAATGCCACATGGAACCTCATATCACTTGCTCGCGTTTCTTCCTAGTGAGGTAGATGAGTTCGGCTTTCTCTGTAGCGAAGCAGGACCCAGTTCTCCGGGCCCATGCCTCAATACGAGGGATGTCTTCGGTCTGGATTTTCTCTAGGTATTCTTCTGCCGTCCGGCCAGCCCGCCAGCGGAAGTAATCGCCGATGTAGGCCGCCGTACCACCGTGAAAGTCGACGGGTTGGTCCACGAGATCAGAGTTGAAAAACGCGAATAAGACAGGGGAGAGGGGTGACCCTTGCACTAGTCCAGCATTCTCCAGCGGGGTTATGTCTGTCTCAAAGTCATCGAATCCGATGCTAGCGAATCGGTCGCTCATGAAGCTAACGATCCACCTTCTGGCCACCGCTGGTATCCTCTTGGAGCGCAGGAGGGTATCTAGGCTCTTTTTGTTGACCCCGTTGAATGCACCTTTCAGATCAAAAGCTACGAGTATGACGACCTTTTGCTTATACCATGCCCGGTCTATCGCGGTAGCCAGTACTAGGAGGGCCTGCTTTGTCGTCCGCCCCGGCCGGCCCCCAAACTGGGTGTCTGGTAGTAGTCCGTGAGTTTCGGCAAAATAGGATAGTCGCCGGGCTATCACTGCTTCCAGCAGCTTACCTAGCGTGTTGAGTAATGAGATCTGGCGATAGGCCCCGGGGGACCGAGTAATCGGGCTTCCCCGGTTTCCGTAGCACCACGATTTTAGCGCGTCTCCATTGTTTCGGGTGGTAGCCTAGAGTGATAGAGGAGGTAAAGATCTGAGTAATAGGTTTCGCAAGGTATTTCCATAAGTGCTTCCACACAAGCGTCGGGAAGCCGTCCTCGCCTGGTGCTGTAGTTCCCTTGGCGGCCTTTAGGGGTCGGCAGATTTCCAGTTCGATGATCGGTTGCCACGGGATTTCAGGCAGCGATGGGGGTAAAGATTTCTCCTGGGAGTCCGCCATAGTGGGGAAAAAATTGTCCATGAACGCTTTAGCCTTGTCTTCGTTGTCGGTCAATTCCCTCGAGCCGGTCTTAAGAATCGGGATAATTGCGAATGAGTCCCGGGGTTCCATGTATGTGGCTGCCTTCCAGATGTGTCCTTCACCAGCCGCGTCCAGAAACTCTTTCCAATGCGCGGTTTTCGCCTATTTGATGGCTCGGTTCCACGCTGGCGTTTCTGTAGCATGGTCTGGAAGAGGGTAGTACCCTACCGGTAGTCAAAATGAGTCTATTACCGGCATTGAATATATTGCTGCCGATGGTTGGGTTATGCTACCATGGTTCCTACCCAAGGGTAGTAACCATCTAGCAGAGTGGTATAAAACTATCACTATCCCAGAATTTCGAATTAAGCCTACACCAAATGGTGGTTATTTGTAAATAGTGTGTTGAATGCATTTTGAATTGAAAATCTGGGATCCGGTGAGAATATGGGATCCGGTGGGGCCCACCAACACCGGGTATGTGGTGGTAGGCGGTGCCAAGATTAGTTCTTGATTGTATTTTACTGTATCTCCTTTTTACCTTCATAGGATATATAGTGACATAGATTTAATGTCTCTTATCAACATCTATCTTAAAAATCCCAAAGATGTCAGTCATTATTTATTTTTAAATGACAATGAACTATAAGGCCGCCCTGGCTGGTTGACCTCAACTTAGGGCTGGCCGGCCGTTCAGCAGATACTCGATGCCATGGCCAGAAGATAATTTTCTCGTAATTCGGCGGTCTGCTCTTCAGCACTAGCCATGCAGACTTCTTAAGCCAGCCTTTGGATACGAGGGCCTGCCTAATACTAAAGGCTGACGCTACCTTCCAAAATTAAGATAAAATATCAGCTACTAACGATAAAAAAAGACCGACTCCAGTTGCATTGATGGACTAGGTAGCTTCTGACAGAGAGAAAGAGGCAAGCAGAAGGTGCTTAACCGGTCCGAGTCAAATCTTTATCAAGCGTGTAGAGATAGACGTTTTTCAGATGCAGTAGGGATTAGAACCGCCCTGACAATCGGAACCAGAGGTACATGTACTACGAGGGGTCCAGATAGATCCGATGCACTGCTCAAGAACAGCACCGTTGCATTGCCATGCGTTCTCTGAGCATGCTGTGGAGTACACATTAGCTTGAGTAGATGATGTGCCGACGGTCATAGTTGTTGGGGTCTCGGACTGAGCTGGACACTGAATTAATGGCTCACCAGCAGCAGTATAGGAAGGCTTTGGCTCGGATAACGAGACAAAGCCTGAAAAGCTACCGTCAAAGTCATATATTGTTTCGTCAAGGATTTTCCATGAGATGGCGACGTGGCCAGCGTTACAGGCATTGCCACCAGACAACTTGTCTAGGACGGTATAACTGAAATCAAGGCCCGGAGCACCCTCTGCATTCCATATATCGCTGATAGAAGAGCCGAGGCCACAGCGCTGGCAGCCGTCTCCAATGAAGAGCTGCAAGTCAGACTGCTGTCCATTGACGGAGACAACAACTCTCTTACCGCAGTACATAGATGGGTCGGTGCCTAGCTGGGTGTTGTTCATGGCAACTACATAGTTGGTGTCCATCTGGTCAAGTGAGAGCAGGGTCGCAGAGCTGCACATTACTCCCCCTTGGTTTTGGTACTCGAACGTAGTACCGCAGCTATCGATTTGGTCGATATCGTAGTAGTAGGTTCCAAAGCCTTGACCACTGTGGATGATTGACCGCGCAGAGGTGCCGACCGTGAGGAGCAGGCTAACTGCGGCCGTAGAATCAAACTTCATATACGATAAGAGACAAAAGGGAAAGTAGAAAAGAGAAACAGCTTTAGTAGGTCAGCATTGGTCGTTGAGCCTAAATCGGTATGTTTGTTGAGAAAAGAACTGTTAGAAGTGTAGGCTACATTATAAAAAGTAAACAAAATCCAAAAATTAACCTTAATTAACTCGCCCAGCAGATAAATGACGGTGTTATTTTCCCTAGCAAGCAGACGCCCCTAAGATCTAAACCCTGGCGGTTGCGAGGGTCTGTAATTTTGGTAAAAATGTAACTAAGGGTCGGTTAGTATCCATATTTAGTCAGGTCCAGTGGTGGGTCCCCCAATCCCGTAACCGACAGAGTCTAAAATTAAACTAAAGCCTGTCGGCTGGCATTAGTAGCACATCATTCAGTTATAAGAACGGCAGCATCTTCACCGCAAATCATTCCACCCACCCCCAAAACAGAATGCCACGAACCAAAAGTTATAGTGTCACTATGGCCGACGATCAGAAAAGTGCCATATTCGACCTAGGAATCTCTTACGACTTTTATCTCATTTGGCGGGGACCAGATGGTCGAAATACCCTTCATGAAGCTGTAAGGAGAGGTTGGAGCAGTTTGGTCACGACGATACTCGATGTCGATTATCTCAGGAGCCTAGTGCATGGCAGAGATGATAAGAATGAAACACCATTGTTGACCGCTTTCAGGCATAACAAATTTCCAATTGTTGAGTTGTTGATCGAAAAAGGTGGAGGCGGTTCCTCGCCGATTTTATGGGCGTTGAAGGAAAGGCATACCCGGTCCTTGCCAAGTAGCCCTACACCCGTTGAAGGACCGGGTATCGATTTTGCAGACTTTCTTATCAAGAAAAAACTATACTTGAACGATTGCGATGAGAATGGAGTAACGGCACTCTTTTATGCTGTGCAAACGGGGGATCGACAAACCGTCCAAAACCTTCTTAAAATGGGAGCTAAACCAGAGCTGGCGCACCGGTGGAATAAAAAGCACATGACGCCCCTTATGTTGGCGGTGCAGATGGAGGAAATGAGTATTGTGGAAGTTTTATTAGAACAATCTTCACTAGAAGGTATCAAAAGCGCCCTGGCTGTGGCCAAAGATGTTAATCCGAAAAGCAGCCTCGCGCTGATCCTCGACGGAAAATTGGCTAGGATGGATGGTATTCATGCCCCCGTAGCCTATAGGAAATTCTAAGATCTCTACATGGGGAATATTTCTAGGATAGGGAAGACTGTGTACGATTCCTATAGCATGAAGTGGACTAACTCTATTCCCGGCCATATATCTGGCAGGTATAAGGTTTTGGACTGGTCTGATTAGCTCACAGCGATGGGAGTGCGAACCACTACGTGGCCAAAAAGCTGATCCATGAATTGCGTAAATCATCATCTCAGTCACAGTTAGAAATGGTCCAGCCGTGTTTTTTTGTCCTGGTTTCTCACACAACCTACAGTAGTGAATTTGTTAGTGAAACCAAGCGTGGAGACTGGTATTTGGAACACATAATATGTGCGATAGAATACAGCTTAGGGTAACCTACCTATATTGAGAATTATTACAGGATAGCGGTCTTCGCAGTAAATTAGCGTACATACCCCAAGGCTTTCAAATTATTCATATGGAGTACGATAAGGAGAGAACGTATTACCCGGGCGAGCTGCTCACCCCACCCAACCCATTGAATTTAAATGCACATATCTCAACCAAAACGCCACTAAATTAAATAAACTAGAATCATCATCTATATGGACATGCATCTCTCCTATGGCCCTTTTTTTGCATAGCCCGCACGTTGGTAATGCTCTGGTTCGCGGCTGTAAATGTGGCGAACGCCTTCTATCCCATGGGGGTGGGCGCAGTCTAGTAGACTGGAATTACTTTTCGTACGAGGATCGACCTTGAAGTTTGTACAGTTCTAAGTTACGTCTCGGAGATTATGGTCCTCAAATTTTGATTCACCTATAAAGGTGTGGTGGCCGATTAAAAATTTGAAATTATTTTTAATAGGGTGCGACCGTACCTCACTCTAGGGTATATCCCATGAAATGTGGATTCGAAGTCTGTCGCGCTAGTGACGAGAAACCCATTTGTGGAACTCAAAAAACCAATGAAAGAATGGCCTGTGAAGGGACGAGAGTATGTCCTGCGTACCACCCCGAACAGCATCTAACGCGGACGCGTCCACACTGCAATCTGACTTGCGGCAAGGAGATATAACAGAAAACGACGTAACACCTCGGGAATGATTCAAATATAGCACAGTGGATGGCACTGGGCTAATATTAATTTCCAAGAGAGGAAGAAATACAGGAAGAACTGATTGTATGGTACTCCCCGAGATCCTAAGATCTGTGGACCGCAATCAGGCCGGGAAATGGTGTTATCACAAGCCTGTGGGATCATCGTGCGAAATTTAGCTCCTCTGGGTTTCATTTCAGCCTTGTATCCATCCGTTTGGACCTTTGAACCGATCAACTTGTTCTCTACAATGTTGATGTTGTAGGTGATTGACTGCGGTCGCATCTCCAATTCCATGTCCTCACCAAAACATCTGCCTATTTTCAATCGTGAACCGCTCTCTCAGTATACGTTATATTGATGGAGATGTGCGCGATTGAAATCTGGAAAATATTTTGGTAACGGGCTCAGGACTTATCCTGCGACCGCAGCTTAGCAGCCGCAACTCGAGTTAGCAAATAAATGAATACCACTTAAAATATTATTTATAGTAAGATAAGATTTCTATAAGGAGTAAGTGGAAGTCATAGCTATCTGGTAGTATAATTTGAGAAAGATCTAACCACTTTATAGTTAGACATCGGTCAACTCAACCGTAGAAAGAAATTGAATTCCTTCATTTCCGATTCGAAAACGAGCCCGGATAAACTCCGGCTGCGGCTCAAACCGCACATCCGAAAACATAGAACGACGAGTCCACTCATCGCCAACACTTCGCTCTTTCTGCCAAAGAGAAATAAGAGACTCTCGCTTGAACCCAAGCTTAACAAATTCGTCATACTCATTGAGTCCGATAATCTTGTCAGAAGACAAGACACAAATATGCTTTCGCACAATCGTGCTGAAAGGAAACAAACCGTAGATACTCTCCCATGTCGCGAAATTCATTAAATGAGTCGACCAAAAGGTCGACATCATGGACTCCATGAGTTCCCCATGGATAACATTGAACTGCACCTTCACGGTGTTCTTCTTATGTTCATAAAGAAAGCACTGAAAATATCAGTGCCAAACCACAAAGGTAAAGTGCCTCGCACTAACCTGTCCACTGGAAGATAAAGACTCATTTAACAATGAATACCCTTCAGCATGGAGAAACCCGTGCCAATCAAACAACCCATCCTTCCCTAGGGTTGCCTTTGAGGCAAAGAATTGAATGTACGGCCCTGAAAACAGGGACGTTTGACCAAGTAACACATTCAGAACGTGACTACCAGAAGCAAGCACTTGCTTCTCTTTCATAATTGTTCGACAACGGTCGATGTCGGCAAAAAATCCTCCAAACAGGAGGAACTCAAAAGAGTTACCTCGCCCGGAAGAAATGTTATCCATTCTAGATGTTCATTTGTTTATATAAAAACAAAATATTATATTAATATTCCCCATGTCTTGGGGAGGGCTTACCAGCAGTATTTATACTTTGTATCAGGCTGTATCATCCTGACGCTAACTCGCTAGCGTGAGCACGTGTGCTCACGTGTTATCACATCTGACTTACATGTACTGTATGATAGCTCCAGGTGGGATGTTTATTAGTTTTCTTCAAAAATTTGTAGTTTTCGTCTCCAAGATATCCTTCGACCGAGGCTGCCCCTAGCATGCGGCGGACCAAATGCCCTAGAGGCAAGGACGTTGCCCAATAGTAGCGAATTCTTAAACACGTTGAATTCCATAGCATAGGACTGAATAAGTAATGCTCGATTGAAGTTATGTAGTAGTTGAGAATAGGAAAGTGATAATTATGCTACTAAATTATTGATAGACTTTCACTAGCTACATCTGGTGATGTGGGACAAATTAATTCTCCCATTATAAGTAGTGTATAGTGCAATGCATTAACAGCTATGGAGAAGGGGCTCTCTCTTGTCTTAGTTAATACCGAGAGGATTCACCAAGTACGTATTTAATAGCTGGTCGCTTATGCCGGCATCGTTCACGTTGATTATATGCATATTTAGTAATTTGAGTTGCAGGTGTAGAAGGATTAGATGCCGATTCAGGTATACACCGGGCAGTTTGCGATTCTACCCACAGGGACATGGCAGGAAAGGAGGGGATGGAAGCGGTAATCTCGCCGAAAACTATGTGGAGAACACCCGGAGGCGTGCTCGAGACAACTCCTGGTTGAGTATCCAGTATCATACTAGGAACGGCTTTGTCGGGAATGAAGGACAAATATAATAACTAAGTTAAGAACTAAGTAGATACATGTGCATACATTTATATCCACCCAACACACTTACAATAGTATAATAGCGACAGCGAGGTTTATATATCACCAAACATATTCTATTTTTAAATGCAGTATACATTTTACTCAAATCAACAATTAAATTCAGTTTATATACCAAGCCAAGTGCTAGTAAGGCCGGCGGTAGTTATATATTATGCACGTCACTCATCGTAAACCTTCCGAGTAGTCGACGGCCGAACCCACAATTAGGCAATACATAGTGTAGTGGGGGATATTCTCGTCACTACGTATTAGCCTTGCCTATCCTTCTTTTCTTATTTTCTGCGTGTTTTTTTTTGTGTTGTCAGGTTTCTACACCTTTCGTTTCGTTTTGCAGATTCTGTATTCCGTGACACTTAATTTTAATCCTCTCTTTTTTATCAATTCCCTTTTTTCTCCCTACACGGTTCTTTTGATAAGGGATCACCTACTAGGAACCAGATTCTATCCCATGGGGGATAGTCGAAATCAAATTTGACTTCACATGTAACTCCTAAGCCCCAAGCCCCGGCACGCTAACCCTACCGGCCACGAGGCCAAATATGACTGATTGGCTAGCTGTATGGAAATTAGCTTTGAGAAATCCGAATGTTTAGTACTGCTCTCAAAAGTTTAGGAACTATATAACCAGCCTGCTACATGTAAGAACCGAAATCCTCATCTTTCATATTAACGTGTACCCCACCGCAACCGTTTCCCCCTGAACCCGCTCAAAATTTAGGTACTTTAGACAATGCCAGCAAAATCGACCAACTGGTGGCAAATCATTGCAATTGATTTACAATGATATTGTATTATCTTCATTATATACCATTGAAGTTTCATCCAAAATTACGGCCCTCTATTAGCTTATTTCATTCCAAGTTGCCTTCCGTTTCTTAACAAGGTTTCAGTGGCAAAGTATGTTATGCTACCATGGTCCACAACCAACCCTTATTTGCGAAAATAAGCTTATGAGTCTTAGGAAACAGATGCCTCAGGGATATCCAGTACAAGCCATATTCTCTATACACGTTCCATATCTGAGATAATTCTATTGTTTACTCCCACATGAAGTTCCGAGGGTACTTAGTCTGCTTACTAAGGATTGCCTGTACAACTATATTACATAGAAGGCGTAACGAATCCGTAATGTCATTAATTCTAATTATAGAGACACTAGCCACGTGCCTTTTAGTGTGTGTCGCGTCGCCCACCTCAGAGCTAGTTTTACTTTTTCCCTGTTTTCCTGTCACACCCATGTGCAGCTGTGCTCAGTCAAGCGTAACAATAGATATAAATATTGTATGCCCAGGCTATGTTTCTCCAGGAGCAGGAAATCGCAAAGAAGCTCAATTGGAGTTGCCGTTCATCCCAGGAAGAGTGATCCTTAGCTATCCTACAGACTCTTGGTCACAGCTCGTGAATTCCATCCAATACGATGCCTGCACACAGCGCGGAAGCTTTCGTGCAAAATGCTATCGATGACAAGACGAGCAGGTTTTCCCGTGCCCTCTGCTCACGGTGGACGGACTTTCTACTCAACCCACTTGAATACAATGAATGTTTCGAGCAGATCTTGTACGGTGCAGCTCTCACCGCCAACGAACCTGCGATCAAATGGTCCCTTGCCATGATCAGCGAAGCCCCCCTATCGTCTTGTTGTGGGTATGACATCTTTTTATACCTTGGAATCGCCATCGGGATGCTTCCACAGGGCCGTGTGATCCAGTATACCTCTCTTGTCCTCAACTGCATCACCAACGATCTCTCTGTTACGGACCCCAGTGAAGTTCTCTATGGGTTTTGCCAGGGCTTATCCTACACCGGTGACTGCAGATTACGATATGCTCTTGCAGGATATGTGAGAAGTACGGTTTCCCAGTTGTCAGAATCACCCACGTGGGCTGACGGGGACTTTACACATGAAAGCTTCGAGCAGATTGTTAGAGAAGGGTGCAGTGAGAACCTTGCTCACTGCGAATACACCAGGGACCTCGAGACCTGTGCACGGTTAATCCAACAAGATAGAGATCTTGACAATGCGTGTGATCTGGAAGTGCTGGCCAAATCTGGACTCCTGAATTCGTTTTCCACTCTGACTTTTCGCAAGATGAATGTTCTCGCTGGTACCGGAGAGACTCTACTTCAAGTGGCGTATCGATTAGATAATATGCCTGGTGGGTGGTTTTTGATCGAGCACATACTGGATCTCGACTGTGACGAAACCAATTCTATCGCAAGTTTTGAACGACATTCGAAGGATGTTGGGGATGAATACGCTGCGCTGATGCTCACGCTTCTGGATGTCGTGAGCAGCGACTCGGCAACATCACAGCAGCGCGATTCTGCACTTCACCTTGCCCATCGTATGCTTGATGAAGAAAAACAAGCAGTGGTTTTATACCTATATCGACACCCCTCATTGATTCACCGTCTGGTGAAGCATCTTGCAACTCTGGAGATCCTTGAGCTGAGGACCGGTGGCGATTGCCGTTCGAGTTATCTGAAATTTGCAGAAGCGCTTATGGTGCGACGTTCCTTACCCGACGACCAGCTTGCCGAAACAGCCATGAAGGAAGCGGAAGGGCAATTGCGGCGGGTCTCTCTCGATTCGGCATATTTCGATTCTTGTTGGTCCAACGGCCGTACACTCCTATCGATCCGTGAAGACAAGGTTCTAGGATTGAAGTTGCCGAAAGCGAACGAGCAAGGCGCGCTTTGGAAGGAGGCCGCTGCCAATGACGCTCTTCGGATGCTTGACGAACGGCAAGGACTCGGGCTTGAAAGTCGCTGGCCGCGGACAATCGGAATGATCACGATAGACCCGCGTATGACGCGGTCGGTCTCTGCGCCCATCAAACTGGAACAAGGAGACATGGACGGACTTCTGTACGAAGTCCCGATAGCGGACGATGAGGACTTGGAGCTCAGGGATCTGGCTTACTTTCGATATCCTCATCTTATCAAAGATCTTCCGACCCTACGAAGATCGTCCAGGGTCTTTCTATCCGATTGGGCTCGGTTGGCAAGTCGGATAGGCTTGTTGAACACTATACCAGCAGATCTCTACCATAACGCAAGTGATAGTGGACGACGGTACCATTGGAACCCAGAACAACTTGGCGTCCACCGGGGAGGCACAAGTGGCGCAGGGCGGTTGGAACGGCCACGGGAAGCGATCGCGTATATGAATGCAGGCGAGCTTGGGCTTCGTGATACGAAGTCTTTTCAGACCATTAGCATGTATGCAAAAGAGCTTGAACGAGAACGCCAAAAATTTACCGTGGGGACTACGGACAAAGCTGCAGCGCTCATGTCTGGCCTCGGTGATATGTTGTTTGCATGGGTATTAAGTGTGGCAGAGTGGTATCGGCTGAATAACCGCCTGACGGATGTTAAGTGCCTTGAGACCACACTGCGATGGGGAATTTCTGCCTTTTTTGAGTCTTATACCCGCCGGAAGTCTGAATATACGAAAAGACTACTGCTTGAGCTGGTTGATTGGCAGGTCTTGGCAGAACAGATATCTTATTACTTCTCAGGTGCGTATGTGACTGACCTACGAGAGAATAGAGTTCGTCAAGGGATCTACCCGGATGGTCGTTGCACAGTGCAAAAGCCAAGCACGGAGCACTGGGATGATTCTCTTGGGTGGTCGGAGGATGGAGTTCACGTGGATTGTGGGCCCCGTAATGGGCCGTTTCCCGTAACCTCCTTGATTGGTGGTCTGCACTGCATCACTGCAATAGCAATTACTTTAGGATCTGTCAACCAGCAAAGATAACTAATAGAATTGTTCCTGGACCATGCTACAGTGGCGACCAGTTTCGCTTTCCATAATGGTACATACTTAACAAGAGAGGTGCGTCAGCTATATGTTTATGTGCTGTTACCGTGCATAGTTTTGTCTGGAAGGCGAAAGCGATCGTCACTATAGATCCAGGTGGGTTTGATGAAACTTTTGAGCTCAGCAAAGAACTATTTGATTGGATTCAGGTCCGGTGAATGAGGCAGCAGATAAGTAAACTTTACTCCCGCATCTGCACACATCTGATCAAGGCGGTCTAGGTGGTGGAATGATGCGTTATCCAGAATCAGGACAGATTTTGGTTCTGGCCATCTCCCACGATGCAGCAGTAGCATTGCTATGAGATGCTCGAAGACGGTGCTGTCCGTAGAGCTGCAGAAGTCACGGGAGAGGACGATCCCATCCTGGGTATACGCAGGCAGACTCTGACCGATGATCACGGTGGAATTGTGGAAATTTTTGCAAAGTGGTGCCCAGCCTGTGCGTCTGAATCTAATACGTTTATCACACCCAGATTCATCAACATACACCTGGTGGTACGATCGAAAGTCCGACAAAAGGTGATCTCGCAAGTCGGCATTTGCTCCTTGGCAGGGTGTCGAGCGGTTTTTTTGGACCAACCTTAGGCGACAAGAGCTCTTCGGATGCTAGAGGTGGTAACCATGGTCTGGAACTCATCCTAGATGAAGACAGACATCTCATCGAGGTAAAGATGGGGTTTCTCAGAAAGTGGTCACGGAGGGCTTCTATAACCCCATCCAAAGAGGACTGGTGACGGTGACGCGGTGTGTGGCCATCGTGGTACTCTCTTTTGACCAGCCTCGAGAAGAGTGGGTGAAAGAGGAGCTTCCGACGCACGTGACAAGGTGACTCTTCAGGCTCAAACTCGGACGGACAAAAGCTCGCAGGAAAAAATAAGTTCCGCCCCGAAGGCACGTCTACCCCTATTGCACGTGACCTGAAAATGTCAATTTTGGAATTGTTTCATACAGGACCGGGCTGGTACATCTCATGGTGGCCGCGTTCGACGACCCGATTAATAGTATTTTACGGATCGCCATTAATAAACAATGAAAGTACCCTGAGGATTTCTGGAGACGCAAACAATAAGAATTTTACCATATACAATGTGAAGAGAAAATATGACTTGAGTTGGCGAGGTATTTAGACACGTGTATTTAATAAGAGCATAAGGGTTTTCCTTCTGACTACTGGCTGGTTATGAACTACTGCTAGATAGCAGAATTTGTCACCCAAAGCTTTGCATGGGACGGCAGAGGTTTCCACGGTGAAATAAACACCAAACTAAATGTAATTTTCTATAAAATCAGACGTAGCAAATAAAAGAGAAAATGGCAATATTCTTAGGGTTTTATTGCAAAGCTCTGACAGCATATAGTGCTAGAGTCTTTGGGTTGTCTTCCAAAGTATCTTAGTTACGAGCGGTCATGGCGGGAAGCGGTTCCGAAGGGATAGACGTTATATCACCTCATCTAGCCCTTCCATATGCAGTTTGCTCGCCTTAGTTTCGCGCTTTTCATTTTGTCGTCGGTGTGGGCAGGTGCCGACAACTGCTGGTACAGTTTTGGCTCCGATTCTCGAGTTTTGACATATTCATGCCAGGACTTCGACAACGGAGGTGTTGTTTACACGTCTTCCCTAAACCAGAGTGGTTGTCTTCGAAATGATGATGGCGAGCTTTTGTTCCAGAATGGGTAAGTTCCAGATCATTCTTCTTCTCTGTTACCTTGTGCAGAATGACCAAACCATTAACGTTGAATATGAAGCGGAGGAGCTGCCTGCACAAATTGCTTCGAGCAAGCTGGCGCAGATGAGGATATTGATGGGACGGTATATAAAGGGAACTCGAGGCCTTTAAACTATATTAAATGCTCGTGTCCCACTGAATCCGGCAAGACTAAGGCAGCGTCAATTGAAAGGACTATGTGGAAACCTGACGGATTTATATTCTACTAACCATCAAGTAGGCTCTGTTTTAACGACCGTGTCTTCGTATAGCCTAACTTGTGGTGCCACCACAGCAACTGTCTCAACGTTGGTTCCAGCACCGGCTACATCTAGTGCGGCTCTGACGTCTGCGATGCGTTTCTAGCTATTACCAACATAGCCTAATCCAACCTAACTCTATTCCCGACGTTCCACCCGGTAGGTTGTAGCAGCCTACAATTCTTCCCTCTCAACAGCCATAACTTTGGGAAAACATTGTGAACAACCTTCTCAAAGCGGCCATAGTCTAGCTTAATTCTGCTTCTATTCGCTCTCTATAAAGTACAGCCCGACGTAGCTGCTATCTGAAACTCTAGGCGCCCAAGAACTTAAATGACACGGGGTTTCCGCTCAACGGCTTGCAGCCAAGGCCAGTCTGATTTGCGTGGATGAACCTGGCGGCGACGTGCTCATTATCTGGACATCCGGGTTGACCGTAGAAGACAAGCTTCCCGCCATTCTCCAATGCCAAGAGTTGAAGTCCCGAACCGCCGCTGCCCAATCCGTCGAAGCAATCCCCAGAGTCACCAGAGTATGTAATAGCCTCTCCGGTACACCTGGCGTTTTGGTAGACCACAATGTGGTACTTATTTTTGGATCTAGAGTTCGACATACTGGCAGTAGTAGCTCCATGCACCACAGCAGCGATGTTCAGGGAAAAGATAAATGCGAGAACCGAATTTGATAGTTTGAAGTTCATTTTGGCTTAGCGGGGTTAGTCGATGGGGAACGTTTTTCTTCCAATATGGGTGGTGAAATATCCAAGCGGAACTGACGGACGTTTGCAAGTTTTCCATTATATATATACATATTCTAATAATTTATGTTAGTTATTATTAGATATCTTATATATAATTATATATTTCATGAAAATGACAAATAATTAAAATATATATATATATAAAATATGACCCATATATAAGGGTGTGACCTAAAAATGAAAAAAGAATATATATATAATTATCATCATTTTGAGATGTTGTCCTCATCCATAAATTGATGACTACGTAGTAATAATGTGTGTAACGAATGTTAGATTTACTTGAAATATATATCTCTAAATACACTTCGAAGCATTAGAAAACAACTCAAGGGCCAAAACACTGTATACAAACTGTTGTAGATTCTCAACAATTGGTCCTTTGAAAGTCCCCGATATGTTTCATGTGCCGTAAAAGAGAAAGTCACACGAGATGGATGGTCCTTAGGTAAGTGTGCTAATATACTGTCGTTATCTAGCTGAGATAAGGAGTCGGCTGAGCATGTCCTTCGACAAGATAGGAGAGAAGCATGCGCTCGATATCACGATAACCCTTATTGACCGCAGCCTGAAGCGCATTGACACCACCAATAGCTCCAGCAGAGGCATGGATATCTGCTCCTTAGACAAGAAGCATCCGCGTGACTTCAACATGGCCCTGTTCCACGGCAGCTTGAACTGCTGTTCGGCCACCGGTAATCCCCACCGATGCATTGACTTTGGCGCCATAGGAAAGAAGCAACTGTACTATGTCAACATGGCCGTTCCCTGCCGCTACTTGAAGTGCCGTTGCCGTTCGGCTGTTGATGTCAGCAGGCGCAGTATCCACAGCTGCATGGCTTTCGAGCAAAAGTTGACCTTCTCAACGTGCCCATGTTCTGCTGCAGCCTGAAGAGCTGTTCGGCCAGACGTCGTGACAGGTGGGCCATTGTTATCTGCGCCATACCCCAGGAGATGCCCAACTATTTCATAGTGACCCTGCTCTGCCGATATGATGTTATAAGATACGAGCTCGCCATGCCAAGTGTACTTGGCACCTTTCTGGGAAAGATGCTGGCAACACATGATAAACATCGACTCGTCTTTTATTTAAAATACATGTATCCTGCACCACACATTCCTTTTAGATTAGAGTGAGCAAATAATACTGGGTGTGCAAACTCCGTAGGCTTTGTTTACCAATGCCAATCCTCGCGCAATGGAACAAAGCAGTGTATGGAGTCTAGTGGCCTTTGGTGGACTCCGCTTTTACCCACGCCTCCTTCACCCCCAACATAAAGAAGCGTTTGATGTCGTTTCGAAGCATCGTAAGGATGGTTCGCCCAGTCTAGTGCTTCGCTTAACACCTTTTTGACAACCAGGCGCTGTTTAGCATTCAAGGGCATACTTTTAGTGACAAGTAAAGTTAGATAGGTAGGCGTGGAACTGTCCTGTACATAGGACTTCTGGTCAGCCAGGGTAGGGATCACTTCCGGCTCATTAAGCATAGGCTCCAAGATAGCATCGCCAATGTCCAAACTGAAGCCGTCCAGTTCATAGTCCCCTTCAAGCTCTCCACTATGTACAGCTCCATGTTCACCAAACTTGGCCTTTTTTTTTAATGGAGACTCCCATTGCTGTAAAGTGGATGACGGGAAGAAGGCGAGGCCAGAGGCCCTGTACGCAGGGATCTCAAACTCGCTGAGAGGCAGAAGGTTATGCAGCGGCGGTCCTCGATTGATAGTTGTTGCGTGTATCAAGGAAGGGATGCGTAGCCCAGCAAGAAGCATTTCACGGTCCCAACTTTTAGCGATGGTGTGATAGGCCGCGATCAGACTCTCGATGCTAATACTTCATCCAGGTCCGCAAGGCAATCGTCAGCATCGGAGTCAAAGTTGTCTATTCTGAGCTCATCAATATCACGGTCAAATGAACTATCAACGCGAACTGGCGCTTCATGAAGTTTCGCACCAGCTAGACTGTCTTCCCTAGACTGCCGCAGGAGCTCAATATTTGCTGCAAATCCTCGAATATGCGGGGTGAGCGTCAGCTCTACAATTTTCCATATGTGGGAGCAGGCATCGCGCTTCGTCGGCACATCGTTAGCGTGCTGTTGAAAAAGCGCTGGTAACTGGCCCCAGGGAACAAATAATCCGAGTAGTATCTCCGCTACATAAGTCATTCGTATTTGCCGCGGTTTTGGGGTGGCCTCCGGAACGGCGTCCCCCGAGGCTTGGAATTCAGTGAGCTGTCCGTTAACGGTGACATTGCTGACCTGAGATGAGGCGCGAGGCAGACGTTGCACATGGGTATTGCTTTGAGGGTGTGACGGGTCAAAGTCGACGTCGTCCGTAGTCGCATCTCGTACACTCTTGATTCGTATGAGCAGACGAAACAAGTGAATTGCTCGTAATTATTCTCCACATAGTCAAAAATGATCCGCTGCCAGTGGTCTGACTCCCATAGTCATACCAACGTGGGTCTGGGGATAACCGTGGTACAGCTAAGGCTGACAGTAGACGGCGACGAGGATCAAAGAGATAGGAGGCGTGGCCAAAACGGACCGTTGGAGGGTTCAGAGCCCTATCCCATGGGGGTAGACCTCGCCAAAGTCCAATTGACCCATCGATGGACATGTCCAAACCGGTCCATGGGCGGGTTTGGACACCTTTTTGGTGTCCAGTGGGCGGGCCGAGGGGCCCCCGTCCGCCCACCTGGACGTCCTGGACAGTCCAATGGGTCAAAAGTGGGGACATTGTAATGTGCATAGAGTTATGTAGAATTTGCTGTATTTAACGGTATCTAGTTTACGCCTGTAGATAAATTCTTGTAGCTGCCATTGTATTTGTGTGCGTATTCCTTTGTGTGCGTATTCCTTTGTGTGCGTATTCCTTTGTGTGTTCTAGATTGTGGAACTTGTTTCTTAATATACATCATATCCCCTTAAACGTTTAGAAGGTCTACATACTCTCCCTGATGAGCGCTTTAGGGAGTGATCCCTTGGTAAAGGATGCTCACCATCATCATCATCACCCGATTCTCTGGTAATTCCTAAAACCTCTTCTCCCTCGCTAGAAGAACCCTGTAAAAGATCCAACTGCTCCCGGCCAGAATTTAGCCCAGTAGCCACATGTGCATTGATTTCAACTTCCCTAGATTCAATCCGTGGATTCTCCTCGTCATCGCTGATAGGATCAAGGTTTTCTTGTGGATGCTGGACATCCTTCTCTTCATCCGCCGTTTCTCTCTCTTCCCTCGAGAAGGATTGCCTAAAGGTTTCTAGTTCTTCCTCCCCGAGGTCAAACTTAGTTGCACACATATACATCACCAGATCCCGTATCGTTGTAGGCTTCAGTGATCCTCGACGATAGTGACAGATATCCCGAGCAGAATTAAACAATCGCTCAACGCCCGCACCCGTTGCAGGGATAGATAGAACATCTCGTGCAACGCTTGCGAGCATCGGAAATTCGTGCTGATGGCCTTTCCAGAAGGAACATGGATCAATTGAAGTAGTGCCTAGATAATTCAGTTTAGCTACATTCACTTTAGAATCAAACCGGGTAAAGACTTACCACTCTCAAGATAATTCTCAACCTCGTTATTGTGGCGAGGTAGTGGCTTTCGGTTCGAACCGACCTGCGCGATGAGTGTTGCGAGCTGTGAACCCTGATCCAATGATGCCTGGCTATTTGAGAATGCTTGGTTATTGGACATTCGCTCGTGATAGGGTCGAACATAGTCTTTAAGACTTTGTCGATATCTCTCACGCGATGCGAACTTGTTCTCTGCCCATTCGTCACGCGAAAAGAACTGCAATTTGTGCTGTGGTGCAAGTAATGTACCAATCGCGTAAAGATCACCATGGGCTTTAGTCGTGCTACCATAATAAGCTGCAAGCTTTTCCTTTCCCGCCAGAATTGCAAAAAGCATTGATTGCTTCCAAGGGACTCTCTTTTGTTGAAGTTGGTGTATCGATTTTTCAAGATGCCCAAAAAGAGAGTGATAGATCTCGAAGACGATATGGATAGTCACCTCCTTGGTTTGGCAGAGAATAGTGGTAAATTGGAAAAAAGGTTGGGTCAAACACAGTAGGTAGTCGATTTGTCGCCATTCGTCCCGGTCTAACGTGAACTGCGCATACTGATTCTCAGAGCAGTATTTGTTAAACACTAGCTGTAGTCTCTTTGCGCGTCGAAGCATCAGGAAAGTAGAGTTCCAGCGGGTTTTGACATCTTGGATTGGCAAAAGCTTTGAGCCTTCAATCTGGAGACTTCGAAATGTATCACGACGCTGAGGGCTAGCGTTAATAAAAACCGCTAGGCCCCGAACCTGTAAAATTAGTTAGTGTTAACTTTTGCGAGAGGATTGGATTCTAACCTTGCTAAGGGTAGAAATTATACCCTTCCTTTGACTAGCACGGAGGGATTGGGACTGGTTTTCAGACCATTCTCTCTGTGTAGCCTCATTCACTGGTTCAAGCTTCATATAACCGAGAAGGCTCTTGAGACTCAGTTGAATAACATGAGCAATACATGGAACTCGGATAATCGGTGTTGTAGTGCTGATATTAAGCGACTCCAATTGCTCATGCACTCTTCCTACTAACGTTTGGTTATTTGAAGCGTTATCTGTTGTCACAGCCAACACTCGTTCAACCAATTGATATCGCTGAAGAACCTCAAAAAGAACGGTACCAAGATTAACGCCAGTGTGGGACCCATGAAGTGGTTCAAACCCGAGGAGAAGCTCACGGTATTTCCATTTATCATCAATAAAGTAGCCAGTGATAGCCATAAATGCTTGTTGAAAAGGAGAGGTCCAGCAGTCTAGTGCAATAGACATTTTGGCCTCGGCGGGTAGCTTCTTGAGTACACATTGGTGTCTTTCCTGAACTGTATCTCGAAGCCGGCACTGTATTGTTTTTGCCGAAGGGAACTCAAGAGGCAAAGGGGACGACTGGGCTCGCTGAAGTAACCTCTGGAATAATGGGTTTTCGATGATCAGGAAAGGGAGTCGTAGACCAGTAATAGCTGTGAGGATATCTTGCTGCCATAGTTCTTTTGTAAAAGACTCGCGTTTCTCGTGGGCTGGATAATCGCGCGCCTGTTCATAAACGATAGACATCAATATCGAGGCAATCTACCTTTTGCCTTCCAGTGTATTCCTTACCTGGCGGGCAAAAAGTTCTTGAAGAGAGCTATTTCCGGCAACCCGATTGCTAAGTCTCTGGCACTTCTCTCCTCTGAGATGCCTTGCCATTGGGGTAGTTCCATTCAACTTGCGGCTTGGATGATCAAGAAGCTGACCGCATTTTTGGCATACTATCTTTGGGTCCCCAGTCACAGTATGAGCTACCTGCTTAAAGCTATTCCATGCCTCTGAATGACTTCGGGATCGATCCCAGAAGCTCTTATTCCTTTCACGAAGCTCATTTCCGTGGATAGTTTGAAGCCACCAGAAAATAAAATCCTCTTTGCTCATTTCGGAGTAAACAATCCAGTCGTTTCCGAATCGCTCAAGGGAGGAGGAGATCAGAGGATGTAATAGTTCGGAGGCTGGTGTTGATTCAATGGTTTGCTGACTGGACTCTAGGTCAGACGGAAAGAGGTCTAGACCGTAGCTACCGTGGAAAGACGACGAGGCGAGGTCGGTGTCTTGAGACATGATCCAAGAGTATGGGATTTTTATGGTGGAAAAGAAAGAAAAGACTCCCTGAATCTCATAGATTTGGGTGATTTTGCCGGTTATGACCGTCTGTCTACCTAAAGAAATAAAATCTGATACATCGCGCATGAACGCTATGGCCTCCAACTTCTATGAATTGCGATTGGATATGGTGGTGGGAGACATGCATATTTAGCGTGGGCGGACTTTGGACTGTCCAGAGTCCGCCCAAATACCCGGAAAATTTGCTTGAAGGACATGCCCCCTTCTACATTATTATTTTATAAAGGACAGTTTGGGCATCTCATTAAGTCACGTGGTACTGCTATCTCATGCTTTCTAGTCTTTACTCTCCACAAATGATATTTTCAACCTCTTATTGATAGTAATGGTATATATAACTAATTTGATTAATGAATTAGATGTGTAGGCTGTTTTTCTTGGGTATTTGACTAGAACCTGCAATCACCCAATAATGGTAGGAACTAGGAATGAATTAAATATGAGGTGCACCCACGAGATATATATTTCTCTCACTAAAATAGCTTCAAGTCACAGAAGACTGTATACACACCAAATAGTCGCAAATAAGAGAGAAGATCATTGTTCCGTATAAAGTGAACCAAAATACTTGAGAATTTCAACAAATCTAAATGACCGAAGAACAACTGCTACTGCAAAAGGATTGTAGTGACTATGACTAGTGTAAATAACCGTTTTTTATTCTGCTGAATCATCAGGTTATGCGGCAGATTTATGCATTTTTGGGCGGTTTTGGACACTTTTGGACACTTTGGGTAGTCCATGGGCGGACACCTATCGCCCAGTCCAAAGTGGGTCCGATCCAAGTCCGCCCATGGGCGGACTTGGACGCCATGAGGATGTCCATGGACGGGTTTTGGCGAGGTCTACATGGGGGTGGGTAAACCGAGCCTGGGTTGAATTAGGGTCTGAGAGTTAACTATGGGAGGAAAAAAGTGGGTCAGGGCCCAGTTTATTTAATTTTCAAACCCCCAGTTTATTTAGCAGTTGGCGTTGGATCATACTCAGATTTCTAGAAGTTGTATTCCCAAAGGTAGAGTTTATATTGTTTTAATCTAGAGTCAATTCGACCAGTACTGGTAGAGGTTTAAGCGATTGAAAATCGGGATTTCTTTTAGTGAGGACATGGAAGTAGAGGTGCGACCGTAGTCAACCACCCATAACATCAACATTGGGGTTAACAAATTGATCAGTCCAAGATCTAATTAGATGAATACGGGGCTAAGATGAGATTCAGGGGTAATTAGAAGTCCCAGCTGTCGTCTAGTTTAATTTGGGGAAATTCCACCACTATCCCCATGGGGGTGGGTGGGCGCAATATAGTAGACTGGAATTAGGACTTTGGCTTAACTATGGAGGGAAAAAGTGGGGCCATGAGTAAGTAGACTGGAATACTTTTCATGAGTAGACTGGAATTACTTTTCGTACGAGGATTAAACTCAAAGTTTGTACAATTCTAAGTTACGCCTCGGAGATTATGGTCCTCAAATTTTGGAGTATTTAATTCAGCCATAAAGGTGTGGTGGCCGATCAAAAATTTTGAATTAAAACCCTTAGTCTGTATTCGACCCAGCATGTTTTTGACCCTCATAACCGTGCCAAGCGCCCAATACACAGCGGTGTGTTGGGCGCTTGGCACGGTTATTGGGAAGCAGCATTTTACGTATCTATACAACCGTGCTCGCAGTCAGGCGTTCACTTTTCAGAATATTCTCTCCAGATGGTCGTCCAAAACTAGACTGCGGCCCTTCAATCCCGCGAGGGTTTTTAGAGACATCCAAAAACCTTGAGCCGAGCCTAGACAATTACAGACTATGACACTCCTGACTGACGTGTAAATGAGGCGCCGAAATAAGGCGGTGTGCCGAAACTTGACAAAGATACCTTCGCCGTAATTGAAGATAAATCTATCAAATAACAATAATATCGTAAATAAAGACGCCTGGGGTATCCTCTGGCTCTGAAATTAAATACCATCGAATTTTAAAATAATAATATAGGATGTTGGTCTAGTGCGACTTTGTGAACAAGGGTCAGCGAAAACAAAAAATACACCACAGAACTATAATCACTGCCTATTCCATCATTATCATATATCTAGCACGTCTAATCTTTGATTTTCATGGTAATTTCAAAATGTTATTATCGTTTCAAACCAACAAAATCAATAATTTACATATTATGTTGCGTAAGAATTTGCCTCTTAAGTCTAGGGTATTTTATGCGGTGGCTTGAGCTCACCCGATGGCCCGAGTACATCTGAGGGCATGGATTCTTCGATATCGCCAAACTGGTTTTCCTATCAGACCCTGCCACGGAGCCCCTCCTTGTTGCCATGAAGCGCAGCGTGAAAAGACCAATTTACAAGGCATTCGAGTCGATTGCATCACATCGCAGTAATGAGTTTGATCAAGTGCGCCTGTGATTTATCCCCAGCACATCTCTCCCATCCGTGAACAATCTCTCGATATCCATCTCTGCTGCCGGTATAGCAAGGTGATCTTGTGCTACCTTTGCCATACAACTAAATTCAAGCATTTATAACACTAACACACCATTGTTATTAGCGCAGGAACTGTGTATTGTGTCACATCCTGTCCATTCCGCAAACAACGATAGGAGCCTTGTCCCAAACATCCCGGTCAACCGTTCGGGCTTACGCAGTAAATTTGCTCGCTGACAGGTACCGCGTTGAGCTCCTGGACACTCCCCCTCCCCCTTTTCCAGATCTCCCATAGCCCAGCATTGCGCAACCGAATGCATTATGGGGCCCCACGAGTCCCCCCGGGCGGCATTAGTTAGCTGTAATGAGTGGTCCTTAGCGAGATGAGTCGGTCTCAGACGTGTGTTTGACGCTCCTATTGGTCAAGGGTCACCCCAATCTAAGGTCCAAGTGCATCGAAAGATTTGACTGGAGCCCACCATCCTCTTCAGCATTTCTTTCACGCAGAGATATTCTTTTGCCCACCTTGCTCGCAGACCGACCACATTTTGCAAGGATTTTTTCCTGTTTCCCTGCACAAATAGGGTCTAGGCTTCTATTTTTGAAGACTTCTCTATATACAGAAGTCTTGGGCGGAGCAAGGTAATTATTAAATATTATGAAACTGCGTCAACATGAATGCTGGGCAATTTTCACTGTCTCAAATGACTGAAGCTAGGCTATTTTTCTCACGACTGCCTTACCTGATGTTTTAGGTGCAGAGTTCTTTGAAGTCATGCCTAGGCGCGGGCGAATACGGTTTTACTGGACTTTGACCAGAGTAGATTATGTGACCTGTATCAATACCATCAGTCCAATGGTGTTATGAGTCATGACTAACGGCGAATCAGAGGTCGAAGACTATGTGATCAAAATGGCGGTGTGGCACACAAAACGAGGCCTAGACGTGCCGCGGTGGCACGTACAGTGTAGATAAGCTTGTATGTGTTCATCAAGGTCTATAAATACAAACACGAGGGATACCCCTGGACACAGTACTCAAAGACTCCTGACTGTGCCTTCATGGTCTATCTCCTACGTCGTATCTTTCCTCACCAAACTCTAGGGCTCAAATTGATATGGAGGAAAGCAAAGATATCGATCGACACGGACGAGAAGGTCATCTTCTGAGGATAGCAGATCTGAAAAATGAGCTACAGAGATTAGAGGGGCAACGAGTCCTGGTCCAAGATGAAGGCGAATCTTGGAAAGATTCTTGTTCTCAGCATCCCACCGAGCAGGGCATCTCGACGTTTCCAGAATGGTTGTTGAAGTTGCTAAGGCTTGATATGGAGATTGGGCGGGTACATTGTCGCCTTGATGGTGTGTTGCCTTTGATATAACTCGTGATTGAACCATTTCTCAATGCTAAAGCAAGATGATCTAGAACATTACAGAAGCTGTGATAGCGACACAACCTGCCGGGTGTCAAAAAAAACCACTTTGTCTGATATACAGATGGCTCAAACCCTCTTCTACATGAAAACCAAATCTTACGTTAAGGGATTTCCGGATGATCTTCTTAAGAAAGAGGAGATTGATAAAGCTTGCGCTGGCATGTTTCCGTAATATGACGTCTTACCTGTAATGAGTTTGGGGTAGAGTACAGAGTATTGTTAGCTCTCAAAGCCTGTCAGCCTCTCCCATGGGGATGGTTACAATGATTTTCACTATATTTCCGTCGGCATTCCTTTTGTATGTCGCCCATGTTTCCGGAGGCGGCTGAGTGTTTCTTTGTTGGAAGTCGTACCGCTGTAAGAAGCCCAAATTCAACGAACTAGCCGGTGATGACGGCCTCGAACGAGACGAGTAGAGGTTTTCACCATAATCGAATGGTCCGGCAGGGCTCAATATCACTCTTAGAACGATGCTCTAGAAGATTGTACCACACACGCAATTTCGACGGTATGATAAGCTCCATCTTATCTTCTCAAGGCCTGTTTTGGAGGACGGTGACACCACGGGAAAGTGGTTTTATCTAGTAGGAGCTTAAATCAAGTCTGGAATGAGCTCAGTGAACATGATCTGTACACACACACACAATTTATTAACGCCCGGCGGCTAAGCCGAAAGGGCAACTATCTCTGATCTACTATACATGTCATAATATATACAGTACTGTGTCTCCTCAGAGCCCATACATAAAGCCTTGCAATATATGTCATCTCAAATGTCCGTACACATGATCTGTACAGTCACTAGCGAAATCTGCTTCCTCCGCAAAGACTGCCTTTCTTTCCGCGGGACCCACTGCCAAGGCCTGACGTCTGCAGGTCAGTATTTCTGTGGTCACCCTTCCTCGGTAAGCTTTGAACTGCTGAGAAGTGCTGTGTCTATTATGCGGTCTGATCAAAGGATCTCGCACAACAAGATTCCTGAGTTCATGTCAGCTATGTTTGAGAAAAGCGACAACCTCCGAGATTCGTATCAGCGGCCTATGGAGCCGGATGAGCTTTTCCAGTCGGAATATCGTCATGTTTCTCACCAAACAACCTGTCAGCTGTGTGACAAAATAAAATTGGTCCATCGTCAGCACCGGAAGCCGACTGACAAGATTCATTATGGACTCATTGCCTCTGGAGATCAAGTCATAAGGAGCGCGTCAAATGCAGCAAAAGTAGATGGGAGGGTGGTTGGCGATACTTTGTGTTTCGAGATGGAAGCGGCGGGCATCGCGACGGGGCACTCGTACATCGCCATCCGGGGCATACTATGCAGACTCTCACAAGAACGACATATGGCAGCATCATGCTGTGGCTGCGGCTACAGGGTGAGCCAAGGAGCTCCTTTCATACGTGAGCCTACCGCAGCCTTTTACCACGACTGAAGTCCACGGTCGGCATAGGCCTAAGAGGTCAACCGGCAGCTCTCTAGCTACGCAGTCCATATTTTGCGGTCAAGGAATTCAAAACTCGGGGTCTGGCAAAGTCTCTGTCGGTAAGGATTTGAACATCGGCAAAAATTAACCCGTAGCGAAGGAATTCGGGAGTTAATGACTCAATAGAAGTTATGCAGCTGAAAGTCATAGTCATTAGGGAATTTAGTTCAAGCAGTCATTGTCGTCGTTTTATGGCTTTAACGTATCCAACATCAGCATAATCGCGCTCAGTTAGTTCAGTAGATGCTAGTCCTCTATCAGCAGGCCAAGCCTATTACAGGAAACAACTCTCACTAGTACTGTCTCTATACTAGGGCCGTTGAAGATATTGCCGATATACCGATATTGACGATACGATATCGGCTGCTTTTGAATTTGTCGATGCTGATTGCCGGTACAATATCGGCGGGCTTCAAATTTGACGACATCACCACTCACGATATCGTCATATCGTATCGGCATCGGCACATTTTTCCTTTAGAATCATCTAGAGAGCGAACGGGCTTTGGTCCAACAGCAGTTTTATTTGACACTTTATGAATGCAGAACCGGAATATCGCGATGGCATAATTTACCCAAATCCCTTGACCGCTACCACTTATACCCATCGCGAATCAATATCAGCATTCTTAAGGTATCCTCTTTTAAAGAATATCTCCGGATGCCTAGCACATCCCTAGCTGTACTAAGGCCTCTCTCAATAGAAACTTCAGAAGCAGGAATCGCTGGATAGTCCCTGGCTGCTGCTGCCATCCGCGGATATTCGCCCTTATGCATCTTCCACCAATTATAGAGCCACTTCTAGCCGGTGGTATCTGCGATGCTGATCGGAGGGGTGTAGAAGTACTTATCAATATCTGAGAGCGGTGGATCTCGCGCCTGCAACCTCTTCAGTATCCTAGACTCCATATCACTATGCTACAGGAAAGACGATTTTGATACAGCGGCATCATGCTCCGGGATACTAGCCGCGTATACCTGATATAGATTGGTGCGGATCGTTTCTAGAATAATTGTCCCTGCATTACCATCTTGGATTCCCGCAAGACCATTTCACTTTTGACTCGGGGACCTGAGACGAGGGCAGTGTAGTAGGTATCGCAGTCATCTAGAATAGAATTGTACTTTCGTATTTCTTCATCCCTTCTTTTACTGCAGCTATGATATCTCGATCCAGTTTTGCGAAGTCACTATTACCCTCCGTCACGTCATCAAGTAATTCGTGTAGCTTATAGTAAATCGGGACTACGAGGCTGATTTGTGAATTACGTTTCGAAATAAACGAAGTAAGCTCATTGAACTTGTAGAGTACTATATGAATCTGTTCCAGTCGGGACTAATCTTGGAGAGTGAAGGGCGGGAGTTCCTCCTAAAGGTTTAGGAACTTGTTAACTTGTTGCCTTGACTTCAAGCCATCATCGACCATGCGAAATGTCGAGTTCCATCGTGTCGTAACATCGTACGCAACGAATTTGTCTAGAAGATTGTTAAGTCTGCAACTCACACCTCTTCTCGGCTATGTTCAAATTTGTAAATTAACATATCCAAATATAGATGATGGCAAATGCTCAAAAGAAGAGACGTGGGAAACAGGATATAGGATAGTTAACTTTTGAGCCCTAACTTTACTTGCAACGCATCTATGCTCCCAGTACTAAAGACAAATTACGACTAACATCAATGATCTATCTCCTGATATATAACCTAAATCACTGGTATCATTATCGCCAAAGAGCCTGCGTGAAGTTTGGCTTTCCCATGAGCCTATTTCCATTGTTCTAATCGTCTATTATGCCCAAGTAAAGACAGTTAATGAACGCGAAGACCGGACCGGGATACCATGATTTTTTCTCTTCGATACAGAAAAATGTGCTATGAAAGCTTGTTCAAATAAAATGCACCAAACTTATAACTGTATGATTATACTTTTGATCATACTTTTTAGTGTACCCGTGGCCCATGGCAATGGGTATAGGTTTTTATTTATTCTTTACATGCTGTATTATAAAAACCACGATATATTGTATGTCTTGTTCTCAAAGCATCAAGGGCCACAGATTTGTCCGTATTTAGGTCCAGCTGCCGCGATAACTCCACCTTCTCTCATCAAACATATATTCAAGAGACGTTGTCTTCGATTGCGCTTTGCTCTTTTTATTTATATTTATTTTTATTCTTGGCTTCGATGTGAAGGACAGACTTGAGTGAACCCGGTCTGTAAAACGTGGGCACTGCCTTCATGTCGGATAAGCCTCAACTTCCATATCATTAGACTATGATTGAAGGTTAATTTGCACTTAACCTAGGGCGGTCAAGTTGATTGACTGCAAATCCCATTGCGAAGGCCGTTAGAACCGGTTTTCTAACTTATCCATTCTAATGGCTTTTTGCCACAGCTCTATATTGTGAAATATGTCATCAAATGCCTTGCTGTTTGGGAAAGCATATAGGGTAAGGCGGCGAAAAATACTCCGTGGTGATACTTCTAAGTCTATATCCTCTCAGTTTCCGCAGTTAAAGCCGTTAGGGCCAAATATATATCATATCGGAAAATCTATACTACATTAAAGTATATGTAAGCCTATTCGGAACAAACCAGAAACTAGATGCCAGAGGTAGCGTGACAATTTCCCATTTCTATACATCTCCCCAGCAGCGGCCACGTTGGCCACGCGATGGTTCTATAACAAAGATCAGAACAAATAGAATTCTATTTAGCCACTTTTCAAGCCTACGGAGGCATCGCAACCTTAACGGAAGGTACATAGCACAAAGCTCAAGCAGAACGCGACACGTGCGCGCACCAACCTGTGAATTTACGAGCAGATTTACGGATGTCAAATAATTGCGGTGAAACCCTTAGATGAGCTTATTAACAGGGAAATCTTGCCAGAGTTGCCACTGCCTATCAGCACAGACCTTTATAAGAATGAGAATTGTTGCGTGGACTTAGGGGGCTCAGCGTCGTCATCAGGATGGGCTGCATGAGCCCTTCCAGCATGCGCAAATCCTTGGTTAAATTAAAGCAAACGTCTATGGTAACGCCGTAACGGCGTACAACGGGAGTTGGACAAGCACCATAATTCAGTTTAGTTTATTAAGATACTTAGTTGGGCTGTAATGTAAGAGTATGCCTAACTTAGTGGAATTGAATCCGCACAGGAGGATTATTGCAGCTGGCTTTCCATACTTTTTTTTGGATATGTGGCTACTGTCTCGTTGAACTTTTTCCATATTCCGAATTGAGTTCAGTTACTACGTTAGCTTTTACTGCTCAGGTACGGAAATCCTCCTAGGGAAAAATTCCGAGTATTTAGATGGACCTCCGAACTATCTCGCTTAAACAACTAAGCATCTAACAAGACAGCCCTTGGCCCCATAGTCCACAATCCTTTACTTTTGCTGAGCCTTCCGTTTATGCCCAGGGTCTAAAGATATAAGGTACCATAGTTCAAACCCATTTGAACCCCAGAATTTCCCCCTCCAAATCTTGTGATGATGCTCGCTCCCGTTGGCGGATTCTGCTCATGACGAGCTGTTGATGAATTTTCAATCTTCTGGCAATGAAAATCGACTCTCGCCTGGCTCTCATGATATACTCCGGAAACCGCTGTGAGCTTTTCTTGCGGTTTGCAGTCTCGAACACTAAATATCCAATTAGTTAGTTTCTGCATCGGAACCTGACAAAAGCTCTATTACATACCTCTCTAATGCCTTATGTGCAAAATCGAGGCCTAGAAGGCAGGTCACAAGCTCATGAAGAGGCGTAACATGCTCTTGCTCTTGCGTTATGAAGTGTTCCACTCTGTCACATGTCCACATGAAGAGGTAAAGGAGCGCTAGATAATCACTCTCGATATCCTTGCCAATCAAGCTTTTCCAGTCTTGGATTTCTTTTATATGAGAAGAAAGTCGATTGAGGCGTGTTGTTAGATCAAGATGCGCTGGGTTTTGGCCGACAATAGCTTGCAACTCAGAAATTTTGCGCTGAGTATCTTCCAGACAAGAACTCAGAATATTATTGTCCGTAGGTCCAGAATTAATGCCATCCCCTTCATCTGATAAGGAGCTCCTAGGGGTGGAAGATTGAAGGGTAGGGGAATCAGGGGGCTCGCGCTGCCCACTTGGGATCCCATTCATGCGGAATCTGCTCGTTGAAGCATTATATCCTACCTGAAAGCCAGGAATATTGATGCTGTAATTTGGCATCGTCAACGTGAGAAAAGCAGATCAGTTGATAGGCTCAGGACTGCAAATTCCAATTGAAGAGAAAACGGAAGAGAAGAACGGAAGGCGCTCATCTCGTATTTATCTACATTCGTGAGTTACCTAATCAGGTACCGGATCTCCCGTAATATGTCATGATAATCAGCTGCCTTCTGATTCTATGTTTGATTTAAAACAAAAGCTTTTATTTATAGCCTAATAAAAGCATAGTGGGCTGACGATAGTGAACCAATCGGGGGCTCCGTTTGAACGAGGAGGCTCATTCCCACAGAGACGGCCCTAGTCACTCGAGTAGGATCAACTCGTTGCCCTCCCCCCCCATCTACGCAGGGGTATAGCAGCCTAGGGTCAAATGGGCTTTTTTAATTTGGTATAGGCTTAATTGGGACTAGCTATAATGGCAGAGAATTTAAATACCTATATTACTATGACAGATCCCTTATAAAGCGAAGTTCTTCTATTCCATTAAGGCAAAATAATTGAAGCTATCCCCCTCTGTGCAAATTGAAAGGGATCTTTCGGTCGGCGGTCTTGGGGGCGTTGAAATCTGGGCGGTTAGGTGGAACTTTGGAAGACAAACCAAAATATAGCATTGTATGATGTCGGAAATATTGCAACCAACTTACAATAATATTGGCATTATCTTCTTTATATGCGTCGTCGGGTTTGATCGAAAATTATATTCGGTTTTGTGTTTATTTCACCGTAGAAAACTTGACCGTCCCACGCAAGAGCTTTCGGTGGCAAATCCTGTTATCCAACCGTATTTCATAGCCAACCAGCAGCCAGACAGGAAGCTTAATACACTTATTATATACACGTGTCTAAATACAACTCAACTCAGAGGATATTCTCTCCTCACGTTGAGCAAGGTAAAATGCTTGTTGATTGCTTCCTCGAAAATCCTTGGGGTACTTTGATTGCTAAATAATGGTAGTCCGTGACGACGCCTTACAAAGATTGACACAAATGACCTAACTTTCTTCGGGGGAATAATGATTTCGTCAACTTCACAACTAAGCGGTCGTTCCTTTTGATATCTTCGCATCCGAATCCAATTTTCTGATTTCACTTTCAATAACAGCCAGAAACTCTTGCTTCTGACCAAGAGGAACCTGAGGAATATGATCGTAAACCGGATAACGAGACTAAATGGTTATGTGATCAGCTAAAATGTCTGCCTTGCAAAGTCCCATTTTGGAGTCCAGCTTACCCCGCTCGAGACGAATATCACGCAGACAGCCACCCAACCGTCCTTTGCTGGGGGAGCAGGATCGGTCAAAGATCGCCACCCACTCCATAATCGACTAAAAGCGTTGGCTTTGGCGAAGAATATCTCAAACTCAGCGAAAGTATTGGTACTCAGTCGAATTCTGTTCAGCAAAGAAGCAGTTATTTCTGCGATCGAATCGTCAGAGAGTGACATAACGCAAACAGAGTGCGAAAAGGAGTTGTGTCACGGAAAAGCCAAGTTCTCCCAAAAGGTGGGCGACGGCTCTATCCCTGTCAGGCACATAACTCGTGACTCTAAGATTAGACGTGTTTGATAAGGTACGGCGCTGTTACATTTTATTTATAACGCAATGTGACAGATCACCATTAGTAAGCAAGCAAAAGTACCCCTGGGAAATATGAGGGAGTAGACAGGAATACGTGCACCCAGTAGAGAGCGAGGAGAGTAAGAATTTCGATTTGGAATGTATTTAGATGCATATATTTTCCAAGATTATTACGTCTGTTCCTCAGAATAAATGGTTGGTCGTGGACCATGGCCGGATAACTGAATTGCCACGGAAACCCAAGTGCGCAGGGGAAGAGTTTCCACGGTGAAAAATGCCCAGAGCTGACGGTAATTTTCAATGATACTAGAAGAGATGTATAACCAGATATCGATAATATTTATCGCGATTTTTTTCACCATCATTGACGCCATCAGTTTAAACTTTTTTGGCGCGTCTTCCAAAGTATCTTCACTACGAGCGGCGAGTGCGGGAAGCGGTTACGGAGGGATGCACGTTACTGACCGGTTGCCTCTACCAAATCACACTCGATCGGACTCGTCACGCTGCCTGGTGTACGGAGTACTGTGCTCCAGAAAGCGTGCACGCCAGCGTTCGTCGCGTTTATCGATACAGTATTGCCTAAGTTAGCTAGAGTAGCGACTAGCTGGTTTGGGAGTTTGAAACCTCGCGGTCCTCTCAGTATATGAGTCAAATAAAATCCTACGAAGACTCATTAGTCTTGAGCCAGAAAGGGGTGTCGTCCCAGCCTGGGTCGGAAATGGGTGTGGTCATGGACCCAGTAATCCTACCCCATCAAAACATCTCCGATTTTTGATCGCCATTTTCTCGACAACTAGACGAATATACATATTACTACAGGAATTTTCAAACCAATGATATCACTGAAAACAACCTCTCCCGTGTGCATAATGAGCTTTTTAAGCATTTAGAGAAATCAATCTCCCGGCTTAACTTTAACTAAAAATATAACATCGGTCGCTAGCAACAAACTCCTCACTATCTTTGTCGGTTGTAAAGCAACAGGGCATTTATCTACCATATCATAGGGCATGGCTTGAAGGTTGCTGCCGTACATCTAATCTAGTGAACGCAAAGCCTTGTTCAATCAATAGAAGCTTTGCTGCTTTACAATCGACAAAGCCAGTGACGATATTATACCCTATGGTCACACTTGTGTATTGAGGCACCGCTACGCTTATCGGGGCTACCTTCACGTTCGTTGTGCCTCTGGTACACCGGTTGTAACGTAGGCCTGTTTTTATCACCAGCGTATCTCCTAATATGGGGCCGTTGATGTGAGTGACTATTTCTATCGATTTTCTATTTTTGGCTAGTCAGGTTTTGTGTGTTGTATTCATTTCATTCATTTTCTATAGCTTGACGGGGAGAAGTACCCGTTTAACGGGCCAATCACATAGCAGGCACGATATTCCCCACTATCCAGATTTAATTCTCTTTTTTCTTTTTCTTTTATTTGTTTTTCGCTTTTTTACTTCCTTCCTTCTTCCCTCAAAACAACCATCACCAGCCTGCCGCATTTCACCCGGCCACTACCCTCTATTCTCTAACAATCTAGCAGGCCAAGAGGGTAGGATACCAGGTACAGAGCTAACCCTGATGTATGTGTGATGTGTTTCAGGAAGACATAAAATTACCGTCAAAACAAGAACTTTAACAGTTACACAGACGCTGGCGTGTTTGTTGTCGATGCGGCCCAAGGCTTTTTAATTTGTCAGCTTGGAGGCAGTGGTATATGGTCAATGCTAGGTTGAAGCATCGAGCCAGGCCGTAACCCTCGTGGCATAGACAAAAATCTCCAAAGCTTCCGTCCAGTGCAAGTGCTCTTCGTTCTTGCTTCTGGATATTTACTAAACTTTCAATTAAACCACGGCAAAGTCTCCGCATTTAGACTGTGCCGATGGCAACTCATCGCGACATTTTCCTCGAACCCTGGTCAAAATATTTATTTCAGTAATACTAAAACCGGGGTAAGGGAAGAACTATCAATGCGGGTGAATAAAGCATTTATTCGCGGGAAGTAAATATTTCAGTATTATTCGGGGAATCTCAATCGCACTGGGCAAGCGATGCTCGCAAGCCTCTTTTGCTGTCCACAGAAGACCACAGAAGAATCAGTGGTTGGTGTATCTTCGGTGGTTCTAGTGCGCTCGGGGTATAGTTTCTATCCCGAGTCTGGCCCGAAGCTCCAGTCGGCTGGGAGCAGGCGTACCTCCTGTGCTAAGAACTATAGAACTATATTCATCCTATACACAGCTGCTTCTTCAGTACCAGTTTTTTAATCTGGAGCCGTACAGAACCATGGTGGTCTGGGAAGCTGTGCCTGCCTAGTCCAAAGGAAGCAATTCCGTAGCTTTGTCAAGGTCATAAGAGGTAATGCATGTACCTCTATCATGTCTAACGCTTCGTTGTATAGGCAATATGATACTCTCCCCGACTAGTATATTATGAAGACATAGGTCAATATTATCCTAGGAATATAGATATCTGTTCTGGAGCCTTCTCTTTCTTACATGCTCACTCTAGGGAGCTTGATATTTGAATAGATAGTGGCTCGTGTATCACAAAATAGCGGTATTATCCTCACCTCGGCCAGATTTCTATATCTCCCTAATGATGTTCCTGATTACATACGCCATCTTCGAAGTTCCGTCAAAATGTCTCCTCGAAAATCTCATGCCACGTTTTCCTCTTTCTTACCGGCTACAAAAATGCAAAGAGATTCCTATGGTTGCTATGGGTTAAAATTAGGAATGGGCGGATTTTCATAACTTGCAGTCGGCTTTGCTTTTTAATCTCCAAATATTGAATCGTTCTCTAAGGAACAATGGAACAAGCTCAGGTATCGTTTCTGACTTACGAAGAGAACAGTGAGAGAAAAGGGATTAGTCCCTAGGGTCTAAGAATGACTTCGACTCTGGTCAATCTAAGAATAGCATGGGAACGAATCTGTTTAATAGTGTACAACGGTCTGGCTGCATCCTATTTAAGCCGTCTCTTTTCCATTTGTTAGATGTCTGTTCTACCTATATTGTCAAATTATAACCATGAGCCTACAAGCAGATACGAGTATGCCAGTTCTACAACTAGACCCTATATATACAGACCCTCTAGTGAATAATTTCCTCAAAGCTTTACATGACGAAAATCATTCAATAGCTCGCAACATTCTTGATTCTTCTGCAAAAAAAGGGGACAATACTTTGACATCTATACTAACAGACAGCACGTTTCAAGGACTCCCATTTGTACATTTCGTCGTATCAAAGGGATATATCCTTCTGCTTGAATGGTATCTGCCCCACGTATCTAACAAGGAGTTCACGGTCGGAGTCCACGGTCGAGACTGCTTTGGTAATACACCTTTAATGTTTGCGGTCATTTCTGGCCAAGAAGAGATAGCAAAGCTCTTAATCCAATATGGGGCTGATATTCATGCACCGCATAACCAGGGTGAGACACCTTTCTTGAAGGCTATAAAGCAGCAGCATTGCAACATGGTTAGGATTATGGAAGTGGTGGATATTGTGAACAAGAATACCAATGAGGAACGTGAGAACACTTCTTGCAGACAAGAATGGGCTCGACTTCAGTTGATGACACCAGATGAAACCGGTCGAACAGCTCTTCTCTGGGCTACTGAGGCCCTGTGTGAGAGTCCAAACAGTTATGTTCGTGAGGAATATACAGCGCACTACAACACCGCTTCTCATAAAGGGTGCCAACCAATCGAAATAATGCGAGAAAATCTATTTTCAATGATAGAAAACAGAGATAAAATGGTATCTGACGCCTATGAAATCTTACGCCTAGTCCTAGGACATTACTCGGCACTCAATAACGACGACTTCCTGGCACATATTGCGCCATGTATTGGGTTGGCTTGGAGGAATCAAGATTTAAACACACTCGAAATGCTGCTCCAAAGCACGTACCAAAAAGGGGCTTATCATGTTCTGCCCCGGCAAGTTTACCTAGGATCCTGCTAGCTGAATAGTGCTATTCTTAGTTCTGGTTTGTTTAATGTGACAAGTAGAAGACTTTATTCAGAAATAGATCTAGTGTCCGTGATTAGAAAATTGATTTGCTTACAAGTTGAATGTCTCGCACGATTTCTTCTAAATGAAGACTTGATAGGCTGCGCTAAGGTCCTCGACTATATGCAAGACACTAGAGTCAAATCCTTTTGTGATTTATTTCCCGGCCACTTCGTGAAGCCACGTAAAACCATGGCCTATCCTATCCTTATTGGGCGCTGACCTCGGTATGTAAGAGCTGCGTCGATCAAGCATGATATGAAGTAAGACTGGACACCCAAGTTATAGAGGGTTTCGGAATCAAATATACCTCTATACACTCACTTTTACGAGTACATTTCGGCGTGGTTGCCTAAGGTGCTCTGATAGTGAAATACGGTTATTGCACCTTGCCGGAACAAGAAAGGCACGAGTAAGGTCAGGGTGTCTTCGAACGCGCTTGGAACTGTTGCCTAGTTATGAGCGTCCTATTGCAATGTCTGTAGACCTTGGTCTCTTTGGCTCAATTCAGGCTTATCTAAAGCTCACTGCGAAGTGCATCTCCAGATCCAACCTCTCGTAAGTCGACTCATGAATACGCTAATAAAGTGGAGATTCGTTGCTTTAGGCCGGAATTTCTTTAAACTGATCTAATGATGCATCTATTAGAAGCTCTTGAGCGGTACCTAATGAGTAATATTACTTCAAAAATGTCTGTATTATCCTATAAAGCTGATATCGAAATATTGACAATTTTACGGATTAACGAAGCGGATGGTAGCGATGCCGATTGTTTGGGCATATTCGCTTTCATCTTGCGAGCCCAAGAATGCTTTAGTTGGCTGCTTCTTTTGCCTTGCAGTATGCTTCGACGATCGTTTGCCTCTGGGGTATGATCGACATAAACAACACGCACAAAGAGTCGACCCCAGTATTGTAGGACCGGCGATATGGGAATAGAAAGTCTTCCATTTTCGTGCCCCTTTCTTACCCCTGCGTCGAGCCAGATTATAGGTGCTGTCTACCGGCCTGTGTTGTAGGGGAAAGTTTTTCCCCTTAATGTGCACATCAGCACCATTTTGCAGCAAAAGCTCTAGCACCTTCAGCTTTCCATATTTGGATGCTTGGTAAATTGGTGTTCTATATCCATATCCTTTTGTTGTTAACACTCATACCCTGTCTAAGAAGACTTTGAGTTTCATCATACTGGAAGTACTCTGCCGCTCCTCGCCAGCAATCCGAATAGGTAGTACGGTCCAATCGCGCCCTTCCTCCACAGAGATTCTGTGTAGGATTACCGCGTTTAACAGAAGCCTATCCAAATACTCATACTCTTCACCTAACCATGCAGCTACAATGATTGCTTCATACGACTCGCTCCAGTCAATGTCACGCTCGATCACCCGTTCAAAGCATGCGGACCAGATAGCACTGTTACGCATGGGCTCATCATCTACACAGCCGATTGCATTATTCTTTAATAGCAATTTGACCACTTCCAAGTTCCCTCTCTCTGCACCGGCGGCCGGCGCGCTCCGGAAGTACATTTACATCATCAACCTCGATCATGAAGTCCTCACCATGAACCACAGCATACACTGGAAGCTGGGGAATATCCCACGCCAGGATGAACAATGGCTTCGTGCCATTGCAGACAGTATCTATCTGAACAAGCTCACCATCTCACTCGACGTTTGCCCGGAAGAGTATATAGCCTCGCCGGCTTTGGAGTTTCCCGAGCGAAATTGGGAGCTCGAATATGACTTCCGCCTCGTTGCCCCGAGGACAGACATCGCGGAGGCGCCGAAGGCGTTTCTCACACACGTTCTAGCCGGTACTCTTATTCAATACAAGGAAGAGATCATTAGGTTTGGGATGGAGTGGAGCCCGGACTCCTTTCCCTTTCGCGAGTTGACTTTTGCTCTCGTCTCAATTGCGTCCGGCCAGGCCAAATTCCATTCTTTCCCCGCTCAGCCGTGTAACCCTCGAACTTGCCAATCATGGGACTGCAAGTCGAACCACTTACCTAGATCACCTGGATGGCTTGACGAAGTGTGGGCTGGCGATAGTACTTCGTTACTGGAGTTCAGCTCTTCAGCTCCCTGTCCAATCGACCGGGCGAGCCTCCAGTGGCGTCGCCCATGGAGACGATATACTGGCTCGAGGACGTGCTTATCAGTCTTGCACTGGTGATTGACGGTGAGTCCATCACGAAGGCCGTTACCTGGGGTGTCGAGCAGGGACGCACCAAATTTCAGATCGTCATCTTATCCCACTTTGAAGTCGCCTTTGCAGAAGTCTCATTTGATGCTGAGGTGGGTCAATCCATTACAGTCAGTGGTGCTCTCGATCTCTCGCCTCTGCGAGCAGATTAATGTGTGAGCACACATCCGCGCCAACGACCAGAGCTGAAGCCTGGTATGAAGGTTCAGCATCGGCGAGGTGAACTCATCATGAACTCGAACTGCACGGGGACAATCCGAAGACTACGAGGCTAGTTCCCCGGGCTCGCGGCGCTTGTCAACTTCTTCGAAGTCGCCGCGAGCCGCCGCGCAGCATCAAAATCGAAAGGAATTCTCCCGCCGGTGGTGTACGACAGGATTTTGGACTTTGCCGATTATGATACGTGGAAGTCCTGCTTGCGGGTGTCGACTGTGGTTCGTTCCCGCTGCCTCCGCAGGTACAGGCTTGATGATCGGGTGAGAATTGTGGCAGGCCCTTTCGTGAGGCTGCAAAAGTATCACAAAGAGCGTCTGATGTCCTTCGACTTTGAAAACATGCAAACAGGCAAGATCCTTCCGATGATGCACGTTCCGCATTGTATTTGGACAGAAGAGTGTAACTGGATGCCGGTCATCGGCAGCGACCGGAAAGCGCTCATGTTGGACATGGCCATCCAGTTTGAGCCGGCGGGGGCTGTGCCTGCGGAAGTTGACAGCGATGATGAATGTGCATGAAGTCTCCTGGCACAAGAAGTTGCCATAGGCTGGAAGAAGATCATTTGACCACATAAACGCATTGATGTTAACTAGGTGGTGAGCGGAGGCCAAGGGTGAAAAGAGGCATGACTGATCCAGATTGGATACATGCGTGGCTACCCAATCTGCACTGATAAGAAAATTTAACTACAACGAGGTTTTCACCGTCATCTTATCTTTCTATTGCCTGGAGATTGTCTCTGGGCCCGCAAGGGGATGACTCAAGAGTCGGTCTCTCGGCTGGCATGGGCTATTTATACCTGGCTTCGGCTCACCATGTTGCACTTTTCACCTCCCATTTGGCCACCATCTGACAAAACCGACCATGGAGCCTTGGTCACGGGGTAGTGATGACACAGGGGCCTATATGGCTCATTTTCAGAGTTCATTCGTCGTCGACCTACCAACCGGGGTGGGAGGTGCGTCTGCAAGATGTCCTCCGACCGATGCAATTTCTACGATGTCCAACTCAAATATCACCGGTGAAGATCAAAATCCTGAAAGTTTCACCGCAGGGCCTGCCTCTCTATATACAACCGGAATATCGTCTCCTGCTCTACAGGAAATCGTCGATGCAAATGAGTCTCTGTAGAGTACTGTATGCGACGAGTTCCTGATCAATGAAGGCGGCATGTCTGGTAGTTCTTCTTTTAAGAATTTGACTGGCCCAATGACCAATACCAACTATGATGAGTCCGTGATTCATGACGCGGTGGCAATGTGCGGCTGGAAATCTGAAGAAGCTGAGATGCCTTCAGATGAAGTGGTCGCTCCTTCGCCACGTGATGAAATGTACTTCTATCGGTATGAGGGATGTCAAAGGCTAGAAGGTTATGCTCTTGAAATGTCAGTTGAAGTATGTTTCACATCTGATTTTACCTTCGCCCATCTTCTAATGAATCTTAGGAAACGTGTTCGGGTACACACTGTGCTTTTCAATTGTGCCGAGTGCTCATACATAGCAGCTGCAAAAAAGGACGTTGCTCGGCACGTCAGAGTTAGTCACAGGGAACTTGCTGAAAGAATTTGGGGGCCCAAGGAGCTGTTTGTCTGCGCCGTATGTCAGAAGAAATTCACACGGAAAGACAACGCTCAAAAGCACTACAAAGCACAACACCTTCCGTAGATGCACCATCCAAATGGCCATGGTAGAGGATCCAGAATACTATACTCATTGTTTGTCGCTTCATTCTTTATTCTCGTTGGTGGCTTGCATTATTTGGAGTTCTAGTACAGTGTAAGTCGCAAACAGATTCCCTTTCGGAGAAACAAATATTCTCTCCAGACCCTCATTGAAACGGGTTTAACTTTGGGAAGCCTAGCTATATCTATCTACTTGATAATTGGTGTTGATCTTACAGGTCATCTCATTCTAGATTCGTCAGGTTCCGGATACTGGCCGGGAAACAACGCGTGATTGTCCCGAGGTGAACCTGTTTTCAAAGTCTGTCACTCTCCAAGTCTGATTACTGAATTCCTAAGTCTTCACAGCCTGGCTATAATAATGTCTTGGTTCAGTGAGAATTTCTAGATTTCCATGACAGGGAGTGGATTTTCCAAGTCTGTGTACAAGGATGACAAATTTTCTCAACAAAAAAAACAATCCCAGCTAAATTCGATTAATATTTTGGTCTACAGTTTTTCATTGATTTGATGAATCGACATGTCTTTCTTGAAACATTTTTTCTGCAATGAAAATACGTAATAGAATAAAAGTCGCGATATATCTTATCTCGAGCCCGAGGGGTGGGCGATCCGGTATGGAGAAAACTAGATCGTACTACTTGACATTTCCTCTTTTGGGACTGTGTTTGCCGCTCTTTTTGACATTTGACCTATAAGTGATAAGATCTGTTCATGGAGTGAGTGCAACAGACTGCAGAGTGAAGGTGGAACTTCAAACGTTTCCCGGTTTCTCTCTAGCATGCTTGATCAAGGGAAAGTTGCAGATCCGAAACGCACAAATAGGCCCAAAGAGAGATACATACTGCATCTTTGAATCCCTGGCATGAACTGTGTATATACACTTAGGCTGAGGATAAGAGACGCATAACATGTATGAAAACGGTTGCTGCTAGAACTGCAAGTATGTGATTCGTGATACGTTTAAAAATAAAGGCACGCACCGCTCTCTGACCTTCTCTTCCCTCTGTCAAGACGAAATTAGAAGACCTGAGCAAACATCTGTGTGCTGAATACAACAGAATTAGGTTGATATACCGAACCAGGCTCCTGGTAGCTTTTAACCAAGAAACAAGCTCGCTATCACGGTCAAGTGGGGGGGGAGTCCCACCATGCAGGAGGGTAACGATGTATCATACTCGCTTGGGACATGGCGATTGAGCAGTGTCCAAGTTCGCGTAATAGATGGGGCGCGGAAGCCATCATTGGTAGATTGTCACTACCATTGGAAGGATCATCAGTTTTCGACATCTGCACTATCGGCATCACTATCCTACGCATTGTTCATTATAATGTTCATTATAATAGAGAATCCATGGGTTATTGGGAAGTTCTCTGGAGATACCTGACTTTCACACACTTCAAAGAAATTCCATTGGGCCGATCAAGTCTGTATGAGTCGGATGATGCCTTCGTGCAAAATATGAGAGACAATTTTGGCCCTCAGTTTTTTAGACTAGCGGAACCTATCTGGAAAATCCAGGCCGAAGCGCTTCGCAATGCCCCTTTCATGCTACATGCCTAACGTTTCAACTTGACATAACTGTTGAAACACAAACGTGTCATGCGCTTCGAGTCTGCTCAAGTTTATGTGCAATTGATATGTATATCATTCATTATATAGACGTTATTTCTCGCAAGACCGACGAGCGGGCGAAAGCCAAAGAGTACTTTGCAAATCAACATTGGACATCAGCTATAGAATCTAAGCATTTAAATTACCTTCCCATGAGAGTTGTACACAGAGTACGTCTGACACTTCAACCTTTCATGTCTTCGCTCGTGGACCGCAATCTCGCCTCGAGGACCACTGTTTGCCACGTAGACTCCATGCATGATATAGATTCTTTGTTTCCTTAGAATATAGATGCATCAGAAGACAATTCATACAGTAGCGATGAGAGGCAATGAGTAGGGCACCTCTACAAACCGACAAAAAATGTCTCCCCGGCTTCGCTGGCTGGTCCTGGGAAATATAGCCGCCACTCGACTGACTTTATGAAACCTGTAAATGAATATATGGTATAGATTCAATTCATTCATGCTATTAAATTGCTTCTCGTTGATTTAAATACGTGTTCTCGAGATGTATAGAATAAGGTTCAGCACGTATTTGAGCTCCTTCAAGTGCTGTCAAAAAGAGGGACTCTCCCATTTTCCGAGCCAGAATCTTCATCAAATCCCGTTTCTGCATCTAAATTATCCGAACGGTCTGTGTCGGGCGGACTGTTGGACCTGCTTTGATGAATTCGTGAATACGTACTTGGGGGAGTCTCGGGACTTTCTGCACCGGATGCCTCGAGCGAGTCAGAGCTGATGCCAAATTGCCGGATATCCGTGATGTTTGTGATTGAATCTGGATGCCAACGGTTTGGTGGTAAGCGTTGCAAAACATGGGTAATCACTTGCTCGCGAAGGTCTTGCGTCATCTTAATCAAGATATCCTTTTGTTGCCAGGCGGCAGGGTTTTCGTTGTCAAATTGTTGCACATGTGGGGGATTCCACTTCGTCCAAATTTTGCGGTGAGAAGAAGACACCATCACACGGGCTGGATGATATTTCAAGTACATTTCACAGCAGAGGCAGGCTGGCTTACTACAAGCGATGAAACGATCGTCACCCGCGAATGACTTTTGCATCTTGTAGAAGTACTCCAACACTTGGACCTCTGCATGGACATCGAGCAAGGAGCCATTATATGGACGCAGAAAATCTTTAAAGATCCCGACCACCTTGTCCAAGTGGAGAAGACCACCCTCGAGCATTTTTCTTTCACTATCATTGTCCTTGAACATTCGGTTCAGAATTCCCCGAAGGTTGGTATGCGAGTCGCGAATGGGTGGAGGTACGGCGGATGGTGCATAAATCTTACAGACAGCGTAGTTATCAAGGAGGTGACTCAGGTCCTGGGTATCCCGAAGCAGCTCTTTAATAGCCCGTATATGGTGTGCAAGCCGGCCGATGTAATGTCGTACGAGGATAAAAGATGAGCGCCTGCTGGTAGGGCCTGACCGTCTCTCATCTTCCAAACCCCTGCTCAAAATCTCATTCATATGATCGAAATGGCGGTCGTCGTGCGCGAATTTGCAAAGTCCGTAATGATCATCGAAGCCAATAGCTGTTTGCAGCCATTTAATCAACCGCGAACCTTTGAATCGATTAACAAATTACAAGAGGATCTATATTGATAGGTGATGATCATGGGGGCCCATCAGACGAGCGACGTCGTCATCTGAAGAAGTCATTCGGCTTCGAATGTGATTGCAGCATCTGCTCCAGGCAACCTGATGAACTACAACAGAGTGACGAGCGACGCCGCCAAATTCAACGCCTCGACGCTGCGATCGGTAATGGGCTCCGGGTCATGCATAGCCCCAAAGACTGCCTCAAAGACTGCCGAGTACTTCTCCAAGTTCTTGAGGATGAGTATGAAGGTAGTCCAGGCGCCCATCTTGCTAGACTTTACTATGATGCTTTCCAGATCAGCATCGTGCACGGCGATCAGGCGCGGGCTAGTGCTTTTGCGGAGCGGTCATATAGAGCAAGAGTGGCGTCTGAGGGAGAGAACAACCCGGAAACAAAAAGGATCCACAAGCTGATGGACGATCCAACAAGACATGCAAATTTTGGATTGTCAATGAAATGGAAGTGTTTGAAGGACCAGGTGCCTCGGGGGTTAGGTTCGGATGAGTTTGAGAAGTGGCTATGGAGACAGGGCAAATAGATGTGTACATCTCCCAAGTCACATTGGTCTATATGCCGAAGTGAGGAAGTTGTTGTTGGGTAGCTACAAGTGAAGAGGACTTCGGGAATACGTGAATACGAGATTGGAATCGGCCCGTTCGTTGCGCAGAAGAAGAGTTTAGTCGATTAGTACCGGGGTGTTACATATCAATAGTTAAGCTCAACTATGTTTACCCAAAACCGTTAGCAGGTCGACGATTCCGTTATGCCAAACTTCCGCAGCTTGTCTCCATCCCTATTCCTAGCCATGGGCGCTAGTTGAAGGTGGTGGGAAGGCTATCGCAGGACTGAGTAGAGTAGTGGAATAATGCCCTGAAACGAAGGAACGAAGTGCAACGGGTTACTGTTGTGATATGAGGCTGTTGCAGATCAAGAAGCTTCCAGTTCTTTCTGCGTGGAAGAAATACATGATGCAAGTAGATGGCTTCACTGTGTATATATATATAGCCTCGTGTCTCCCTCCGAGAAAACAATCAATAATTCCTCTGAACTACAACAGGTTATGAGCCCGGGAGCAACCTCTCGGGTGCCGTTTCTACTCATCCGAGAATCATCTTGACCATCTTGATTATATATCTACCCCGCTTTCACTATCCTCACTATGTCTGCTCTGGTCCATGACTTGCCCGACCGAGCGGTCACGTCCATCGAGGCTCTGACAGGAAGTGACAAATTCGCGACCTGGAAACGTCTCATGACCTCCTATCTCAAAGCAAGGCAGGTCTGGGATGTAGTGTCGGGCGACCTTCAGCGTCCCGACTGTCTATTCAAGTACGCCAAACCCATTACGGCAGATATCCACCCCTTGGTGGAGCCCCACCTTAACGGGGCGGTGAGACAGCGAGCCACTGAAGCGCGCCTCGAAGTGGAGGTCCAGGCGTTCGAGCGCCACCGTGAATGGTCGCGCCGCGAAGCCGAGGCCTACCACACTATCTTCCGGTACCTGTCCCCCCACATCAGCATTCATGTCGCGGGACTGGAGACGTCTCGCGACCTCTGGAATGAACTTGAAGAACGGTACCGACGAATGGAACTCGCCACTTTCTGCGAACTGTTTGCCCAACTTCGCGAGACAACCGGCGAACGATGTGCCAGTGCGCGGGATTTTGTTGATCGCGTACGGCTGCTTGTACATCGATTGAATGCCATTGCTCCAGGATCAATCGGTGACAAGACACATATTGCGATTCTGCTCACGCAGATCGGACCGGAATACATCCTGGTTGTGGATGCGATCCAGAATGACAAGGATCCGGTCAACCCGACCACGATCGGAAATCGGCGGTCCAACGCCGAGCAGACGGTCCGGAGGAAGGAGTCTCCCGCGCCCCCGCCGGCAGTCCCAGGACCATCAATCAATGCAGTGCAGAGAAATCCCAAGAAATGTACCTACTGCAGGAAGCGCGGCCATGTGGTCGCGGAGTGCTGGAAGAAACAGCGCGAAGTACACCCGCCTAGGGACCATCCCCTGAAGGCTGAACGGAGTGCTTCCGGCTCACCAAGAAACAACTTGAGGACCCTATCCCATGGGGAGGGTGAACTGGGCCCCCAGTTGCATTAGGGTTTTGTCTTTTTGTATGGGAAAAGAAAAGTGGGTCCGGGCCCAGTTCAGTTAATTTTCACACCCCCAGTTCATTTAGCAGTTGGCGTCGGATCATACTCAGATTTTCAGAAGTTGTATTCCCAGATGTAGATTTTATGTAGTTTCAATTTGAAGAGTGAATTCGAGCAGTGTTAGTGGAGGAAATTTAGTTTGAAATTGGGAGATTTTTTGATGAGAGCTTGGAAGAAGAGCTGCGACCGCAGTCAACCACCCACAATATCACCATTTGGGGTTAACAAATTGATCAGTCCAAAGTTCAATTAGATGAATACGGGGTTAAGGAGAAATTCAGGGGTATTTAGAAGTCCCAGCTTTCATCCAGTTCAATTTTGGAAAAACTTGACCACTTCATCCACCCCAGTTTGTTGTATAATTTGAATATTTATTGTATACATTCACATATATATAACGCCACGTCAATATGGAGAACCAACTTTTCACCAAACCCGCAGAATACCCCATTATTATTTGCAAACAGTGCCAGATTGGAGTCAGACCCAGTGAGATCAGTAGTCACATTCAGGGAGCGCAACACAGACTAGGTTCGCCCACTGGAAGGGAGTTACAGCACGCCATTGCCCAGTGGGATAGAGCGCAGGAGTGCGAGGGTTGGACCGTTCCCAGCACCGTCCACGAACCCATTCCCGAATTGCGCGTCCATAGTGATGGTTTATTATGCACCCGCACACCCGAATGTGGGTATGTGGTCCGAAATATCGCCGTTATGAAGCGCCATTGGCGTGAGAAACACAGCTGGAAACCCAGTAGCCGCAAAGGTCGACCCCGTACCGCAGCTCGAGATACAGCCCAGCAGCAGGTACAGCAGTTCAGCCGCACGGTCCCGTTCCAGCAGGCGTTCACCCAAGGTATAGGCAATCATTACATCCATATGAGCGAACCAGCCGGCCAGCCCGTTCAGGCGGAGCAGCCCGTCCAGCAGGCGTCCCAGATCCACGCAGAGCTAGACCGGATGGAAGAGCTGTACCAGCAGCATATCAACCAGCCCATCCAGATCGAAGCCGGCCAGCGAGATGAAGCGAACCCGTGGTTACGCCGCACGCAGTGGGCCGTGTATTTAGCCGGTTTAAACCCCGATGATTTGGTCCAGTGCGTCCAACAACCGGAACCCGAGGACCGCAGCGAGGCAGCATTAACCGCGGCCGCGATTTGGGATTCCATGGCCGCCGTGGCCCGTATAAGCCAAAATGTCAGCGCGCGCATGGGCCACACCATCCAGATCGAAGCCGTGCGGGTCGAGCGCGATAAGACCCCCACCAAGCCGCTACAGGCGTATATGGTGGAAGAGGCCATCGTCAAACACAGCATGCCGTGGCAGCAGGTGTTGATGTTTTTCGCGCGCACGCAGGTTCCGCACGAGTGGAGCAGTCCGAAGTATTCGTTCACCCGGCGACAGCAGCGTGCGTGGGAGAAGTTGTGGGACGAAGCGCAGGCGGTTGCCCAGTCCAGCCGACCCAGTTCACCAGTTCGCAATTCCCCTGAACCGAATCCCGGCGGCAGTTCGCGAGGCGCGAGTCCCTTAAACTAATCGCCGACGAGTTACGCTGTAATTCCCGAACCCTGGTAGTTAAAAGCGGGACCACTAGACCCGAAACGTACTAGCACCCGCTGAAACTCGCAATGGGAATATGGGGTAGAAGAGCGCAGTAAAGCATTAGTAGTTGAGTGCTAACGACAGCTAGACTCTCGAGAAGCTCTTGGCTCTCATTTGCTATGGCTTCGTCACCTGGGGGTGGTCTGGACGACGGTCTACCACCGTACCTCCAGGTGCTGTCAGACTGGCGGGTAGTACTGTGCACGACTCACGGTTGCTGCTACACCCGGCAAAATCTCGGCCGGCATCTTTTAGAGAAGCACCGCCTGAAAAGCCATGCGAGAATATTGATCGAAGCGAATCGTCAATTACCAAATGTGGCCTTGGCCACGAACGATGTGGTGCAACGTCCTGACAGAATTGCTGAAATTCACGGGTTGCCGACCGTACCTGGCCATCTCTGATCAGCTTAGACAATAGTTGACTTTTGCGCAGGGCTTAATTCTGCCTCCGACCTACTTTTTGGTTCTATTTCCATTGATATCGGCTTAATAGGGGAGGTGTAGGCAGAAGATACAAGGTGGGTTGTTTTTGAATGGGGCAATTCTTAGTGGGGCAGTGGACAAAAACTATCTGGATATGGAAGTATTCCAACCCTCCTTTTGCTTTGGTTAAGTATACTATCAATGATTCCGTCTCTTGATGCGATTCTATCGGTATACTTTTATTACCGCATGACGTCTTACACAGGGATCACCTCCAGAAGTATCTTTTCTCATAAAATAGGTTACCTACCTCAGAGAATATACGAGCACGCCATGCCAAGCGTAGCACACCCACTTAGGACAAAGTGTACCTGGCACCTTTCTGGGCCCTGCGCAGTGGAACACCGTAGTGATGTGGAGTCTAGTAGCCTTTAGCTTACTCCAATCAATTTATTCAATTTATTCAATTTGTTCAATTTTGTTGAGATAGGTAGTTGTAATGTTCTTGTTGAGGTTACTATCAAAAGTGGGAACCTCGTCTATTTAAATGTCCATCGCTAGTCCTGCCATAAGCTTTGACCACCGCGATACTCAACAGTGCGAATAATATATTCGCAAAAATTTGCGAGAGGAGAATGACTGATTTGATTTACATGTACCAGCCTGGTAACGAAAGGCAATCTACCCCACTGTAACCACAAATCCGGGCAACGAATTCAAAGTCATGATCGTTTCTACATGTTGGAAGGTCTGACCATTTTTTTTCCAACGTGAGTTGAGAACTTGACCCATTCTATTTGCTCTGCCGTCAAGTCTGCGATGCTCTGACCAAGCAGGCCTCACCTAATGGAGACGCCTCTCAGATAGCAGATATCTCAGTGACGGGGTATGGCCTATATCAACTGCGGGAGGTGCTTTTGGCGTTATTTCATGCGCTTAGCACTTATATCAACATCATACGCTGGTACGTAAAAATAGTGAAATATAGGAGCAATAATCTGAGATACTGGTCAGTGCCCGTGGAAAGTTCAACGATAACACCAAGCGCCGGTGTATGGCCTGCATATCCTGTGCTATTCGTGACCTTGAGAAACACAAAATGCACCTCGAGGGCCTGGATGAATCCTTGTCTGTTTTACAACAGCTTTACCTCACATCGACTTGCCTTTCGACGTTACATAGGCGGCTCCGTGATTTTGGAGTTGATAGATACCAACAAAACGAGTGTGGATGCATTGGCCAGGGAAGTAATCGGATGTCATCTTGGCTGGATGATGTTGTCATTATCCGGGTTGGACAAGATGCAATGGAACATTTTGCTCTGTTTGGTGAACAATTATTGAAGGAAATTATCCGCCGGAGAGGTCTTGAAGAAGACAAGAATAACCTGGAAGATATTTCGAGGACATATGAGGATGTAGAAGAACGTTTTCGGGCCACTCTTCAACATCTTCAACCTGGTGAAAAGCTCATCTCATATGAGACGTTGACTAGGGGTTACCGACTTGATTTTATGGGACTGTCTAATGTGGGTTTAGGGCAACTTGGGTGGCCTTAAATGAGCATGTATTATGATCCCGATTAAAGGAATTTTGAGCTTCTGAGACGAACAAATGTGTTCCTTGCCATTTAGTCACATCATACTGTACCAGGAGGGTGCTATGGCCGTCATGTAGGAGAAAGCTGTTGTTGACACTTGGTATTGTGATTAGCAGGTTCATGAATACCCTGCAAGTAAGCAGACATATTTGTCTACGCATCCTAATGTAGTGCAAATAATGTGCTTCAGGAGCTATCGCACTGTCTTTTCATGGCCTTGGGCCCTTGTCCGACAGCGGCTGCAACAGATACTGCGATTTTTACAGTCTATGTAGTAGCCCTTGGTCCGCTGAACAACAATAAGAGTGATGGATAAATTGAACAAACAAAGTACATCTGAAAGCTACATTGTCACGGAAGTCAATCAGGTAGAGTTCGAGGGAAAGTCCATCAGTAAGCATGTCAAATTGATATATGAACTGACTCTTGAAGAAAGGAAGTAAATATATGCGAGGCTGCTTTGTACATTCTTCACGCTGAGGTCTTGATACTCTAACGCCCGGAATTCAGCAACACAGCCTCTGTCCGAGACGAACAACCTGATGACGCTTCCGTTTCCCAATCGGTAAATGGCCCTAGTTCGACTCCACGAACTGCCGTGCTCCGATAGGACCGTCGTCGAACTCAAACCTCCTGACCATGTCTATCGTTCCCCTGGCATTAAATCAATTGCTTTTGATTCGACTCCACAGCCAGTAATGCTTTGATACGACCGTCGTCGAAGTCGAACGACTTGGCCAGGTCTATCGTTTCCAGGGCAGTAAATTGCCCTAGTTTAGACGCCACGGCCTGTAGTGCTTTGATGCGACCGTCGTCGAAGTCGAATGACCTGGCCAGGTTTATCGCTTCCAGGGCAGTAAATTGCCCTAGTTTAGACGCCACGGCCTGTAGTGCTTTGATGCGACCGTTGTCGAAGTCGAATGACCTGACCATGTCTATCGCTTCCAGGGCAGTAAATTGCCCTAGTTTAGACGCCACAGCCTGTAGTGCTTTGATGCGACCGTCGTCGAAGTCGAATGACCTGACCAGGTCTATCGTTTCGAGGGCAGTAAATTGCTCTAGGCTCGACGCCACCGCCTGTAATGCTTTGATGCGATCGTTGTCGAAGTCAAGCAACCTGACTAAGTCTATCACTTCACCAGCAGTTTTTGACTTTATAATATTCCCTGGCTTGAAGTAATAAGGTTTTAGAAGTAGTCCTTCCTAAGTATAACCTTCAGGGAACCCAACTTGTTTGCTCATGTCGCACTGGTTCTCGGGGATCTCGATTTGACCCGAGGTGATCGCGGGCTGCCTGTCTTCTTCAAATCTCGCCTGACGTCTCTCTAGAGACTGAGATGGCTTGGTATAAACAGATTTCGAATCCTCGAGGTCTGCGCTGTGCTTGGCCCTTAGAGAAGTGGAGGTAGAGCCACCCCCAACACCCTCTTCTTGAGGCCCCCTACATGCTTCTGCATACGTAGGTAGGGGTGAGGGACCGTGAGAGGATGAACCCCCGCCGTAAATGCCACGGTTGAAACAACAAAAGAGTGATTGCAGCATTAGTGATTTCGCTTGAGGAGGACAGAAAATTCCTCTTGGGGCGCCGCACACTTATAACGTGGGAATTTGAAAAACCCTTTCATACTCTTAAGTACGTGGCAAAGAATAATTGGCCGCCGAGACCAGTCGAGACGGGGCAGGGGTACCCTTGCGGGATGAGGCTGCATCCTGTTGAATGCGAGGACAATACTCAGAAGCATTGAGCTATTTATTAGCCGCTCACCCTTCAAACGACAGGAGATAATTGGATGAGCCGCTGGGAAAGGCCCCCGGTCAAAAATTGCTGTGCCAATATCATTCAGGTAAAAGACTTCACCAGTTCACTTCCCATCGTTTATACGCAATTGGGGATTTAGTATTTTCCGTCTTTTACAAAAAGTCGTTGAGTTGGGCATCTGCTTTACTACCTCCACCGCTCCTTGTGGGCCAGTGAAATGTCGTTTTCTCTAACCGATCAGCTCAAGCACCGAAAAGCCAGGAATGTGATTAAGCTGGCGTGATATTATATTTCGTATACGTTGATTGGATTATTGACAGGGGGGTAGCCAGCGTGGTGAAGTAGATGGGGCGAGGTAAAGCAGAACAGGGGGTTCGCCAGCGTGGTGAAGTAGGTGGGGCGAGCTAAAGCAGAACAGGGGTAAGCAAGCGCGCTAGAAATGAGGGGCAAGGGAAAAAGCAGAGAATCGCAAAGGCTTTGCGCTACGCCAATTATTGGCTTGTTTTGTTTCGAGTTCTCGGCTACAATAGGGCAATGCGCCATAACCTATCATATGCCTCCATAATGTTTTCACTCCAAGTGGTGCATAGCTAAGCTCGCGGGCATACTTACTGCCTTCATTTTCATTTTGCTTTTACTTGTCCGGTCGGTTGATGCACCAAGTGATATAACATCAAAAGGGCCCTGGGCATGAACATAATTTTCATTTTCCCAGATCCATTTACCCGATTATGGGGCAATAATGAATTATTCATTGCTGCAGTCCAGGGCGAAGACTCCGTCCCAGCTGATTGCTGGTGCATGCATCAACCTTGATGATAATGTTGTTGTTCAGAGGTATGAATTGTTGTATTTATTCAGAGGGAAACATGAGGCTATATATACAACGAGAAGATCAAGTTGATTTCCAATCAACTTGATTCTTCGTATAGACACCTCGGGATTAATTCCGATGGTTCGGCTTGGTTCCTGATCTGCACCAGCCTCAGATCACAACAGATAAGACATTGATCACTACCGACCCAATAATATACTTCGCGCTATTGCACAAGAAGTGATGTGCCTCGGCGCACGGACGCCAATATTACAATACCTTTCAATTGAATGGTAGTTTACATTTTTTGAATGCGCTTGTGTTGAGACGGACGTGCCCTACTTAGTAGTTCATGAATGCCTCCTGACAGCCAATCATATTCACCCCTCTTGTAAACATCCTTCCTTGTAATAGCGCCTCTGACCTTTTTGAGGATTTCAAACCAATAGGCGCCCCAGAACCAGCTAGCGGCCAGTCAGGGCGAGGCATAGATCGCAAGTTTCCTCGCCCATTGTTGACGCGCAAATTTAATCACACTTGCCAAGAGACTTGCTTCGTGACACAAAAGATAGAGCGTTCGGTATTAAGACAGATACCCTGGGCTCAAGTTTTAGCAATCAACTCATGGAATAGGTCAACCTGATTCGGAAATACAGGGATAAGGGCTTTTGATCAACTCATAAAAATTGTGCGAAACAACCAGGTCGTCCGCAAGTACCCATTTGAATGAATGATCGGGATGATTAATTTTGGGATAACCGCTTCCAAGGTCAAATGGTAATTAATCATCATCATTATCTACAACTAACTGGGCAAAAGCACGCTGGGATTTGAATAGATTATTTCAACCCGCTGTCGATCCAAATACTTTCACAATTAGCACCTCAGCAAAGGCGTTCATAAAACAATACAAGAATCTATTTTCTTTGTACCGGAAGTTCTCCGATATATCATCCACGACAGGTAGGTAAGCCCTATTGCCTATTGAGATACATGAGTCCTTAAGATTTGGACAACATATGTTTCTATGGTGCCCAACAGTTGCTAACCCAAGAGACTGCAATATCCTGCTCAATTGTAGTGTGGGACAAAGAAGACGCTTCAGCTGACTCAGACAAATGTTCTGGGGAAGCTAAGTTCTATCTTGAAGCGTTTTTCTGCTAGAAATATATAAATTAATGTCATAGAAATGTACAAAACCGGATCTGTGTAAGCTATTGTTGAAGATGACTAGCATGCCTAGTCACTGCCTGCGTATCGTAATCCTGGCTTCTAACGCAATATCCATCGAACTGGCGCTTAGTTAAACAGTTTGCGTTGGCTTACGTTGATAATTGGTATCTAGTGTGACCCTCCATCGGTCCTACTTTGCTGAAATTGCTTCGCGATCAGCCTCAGTAGACTTTACCTGAATCATAACCACAGCCTCCCCTCCACTGATTGGTTTGACTCCAGTATGGGACGATAGATGTAGGAAATAAGGTACAATAGGCCCAATGATTTCCTACCGTATACTCAGTCAAACCTCGTTCCTCCAATTAAACATTGTTGGAGCATTGTTCTGTGTTATGCGGGCGCGCTGCATGTAAGACGCAACTTTGTTCCGACATATGTAGTGGGAGGAATTAGACCAAATGAACCAAATCAGCCAATTGGCCAAATCGAATAGTCGCCTCGAAAACAAAATTATTATTGCGGGGCCGTCAGGATTCATCCCTATCTATCCAACACAAAGAATGCGTTTGTGTCCACGATGACCAGGTTCCATTGTCTATTCCACGGTACGAGCCAGTGGGTCAGGCGGATCAATGATGAGCAAAATATCGTAATGTATCAATTGGTCACGACTGGTTCCATATAATCAAACAGTACACTACGGGCGAGGCAATTATTCAATGGCCGGGACGGACATGGCTATGCAAGTCGCAACTTGCTAGGACTGTACAAAATGTTGGCCCTCTCCGAGTCATTCAGTGGCGCCATGTATTTGGAAGCAAACAAACACCTGTTCGTTCACTGTCAGTTTGGAGATAATTTATGGAGAGGAGCTCAAAGTTGTCGGGAACTTAGGGTTATATAGTTGTTGGCTTATAATATTTTGCCCTTGCATTCCACGCTGTCGATCCATTTCTCGCTCTACATAGCAATTTGTGTCTAGCATGCCTATCGCCCCTTGGGGATTTCTTGTCATCCGATCGGCGCAATCCAGTCGTTCGGGAAATTTGCTTTGATACGCACTTACGAGGCGCATCAGAAACCGTCTCTGGTCTGTGTCCGATTGACGTGGAAGGCCCCGAAGCTCCATGTCCTTTTTTTGTCTCGCGTAATAGTCTTTCGATATATTTAATGACAGCTGGGACTTCAGACCGGTTATAATCTTAGAGCAGGTGACCCGAGAAGCCTTTGGGAGCATCGATACAATCACGATCTTTTCGTATAACCTTCCAGGGGTGGGTGGGCACTGGAGTAAAACTCTTTTTTTATCCCGTGCCGCCTCTCGATACTAACGAATGTGTTGATTTCCTTTGCGGATGGTTTTTGCACTGCAAACCAGTCGTGCGTGAGTTTTTCCACTTCTTTTTTTTGCAATGCGCAACACCTTATTTACAATATCAACCTAAACATTGAATCAGATACGAGTAGCACTTTGCGTATACGTACAGCAGTCCATGCACTTGGGAATCTGACGTATGCCAGTCACAGCGTGTTCCCGTTTTTTCATCTACATGCATACAGCAAATCTCTCGGTCGACCAGCCGCCTCTTGTTGGTCCTCTTGATAACCCATGGACAATCAACGGCTGTAGTCTTGAAGTATCCCCATATCCACTCTGTAACCGGCGCTGGCCGTTTGCACCATCGATAGGATACTTGGCTTGTGATTGAAGTACCGATATCTGTTGAGCTCTCTTGGGATACTAGCACTTGCGACACAGACTCGGAAGGTAGGAGCTCGCAATCTGGTATGTTGGCGAGGATCACAGCGTCTTTTTGACAGGTTGGGAGAGTACGTGTGAGATTTCTCGGTGGTTCGCTTGATTCGCTTGATTGGTCGGTTTGATCCTCGGGCAAAGACTCTCCATCGCTCTCGTCATTCAGAACTCGGTAGTTGAGGCGTTTCTACCGGGTACGCATTTTGTGTCGGATACACCGGGCCACTGGTGCAGTGTGAATGAATACAATTTGCTGATCACAGCTCACTGTTGATATGGACCCAGTGGTTCAGTAGAACCAGGGTTGAAGAGTCATATGTGGAGTTGGTTAGTTTCCGAAAGAGCTTCACTGTCAACCAAGAAGAGGAAGCGGCACGCGTCCCAGTATCTAAGCTTACATTCTCTTTATAGTAAAGTCTTCTATATCTGGGACCAGGAGCTATTCTCTTATTATCCAATTGCCGGTGACGATATATCGCCGACGATAATATCATTTGCCCATATCGTATCGACAGTTTAAGAAACTGTCGATGTCGATTGCCGATACGATATCGGCAGACTTCGAAGTTGACGGTGCTGATTGACGATATGGGAAAATAGTACCGATATCGTATCGTTAACAGCTCTAACGCGCTGTAAAATTAGACGACGTTAATGTTATCTGAGCAATAATTCTATAAATGTGATAGATTATTATTGTCTGATATTAATCAATCCGGCCATAGGCCAGGGATTCGCGCTGATAGTACATTTCTCCTCCTTTGCTGGGCGGAAGGTGTCTCGGACTTAACCTACCTCCCAGTCATTTCCATGCTCGGTGTTCGACTGGTGTAGTAATATCCTCAGCGTTTCCTCGTCGATATAATTCTCGTTGTCCCCTTCGCCCTGCACCACCGCGGGTGAAATACGCTGGTAGTCAGTGCTCCTGTCGGCAGATTGTGCGCTCATCCAACTCGTTCGATAACCGGAAAGCCGAACGAAAGCTATCTGTACAGATTTGTGGAATATCAGCTACTACACTACAAACCTCACTGTGC